CACCTCCTGGATTCTAAACTGGTAATCTCAGAGAGCCTCCATGGCTGCTGTTATTTGTCTGCCATGTTATCCCGGAAGTTGCATACCTACTTTGAAAACTTGTATTCTAATAAGATGGAAAACACATGGGACTGGGGATTTAGCTCAGCGGCATAAGAGCCTGCCTTGCAAGTGAGTTCGATCCCTGGTACCGATAAAAAAGAAAAAGACAAAAAAAAAAAAAAAAAGATGGAAAACACAGAAGAAATGGACAGATTCCTAGATACATATGAATTATCAAACCTGAATCAAGAAGATATAAAAATCCTAAATAAAACAGTATCAATAAAAAATGTAATTTAAAACCTATCAACAAAGAAAAGCCCAGGCCCTGATGGATTCACTGTTGAATTCTACAAGAAAGTTAGTGAAAACTTGATACCACTATGTCTCAAACTCTTTGATGGCACTGAAGTGGAAGCAATGCTCCCAAATCTTGGAAGCAAGCATTACTCTGATTCCCAAACCAGAGAAAGATCCAACTAAGAAAGAGAATTACAGGCCAATCTTCCTAATGAACATCGACACAAAACTCCTCAATAAGATACTGGCAAACAGACTACAGCAAATGATCCAGAAGACTGTATACCATGATCAAGTGGGATTCATCCCAGGGATGCAGGGATGGTTCAACATACATAAACCCATAATGTAATACACCATATTAACAGAGCCAAGGACAAAAATCATATGATCACCTCAATAGATGCAGAAAAAGCTTTTGACAAAGTCTAGCACCCACTCATGATATAAAAAAAAACCTACAGAAAACTAAAGTGGAGGGTCTTTATTTCAATCTGATGAAGGCCATCCATGACAAACAACAGCCAATATCATACAAATGGACAAAAACTGAAAGTTTTTAGTCTAAAATCAGGAACAAGACAAGGATGTCCACTGTCTCCACTCTTATTCCATAAGGTCCTCAAAACGTTAGGAGGAGCAATTAGACAAGAAAAAGAAATAAAAGTAATAAAGACAGGAAAGGAAGAAGTTAAACTACCATTATTTGCAGATGACATGATACTCTACATAGAAGACCCAAAAAAATCCACCAAAAGACTTTTAGATTTAATAAGTAAATACAGTAATGTAGCTGGTTACAAAGTCTACACTCAAAAATCAATAGCCTTCTTGTACATGAATATCAAACTCTCTGAGAAGTCAGGAAAATGATTCCTTTTACAACAGCACCCAAAAAAAATGAAATACCTAAGAATCAATCTAAAAAACGATGTAAAAGCCCTCTACATTAAAAACTACAGTCTTCTGAAAAAGGTGATTGATGAGAATATTAGAAAATGGAGAGCTAGCCCATGCTCTTGGGTAGGAAGAACCAATATACTGAAAATGGCCATTCTTCCAAAACTGATTGGAAACTGATTCAGTGCAATCCCAGTCAAAATTACAATAGCATGTCTCACGAATTAGAGAAAACAATCCAAAAATTCATCTGAAACCAGAAAAGACCTAGAATAGCAAAGACAAACCTGAACAACAAAGACAATTACAATCGTGACTTGAAATTATACTGTAAAACTGCTATTATTAAAAAAAGGGAGGGCTGGGGATTTAGCTCAGCGGCATAAGCAGCTGCCTGGCAAGCGTGAGGTCGTGAGTTCAATCCCTAGTACCGCCAAAAAAAAAAAAAACAGTGTGGTACTAGCCAAAAAGGAAAAAGAAAGAAAGAAAGAGACCCAACGATCAATGGAATAGATTAGATGATGTAGAAACAACTGGAAACACACTAAGCCACCTGATCTTTGACAAAAGGGCCAAACACACCCATTTGAAGAAAAAATAGCCTCTTTAATAAATGGTGCTGGAAAAACTGACTCTACCCATGCCAAAGATTAAAACTGGACACATATCTTTCACCATGTATTAAGCTAACATCTCAACAGATCAAACATCTTAATATTAAAACAGAAACATTAGATCTACTGGAAGACAGAGTAGGTAAAACTCTTGAAGTCACTGGTGTAGGCAGACTATGAACAAAACCCGATTACACAGGAACTATCAAAAAGAATCAACAACTGGGACTCACCTTACTGAAAAGCTTTCCTACAGCAAGAAAAACCACCAACAGAGTGAAGACACAACTCATAACGTGGGAGAAAATGTTTGCCACAGGTACCTCAGACAAAAGGATTACTATCGAGAGCATATAAAAAAAACTGAAAAAAATTAGTCCTCCCAGATTCAAACACCCAGTCAAAAACAGGCATCTGAGAAGAATACACACTTCTCAGATGAAGAAATACCAACAGCAAGTAACATCCATGAAAAATGTTCAACTTCACTGGTCGTTTGAAGATGCAAATTAAAACGACACTGAGATTCTACCTCACCCCAGAAAGAATGGCTAGTATCAAGAAATCAACCAGTAACAAATGCTGGATGGGCTGTGGGGGAAAAGGAACCCTCCTCCACTGTTGGTGGAAGTGCAGACTGGTGTAACCACTATGGAAATCAGTGTGGAGATTCCTCAAAACACTAGGATTGGAGATCCCATTCGACCCAGCTATTCCCCTTCTGGGTATCTTTCCAAAGAAATTAAAAGCATCATACCACAGCACTCATATTTATAGCAGCACAATTTGTAATAGCTGGATCTTGGAAACAACACAAATGCCCATTAGCTGAGGAATGAATAAAAAAGATGTAGTATTTGTATACAATAGAGTACTGCTCAGCCATAAAGAAGAATAAAGTGGGATAGACTTTTATAGGTAAATGGTTGCAACTGGAGACCATACTCATTAGTGAAATAAATAAGACACATGCAAACATTATACTGTCTCACTAGTGTGAGAAGCTGAAACAACATCTACATTCATATATATATATATATATATATATATATATAGAGAGAGAGAGAGAGAGAGATGCTAATTAAGATAGTTATACTACTGATTTCTCTGAGTTCACTGAAGAGAAAGATTTGTGCTGGTTTTGTTCAGACAATTGAATGTAGATGTCTTGTGCTCTGGGTGAATGATTTGGGAATGATAATGTACAATGTGTGTACCATTGTTGCTCCCTGATTGATATTTCTGAAATTTTTTTCCTTCTTTTTTTTTCTTATTGTAATAAAATGGAGTTTAAAAAAAAAAAAAGACGAGTTGATGAATGAGCCAATGCTCAGTTGGCCACACAAGGCTGGAAAAATTATCCAAACTGGGTTCAATTTTGATGGAGTCTGCCTGGACTCAACAATCCTGCACCCCTTAGAAGACCCTTCCTGTCTACCCGTCTGGTGCAGCAAGAATAGCATAGCTTGTGCTAGAGGTTTAGCTCAGTGGCCCAAGTACCTGCCTGGCAAGCGTGAAGTCATGAGTTTGAATCCCCAGTATCAAAAATAAAGAAAAAAAAAAAAGAATAGCGTAGCTGAGTTTATAGAAATCATCAGGGAAACAGATAGGAAAGACAACTAAGTTCCCACTTAGCTCCATAGTGTTGAACTGTCACATCAGAAGAAACTGTCCTCTTCAAAAAATAAACTGCTCTGCCTGAAAACACCTCTTTTGTGGCCCCAACCACCCTCTGCCAGAAGCATCCAGACAAGTGCTTGAAAAGAAGGCTGTCACTTCCTTTCCTAACTACTTGCCCTGAAAACTGCTATTTTACAGTTGCCAAGATAAATTTCCAATTTCTGCACTTACCCCATTGCCTTCACACAAGGAGGTATCTGTTGTTATACAGCACTTATTGTTTCACTTTTTCTGAGGTTCTCAATTTTACCATCAACGTAAAACGTAGTCTCATGGCAGGGCTTGCTTCCCTATTACTTTGGGATGAAGACTGTGTTGGGGCAAAGTATAACAAAGCAAAGCTCAGCTATTCCAACCTGGCCACAATAGCCAGGCTTGATTGGTGGTGGGGTCTGAGTGCCACACAGAGAATGCCTCCTGTTTGCCATCCAAATTCTGTGTTCTTGGAGAGTAAAAGCTGATTGGAAGGATCATTGACTCAGAGGGCACAGAAACCTAGCATGATTTATTTTTAGTAAGCTCCAAGGTCTTCGTCAAGAATGGCCCAGTTGCTGAGGCCGGGCAACCAGGAGTTAGCACCCCTGTGCCAGGTTGTTTGCCTGACAGAGACCTCCTTGCCAAGGCTGGAGTGGCAATGGGCGTTGCCCACAGGAGGTTTTGCAGGGCAGACAGTACAGCCAGGCAGCCTAACAGGGTAATTATTATTTTTAACACTTAACAGACACAACATCCTAGGTGCTCCATGCTGATTGTCTTTTTGCTTTTACAAGTCTGGCACTAAACTGCCAGAACTAAATAAATGCAGTAACAATAATTCCTTTCAGCAAAAAGATCAAGAGAAGAAGGGTTACTCAGAATAGCCTAGACTGGGTATTCATTTATCACAAATCAACAGCACAGCTTGGCTTATTAGTGTGGAAGTAAAGATGAATGCCTGAGGGAGCCCTGGCTGCAGACTCCCTGGGCTCCCAACAAGGCCAGTTGTGATGTATGCTTTTCATATTGAATTTGAATTCCTATTTTTAGAAATCTTTTCTAGACATGTGTGGTTTAAGAAACTTTTATTCAGCATCACACTGTGCAGCTTAGAAACTCAGACAAATGGCATTCTAGCTTCCTGCAACATCACCAAGCAAATGTTAATACTAAAACCAATTGAGCATTTTGTCTAATGCTTGACTTCCTAAAACAATCATTTTGTTTTTCAGGTAAAATACCTGAGGAATGCCTTAACTCACTGAAGTCCCAGATGTAAGAGTAACAGAACTTGTCCTTGTTTCAAAGGTAAATAATGAAGCATTTTAAAAAGAAGTGAGATTTTGTAGATGGGGAGGGGAGGAGGAATTGAAGGGAAGGTAAGAGAATAGGGGACAAAAACAAGTTATATCATGTACAGGTACAAATTCTCTATGATGAATATGATTATCATGTATATCTAAAATGTATCAATAAAATATAATTTTTAAGGGGAAAGCATGAATGCAGTTCCCCATTACAATAAAATATGCAGTCAAGTTTCCCACATTTGGGGAAATCACAGGGTTCAGCACAACTACAGTACAAAGGATAAGCCTCATCCTGGGTAAACCATCTTCGTGATCATGGTATCTCCCCTGTCAGGTAAGTATAAAAATATAATTTTAAAAAGAAAAGGAGGTGACAGATGTGCATAAAATTTTCTCCAAAACAGTGCAGCAGCAGGGTGATGTTGAAGAACAAAGACCAGATATGAATTCAAAGTCGTTGGATCAGGATGATAGGTGGGTTACTCGTGCCATTGTCTGCAAATGTGAGTTTGAGAGTGTCCATCACAAAAAATTAAAGAAAAAACAGACACTGGCTTCAGATTTCAGATTGCCTGCTGTTGACCAGTTGGGAAAACTTTGATAAGAGGCCCTCTATGTCATTTGCTTATCTCTCAAATGGGAATTGCTATCAAACAACTACCATTACAGATACTTTGTTGGATGCATAAAAGGAACCCTAAAATGCATGGCTTAAAATATGACCTTAATGTGTGTTTTGCTCATGAATGTGCAACATGGCCATGACTTTGTGGGACTCCTCAGCCTCACTCATACCCTCTCCCTAGTGAGGCTGGCTGCCACCCAGTCCTCTGGGCACTGCCAGCCAGAGCACAACCAAGCATCCTCTCACTGGCATAGGCTTCCTTCCCACATGTTGCTTAGTCCTATCAAAGCTTTCTTATGACCAGTCTTGGGGAGCCACACAACATTACATCTACTACACATTATTCACCCTGACATCACTCAAGCTCAAGTGTCTTGATGGAAGTAGAAGGTTCTGGAAGGAATACTGCTAAGGCCTTTTTTCTTAACTGCTGTAGTTATTTGGGGGAAACAGAACCTGCCACCCCCACCCCACACGCACACTGATCGTGAGTGGCTCCCGTTTATCACCTCCCAAGGTAGTCACTGGTCTGCTCTGTCCCAACCAACAACGCTGCATCATGGCTTCAACCCTAGGATAGAAAAGCTTGCTTCAGCTGATACTGGGATGCAGGCTGCTCAGCTTGTCCTAGAGAAGGCACTTTCGAGGGCTTTCCATAGCAGTTGGGTTTGTTCTGTAAGCCAAATTAAAAAGGGAACTATTGGTCTGCATTTTTGCACAAAGGCCAAAGACTACTGATGTGCCTAGAATGGGGCAGGAAGCCAGGCTTGGAGCCTGACTGGTCGCTGCAGCTATTTGGACTGCACTTTTTCAAGCCTTCCCTGCATTTGTGGTGCATTCTCCTTTTGTAACACCTTTTCTACTGCCACACTACAAGCCCTTGCTCCAGATAGTTTTCTTTGTTTCGTTTTGGTCAAAGTGCAAAGCATGAGCTAGTTTGGGCCTTCTGACTTTTAGCCCAAGCTGTGCCAAGCTGAGCAGGTTACCGAGCAGGTTGCCGTCTCTGTCTTCAGCTTCTTGGCCCGGAAAATCAGAATGTCTCCTTCTTGGAAGGGCTGAGAGAAGTAATGAGATTATGTGCACAAAGAACTTGGCAAAGGTTGGTTGCACTGGTGCATGCCTGTTATTCCAGCTACCCGAGACTGTGCAAGAGGACAGCAAACCTGGGCAACTTAGTGAGACCCTGTCCAAGATTGTAAAAAAGTGAGGAGGTTGTTGCTGGGGATGTAGCTCAGCATTCCGTGGTTCAATTCTCAGTGGTGGTGCAGGCAAGATAGGCTGGCATACTGAGCCCTCAAGAGTCTGCCCACTTCTGGGGGCTCCAGGCAGGCCTGGCGCTAAGCCTTCTTGGGGCTCAGCTCGCCCAGGCCCGGCCTTTCCATCCTAGATGCTCTACCCACGCCCCCAGTCTCGCCTCTGTGTGGATTCTTAGGGTAACCATGACCAGCAGTGTCAGTCCTTGCTCAACAGAGAGTGCGAGAGTGCTGGAGCCGCCGTGGTCTTTTGTATTTGCGAGGAGCGTCAGACAGAAGTGCACTTCGCCCGGAGTCAGACCTGGGAAGGGGCCTGCGGGCTCAGGCCGGCAGGGGGCGCGCGCGGGCAGGGCGGGGCCGCACCTGTCCAGCGGGCCGGCGACATGGGGAGGGGATCGCGGCCCCGGAGCAGCTGTGCGCCCCGCCCCGCGGGCTCCTCCCCGCCGCCGCGGCCCCCCGGCTGCCGCCCCGATGCGCTGCGCCGGGAGCCCAGGCCAAATCGCCGCTGCAGCTGTTGGCGCGTCCGGGCCGGGTGAGGCCGCCCGGGCCCCCCGCCGCGCCCGCCAGCCACATGGAGCCCCTGGAGGGCCCGGGAGGTGAGTATGCCCTGCCGCGCGCCGGCTGATAGGACCCCGCTGCTGCTGCGCTCTGCACGCCCGTCCCCGCCCCTCGCCCGGCCCGGCCCGGCCCGGCTCGGCCCGGGAGTCCTGCCTGACGCTACCGCGTTGGGGCCCGAGAAGCCCCGGAGACCCCCAGCCGAGCCTGGCTGGGCTGGGCGGAGTGCGGGGTCCGGCCGGTCCAGGTAGTGGGTCCCCTGTAGGCTTTGTTCGAGCAGCCGCGGCCCCGGGCCTGAGGCGCGGCACAGGAGGTGGCGTCTGCCCGGTGCGCGAGGTGCGGCCTTGGGGACACTTGGTTTGGGAGCCCACGGCCTGGCGCCCTTCTTGGGATTCGGCCTCAGCTTGGGTGGTGGCTGATAATGAGGAGAAACTGAGAAAAAACCCTTCGCTCTTAGTCTCTTTCCAGAGGGTTTCAGGATCCATGGCCTAGGGACTTGGATGCAGGCTGGAGCCCCTCCCCCTGCCTGCCGGACCTAACATCTCCTGTGGGTCCTGGAGTCCCAGCTCCTAGGGAGTGTGGGCGCCTGGGGGGGGGGCAGCCCTGCCAGTCACCAACCCACACACACCCAGCCAAACACTGGCTTCCTCTGGCTCAAGTTAGGGACCCCCATCATTGCCTCAAAGCAGCAGGCACACAAAAGCGCTCCTAGGGTGAATCTCCTCCTCTGCCACTTCTGGGAAGGAATCTGAGCTCTTGCTGTTGACAGCCCAGGACCCTGGATCTCCCCTGTATCAGCTCAGGGGTGGGGCACCACAAGGGGATACACCTGCAGAACATGGGCTGGGGACTCAGAGCTCTCTGAGCTGTCCCCCAAGCCTGTTTCCACAACCATGTGAGGGGACAGCAGCCTTCCCCCTGTTCAGGAAGATGGCAGGGTGAGGCATTTGGGGGAAGAGGTTGGGTCTTTTCTCCCCACCTCACCTCCACCTTTGCGCAAAGGAAGGGCTTCAGAGAAGCGCCCAGAGCTCAGGGAGCAGAGACTGCGAATATACCACTTTCTGGCCCGCGGCTTTAGATAACTAATGCATTCAGTGTGTATGATTTACCAGGTGCCTGCCACTGGGGACACACAGAAGGACTGGGCCCTGAACTCAGAGGATTCATGCCCTTGGCTGCTTCTGTTCTCACCTGTCTGGACCTTGGGCTGTGGTCTCTACCATGCAGCCCTCATGAGCCTTCAGTTTGGTAACTGACTATATCTGACTTCTCCCTTATTTTTGAAACTTTATTTTGGAGAATGCAAAGCACACCCATAACTAGAGATCAGTAAGATAATACTCCATGACCCACCATCCAGTCCCCAGACTATGGAATTAGCCATGGCAGCTTATTGAGACCACCACCAACCTCCTTTGAGTAGTACTTTAAGAAAATCTAGACACAGTTCATCCATATGCACTTAAGAAATTAAATGGTAAAAATTTTACAAGGCATCATTAAAACAGCATTTTTGCACCTAAATGAACAGCAATTCTTAGAGTGTACAAATTGGGTATGGTGGCACACATCCGTAATCCCAGCACTCAGGAGGCTGAGGCAAGAGGATTGTCTTGAGGTCAAAGCCAGCCTGGGCTGCATAGTGTGTTCAAGGCTAGCCTACACTACACAGTGAGACCTTATCTCAAAAAATAATAAAATTTTAAAAATTTAAAGATCAGAGTGTACAGTCTACAGAGGTATAATTTATACAGAGGTATAAATTGTGCCCTGGCCTTGGAGTTTGTCCTTGGTTTCTTGAGACAAGGGGAAAGGGGAGGGGGGCTGAAAGGCCAGATGTCATCTCACCTCCAAAGCACCCTAGAGAACTAGAGAAGGTCTGGGTCCAGGGACAGGGTGCTGGGGAGATGAGACCACGGCCTCTCTCTCTGTGAACATCTCTCCTCCCACAGACATTTTGATTTATATTAATTCATTTCATTAATCCACTTGGTGATATGAGCAGAGTGGCAGAGCCCCAGGAGCCCAGCAGAGAATGAGATTTGGGCCAAGTTTTTGAAACAAATGTGTTGGAAAATAGGCCATTGACAGAACCCAGGTACCAGCACCAGGCGTTTGGGGACCTGCAGGGGTAGGGCTGTGGCCCCAAACTCTAGCCTCCACCTGCAGGTCACGTGGTGGCAGCCCTGATGTGGGCTCCAGGCTCCTCCTTGACAGAGGTGGTACTGGAACAGGAGCAGGGACAGTGCGGGAGCCGCACCCTAGTCCTTCCCAGGACTTTGGAAATACACATGCTCTTGCTCTGGCCAGACTTTCCCAGGGCTCCAAGTCCACTGCTGTGGTTCAGCCATGCTGTAATACCCCACCCATGCCTGGTGTCAGACGGCTTTGCCTCCAGCTCAGGGGAGCAACATGTTCTGTCCTGGAGAATCTGTCCCTTCTTCCTACAAGAGCTTGTTGTGAGGGTATAAAAGGACAGGTGATTCTCTGCACAGCCACTTGCAGTCTTGAGATCATTCAGATCATTTTTTTTTTCTTGAGACAAGGTCTAGCTTATATAATTCAGTCTGGTCTTGAACTCACTGTGTAACCCAGGATGGCCCCAATTTATGGTAACCCTCTTGCTTGAGCCTCCCGAGTGCTGAAATTACAGGGGTGCATCACCATGCTCAGCTAATTTTTTAATTGAGATGTAATTCACATATAAAATTCATCCTTTTAAAGCATATAATTCAATGTTATTATATTCAAAAATGTGTGCAGTCATCACCACTATATACTATTAAGACTTTTCTTCAGTGTCGGAACTCAAACTCAGGACCTTGCACTTGCCATCCTAGCCCCTAAAATATCACCTCCTAAAAAAATCTGTATCCATTCCACACCTCTGGCAATCAATAATCTACTCTCCATGGATTTGCCTCTTCTGAACCCTAGCTTCTTGCATTCATTGTGCTGTTTTCAAAGCCCATCCACACATTCCTTTACACTGCTGCATACTATTCTGTCATGTGGATATTTCTACTTGGGGTCTCCATCCACTGATGGTGTTAGTTTTTGTTTGTTTGTTTGGTTTTTGGTTTTTGGTACTGGGAATCAAACTCAGGACCTTGTGCTTTCCAGGCAGGCACTGTGCCAATGAGCTATATCCCCATTCCTTGGTGTTCTCTGAACCTAGGAGTGGTGCAGCAGTCCCCACAGGGCTGCACTGCTTTATGTGCTAAGACTACTCTTGTCCTTACTTAAGTGCTCACCCCTCATCTGTCCCTGGAATTTTGATTTCAGTCTCATTTCCATCAAATTCTTCCAACCAAGAGTCATGTTCTTGATGGCAAAAGTTGTATCTTCTCCATTTTCCCATCTCATGGTTTTGGCACAACCCAGAGTACCAGGGTTTACAGGACAAAGATGAGGACACAGGGAAAGGGAGAGGACAGAAATCAAAACTGGAGATATGCTGGCTTAGGAAGTTCAGGGGCTAGGAATTAGGGTTAGGGTCAGAGTGCTTACCTAGTGTACACAAGGCCTTGGGTTCCAGTCCCAATACAGCAAATTTTTTAAAAAGTGAAGTTCCAGGGTACACATTATGCCCACTGTATTAACCCACCCACTGCTAAAATGGGGAGCAGTGCTTCTGAGAGTCACCTAGAGCCATGGTACCTAGGGGCTGGAGGTTTCTCCCAGGAGTCAGCTAAGGCCCTATGCAATGCCAGGGTCATGAGGAATGTTGGTGCTTCTAGCCCCTCCCCAGTACAAGAGATGATGGAGCTTATGTCTGGCTGAAGTCCAGCTAGGGGTCCTGTATCAGCACAGGAGAGGGAGCCTAGCAGGCAACAGCAGACTTCTTTCCCTCCTGGACTTCTTCCTCCCTGGCTGTACCATGAAAGGGACACCGGAGGATGCTGTACCTTCACAGCTTCTCCCACTTCGCTCAAAATAGAAACCAAAGTCCTGAGAACGCCCACATGGTCTGCACGCCCTACCAAGGCTCCTGCCCTTGCCCATCTTCACCCCACCTTCTGGCCCTGCCTCCATGTCCAGAGTGTGTTTTGGATATAAGCTTCACTCCTCTCTGGGCCTCTGCATGCATTGTGGACACCAGGCCTGCCCCAGAGACTGCACAGCTGCTGCCCACACCACACTTCTTGATGCCTATTGAGGGCCCTCGGGACTCTCCCTGAAGTGGGCAGCAGGCCTGCTGCTCCAGGCTGCCTGCCCCTCTTGAGGGCAAGATCCTCTATCCAATAATTTTTTTTCGTCTTTTTTTTTTTTTTTTTCCGTTTTTATCGGTACCAGGGATCGAACTCATGACTGCCTGCTTGCAAGGCTCTATCCTATTATTATCTTGTGTCCAGAGCCGCATGGGTGCTCAGGAGTTGGATGTGACCAGGGTCTGTCACTGCTGCATTAAGAGGCTGGCCCTGTGCTGCTGCCCTGACAGGTGCAACCCTGACTCACGTGTCTGTCTATGCCCTCCCTTGTAGCTGCTCTGAGTGATGTCAAGGCACAGTGTGCAGCACTGCACTGCCTAGCACACAGCATAGAGAACCCCAGGCCACTCTTCTCCATCATCTTCTTCCTCAGGGGTCAGCTTCCCAGGTCATCTCCACACAGGACACCCCTGCAGAACTGCCTTCGCCCAGGTGTCCTTAGTTTCAGGAGGGCTGGGGTGGGAGGGTGCACCTTGGAACAGAGCAGGGCAGTGTGCAGCTGAAGGCCAACCAAGGGCCTCCACTGTGGGGCCAAGAAATCCCCATGACTCAGTTTCCCCACCTGTCCCCCCTCTCACAGTAGACAGATGGCAGCACCTTTTTGAGCCTCCCAGCCTGGCCAAGTCACACAGCCAGCTCTAAGCTATGGGAAGTATTTTAGACTTGTGATCCTGGCATAGGCCTGCAGAATGTGAAGCAAATCCTTGGGCCCTCAGGGATGGGCACCTGAGCCCTCTTGGGCCATGTCCCCTCTGTAGGTCTTTGTCCACTGCTAACTGTGGAAGGAGGTCCCATTCCCAATTCAGAGCAGGGTTAGTTACATACTTAGTGTGCCCTGGGTTGGGTGGTGTCCTGGCTGGGCTTGGGACACTGGCAATTGCAACTGTACCTTTCAAGGACACTCAGAAACTGTACTCCTGCTGCCAGGTAAGAGATAGAAACCAGACTGTCTGTGTACCCAAGCCTGAGGCAGGAAAGCTAACTGGACAGGGAAGGTGTAGCTCCATCTTCACCCACTTCCTGTGCTAAGGTAGGTGGGAGCCCTCAGGGGGCCAGGGCTCCTAGCTCTGTACTGAATTCAGCTGGGTAGTGTGAGGGATGCGCAAGGCCACTCCAGACCTGTGTGTCCCACCTGTTGGCACCCATACCACCCCACATCAACAGAGAGGACAGGATGCCCCCACACACACAAGGCAGCTGTCAGCAGAGCTAGGCTGGGCTGCTGGGCTTCCCTCGGGGTGGTGGCTGCTCTGCTCCTCCTACTGCCTCCCTCTTCACCAGCCAGGGCTGCCCAGAATACCTGGGCACTCATGAGACCCAAGTCTGCTCTTGGGTGCCATGTCAGTGGGAGTTAGGAGCAAGGAAACCCCTCCATGTAAAAAGACTGGGTGCAACAAGTAAGGCTGGGGCCTGGGAAGGGACTGTTAGGGAGGCAGTACCTTGGGCCCAGGGCTCTCGAGTGTCACTTCACCGACCTCAGGCTGTGTCGGGGGAGACATGGAGGCTGCACTGGCCTACTGTAGCTGGAGAGGGCTCTGAAGAACCCAAAGGAGACCCAGGACTTAGACATAGATAGGAAGGCAGAATCTAGAGTAACCCCGAGATGTTGGCTCAAGTACCCAGAAGGCACAGTTGGTACTTTTATCCTAGCAGGGCCTAGAAGGGCCTCTGCTCTTGCCAGAGAAAATGTTTAAAAAATGAGTAATTAGGCTGGGTGTGGTGGTACACGCCTATAATCCCAGTACTCGGGAAGCTGAGGCAGGAAGATCACTGTGAGTTTTAAGGTAGCTTGAACTACACAGTGAGACCATCTCCCCCCAAAACCACATCCCTGTTTAAAAAAAAAAAAAAAACAAAACTGAGGAATTGCATTTTTTGACAAAAAAAAAAAAAAAAATCTGTACAGAAATGACCTCAAAGAACACTTGCCCCTAGTACAGCAGGACCAGTGGCAGAAATACAAGGACACAGTGGTGGCTTCCCACGCGTCACACAATTCTCTGAGTTCAAACATGGCATAGGCTTGGGATGGGAATTTAATCCCCAGAGAAACAGCAGGAGAACCCACAGGACCACATGTGCAGCAGTATCTCCTCATCCCTAAGAGGAAGCAGGGCCACTGGTGGTATCAAGTCGCCTTGTACACCCCAGATCTAGACCCTAGGGCATATGGGGCATAAGTCTTGAGGTGACTCTGTGTCTTGGTTGCAGGGATCGTTAAGGAAGTCGAGGTACCACAGGCTGCCCTGGGTGTCCCAGCCCATGGGACAGGGGACAGTGGCCACTCACCTGTGGCTGAGGAGGAGGCGGGCATCCCAATCCCAGCACCAGGTCTCCTGCAGGTCACTGAAAGGAGACGTAAGTATTGTGACCTGCTGTGTGCTCCATGGGGAACTGAATCCCACAGGAACTGAGGCACTGGGTATGAAGGAAGCACTGAAGCACAGGGACAGGGACAGGCCTTGCTGAGCCACAGTAAGACCAAGGGCTGGGACATGCCCAGGCTAAGTGTGCAGGACAGACCTGGGATCAGACTGGCCTCCCCAAGGCTACAGGGAGCAGAGCAGATGTCCAGGTTCTAGCTGGGTGGGGGGGTGACTGTGCTTCTTGCGCCCTTTCCCAGAGCCCCTGAGCAGTGTCTCCTCTCTGGAAGTTCACTTTGACCTCCTGGACCTCACGGAGCTCACCGACATGTCTGACCAGGAGCTGGCCGAGGTCTTTGCCGACTCCGACGATGAGAACCTGACTAGTGAATCCCCAGCAGGTGAGTTGAGGTGCTCGGTGGGGGCCCAGGCTCCCCAGAGTCCTACTTTTGAAAGCAACTTCATTGCCAGATGTGGTGGCACACACCTGTAATCCCAGCAATCGAGAGGCTGAGGCAGAATTGCTGCAAGTTTGAGGCCAATCTGGGCTACACAATGAGTTCTAGGCAGCCTGCACTACAAAGCAAGACACTGTCTCAAAGAATACCAAAAAAAGAAAAACTACTTCATCTCACTCAAGCTCATCTTAATAAACACACACCATTTCATGCTATTTGCCCAGCAGAAGGCATTTCTCTCCTTCACAACTACCTCTACTGATTTTACTTTTCAAATGAGCAGTAAGAGGCCAAATCTATTCTCTTAAAAGTAGAATGTGCTAAATGTGAATTTTAACTATAACTTGGGTCGAGCACAAAATTAGGGTGAGGCGCATTTGCCCAAAGGGGTCCCTCAACTCCCTGATTTGATTTCGCCTCTGGTACTGGAAGCAGCACGGTAGCTGGCTCAGGCTCCCAGACAATGGGTGTGTGCAGGACGGCCCTGCCTTCCTGCCTTCTCTGCACTCCATGGCACAGCTGTTTTCTGTCTCTCCTAAGCCCTATGGGCATTTTCAGTAGTGTTCTTCAGTCTCCCAGTGAAAAGCATTAATGTAACTTTCAGTTCCCCACTGCAGGTTATGGGGTGGGTGAGCCAGATTCCCACCCCCACAATCTGGTGGTCCAGCCTCCACTTCCCCCAGCCACACTGCCCAGGCTGGAACCTGCTTGGCCCAGGTTAGTGCCCACCCAGTACATGCTGGGACCTCACTAGAGGTCTATCCCCACAGAGCACCTCTAGTGGGCCTGCTGGCAGCCTGCTCCCTGAGAGGGGGGGCAGCCTGTGTATTCCAAGGGAGATGTGCATGGGGCCAGACTGGTCTGTGGCTAGGCAGGGGCTTGCAACCCACCCCAGCCCTTACAGCCTCACCCAGGGAAGGAAATGGAGGTTCATAGTGGGACAAGTGAGGCTGGCAAGATCCCACCTGGACCACACTGGGACAGAGCTGGCAAACCATGGGCAAGACAGCAGTGCTCTGGGGACAAGACCTGCCTGCCACATTTGCACGTCAATGTGCGGTGCAGACCTCATGTTAAAGGCATCCAGAGCCCACAGAGTCCATGTCCTGTCCCCACCAGGTCTGCACCCATTGCCCCGGGCAGGCTGCCTGCGCTCCCCGTCCTGGACAAGGATGCGGGCCGAGCAGAACCTCGAGAAGCAGCCCCTTGGAGACCCTGAGAGGCAGGCTGCGATCGTGGACACATTTCTCACTGTGGAGCGACCCAAGGAGGACTAGGCTGTCTCCACCTGCTGAGCCACCCACCCTCACGATGGCAAATGCAGACAGTCTTGGCCTGGCAACACATGCCACCCTCCTCACGAGGCTCCAGTGGTCACCTCCTAACGGCAGCCAGGGAAGGGCTGCCAGCCACAGGCCTCTGGGCACCCAGCAAAAGCACAGCCCAGCGGCCTTACCTCCAGCTGCTGCCTATGCCTGGACAGAGACAACATGGCCACAACGTTACTGCTCAGGATGAAGCAAGCACAGCCTGGGCCTTCTGGAACCTTCTGTCCATAGGTCCAGTGCTCACAACAGCCCCCCAATCCCCATAGGTCCTGTGCTGCCTGGCTCAGATGCCAGAGTGGGCCTGGCGTAGCCCATGGGGTGCTCCACCACCCAGGCACACATGGGGCCAGGGCAGACCCCCCCCCCATGCACTCTATCTCGCCTACCCCTCTGCCCCAGGGAGGCACTGCTGGTACCAGAGCCCCCTCCCCAGCCCACTCCAAGACCTGTGTCTCCCCCACTAAGACAGCCATGGGATAAGGGCATGGTGCATCTCTTCCCCATCTTGTAACACCAAATAGGGCCGCTGCCTCAGAGCTCAGACAGCTGGGACAGGGCTCGCCCTCTCCCACCATACCCTTGCGCCTGCTCCCCACATCCCGCACCTGTCAGCCACATGCAGGAGGCAGCCTGGCTCTGGATATGTCTGATGGGCCAGGCCCAGGGCTTTGGTAGGATGGGTGTTCACTGAAAATGGACACACAGGTATCTGAACTGACCATGAATCCAGGCTAGTTTTGAAGTGAAAGTTCAAACTTGTGTTCCATCCCCAAGCCAACCTGCCTTCCTATCCCTGCTGATGCTTCTAAGGCAGCAAGCTCAACTTCACTCCCACCAGACACTCCTGGAGACCTGGACAGCAGGGCTCCTGCCAGAACCCAGGAGTCCTTCCTGAGCTTCCCTCTGCTTGGGGCCACTTCACTGACCAGGCCGCCCAGTGAGCACTGTCCCTCATTCCTGATGGACACAGAAATCCCCAACTTGTGCAGCGTGAGCCCCATACCTGCCTTTCTGCTGTAGCTAACATAGCGTGTATTCAGAGTGGGATTAAAGCTTCACCACCATCTGAAGGCCTCACATTTTTTGTTGTTTTTGTGGTCCTAGGGATTGAACCGAGTATGTTGGCCAAGCCAAGCTCCAACTTGTGTTCCTCCTGCCTCAACCTCCCAGAATGCGGAAACTCCACTAAAACTACAGTATCACAATGGCCAGTATGGCCACCACGGCACAAAGCCTGTAGGAGTGTGAGGTATCCTGTGCCACTGGGTTGATCTCTGCCTGATGCCCCTGGGGCTCTGATGTGCTGCACGCTAAGCTGTGCTTGCTTTGGTGTCATTTTGATGAGTGCTCCACATGGTTCAGAACCCTCTCTTCCCCACAGCTGTGTCCCAGGGAGCCTTGGCCTGGCCCCCATCCACTTCAATCATCCAGGAGCTAAGGTGGAGACAGGGCCTTCTGCCTGAGGACCCCCAGCAGAGGTCTCAAGTGATCAGAGTCTAGGGCTGTCCTGTGTTCCCAAGAATAGCCCATAGTACCCAGAAAACTATAAACCCCACTCCCAGAGAGGGAGGTAGGTGAGCACACTGGCCTGCCTCAGCTGTAATCAGGTCGAAGGCATCTGCCACCACCTACCCCAGGCTCCATGGTTGGGGCACCAACAGCACAATGCCTGTTCCCAACAGGCAATGGAGGGTAGCAGCAAAATGAATACTGCTATCAGACCATCCTGCTCGTCAATAAGCAGTGGTGAAAGATGGGTGTTGGGGTGGCTGGACCTGATGTGGTGAGGGAGGGGCCTGCAGGGCAGGTCAGGTCAAGGGGCCCAAGATCAGCATGGCATGCTGGGAGTGACCACAGCCCTCTGCATTCTAGCTTCAGGGACAGACCCTTGACTCTCCAGCAGTATTGGTGGGAACCAACCACAAGGTCAGCTATTGTCCAAGCCACCACACCACAGTCATTCAGTGATGACAATACCAGGCTGGAGGTCCTATACAGTGCTGACATCCCAACAGAGCAATCCACCTCCATCACAAGGACCACAGGACAGGGTCCAAGTGGTTCTGCAAATCTGGGTTTGGTAGAGGCTGAGGCCTGGAGATTTAAACTTTCAATAATATATTTTATAAGCAAGAATTGAAAGTGCCTGTCCCCAGCAGGACCTCTATTTCTGAGGTCACAATCATGCAGAGGTGTAGTAGGGTGTCAATGGTGATGGCTCATAGCTCTGTATCCTGTGAACTGGCAGGAAGCAGGGGAGACCTCCACTAAAACCCACAATATTCACAGAAAAGGAAAAGGGCCTTTTAGCTCATGGCATTAAAAAGGCATTCTGCTCACAACCTGGAGCTGGCCTTCCTCTTACTGGAAAGCAAGATAGTCAACCCAAAGCCAGGACCAATAGGCATCCAAAGAGATCTGAGGGCCTGCACAGGGCATGCAGACTATCACTCTGTGGGGAACAAAACTAACCTACTCAAAGACCAGGGGCTCAGGCAAGCAGGCCTGTCCCAGACCCAGGTACACCCCAAGTTCCACTACCCTCCCTTAGCCATAGTCCTTAATGGCTCTGGGTTTCTTTCCCAAGCACTGACCCACTTCCCAGAAGGCCCAGCTGACTAACACCTGGTCTTTCCTTATTGATGCGAATTCCTTCACAGGCTCCTGTTTTCCCTGGGTTTCCGAACCCATCCCTTGAGGGCATTCATGCTGAGTCAAGACTCTCCTGTGAGGTACTATAAGACATCTAGGGACACTGGAAACTGAGTTGCCTCAACTGAAAGGCCAGTATGAGGTTCTTGAGGGTACAGAGCCCTGGGTGATACCACACCCAAGGGTCAGGGAGAAATAGGACCTCCCTTGGCTCGTTGCCACTCCCCTGTAACCCTGGAGCCACCTCCTGGCTGGCCGCTCCCCTATGTGGGTCCTAGGTGCCTCCAATACGCCCATTGGTGGTTGTGACTGGTTTAATGTGCTTTCTGGTGGTTCTGGCAGTTGCTCTCAGAGGATGTGGCTGCAGCGGTGCTACGCGCCAAGTACTGCTCAGTGCCCCCCTCCTCCTCTCCCCGGTTCCAGTCCTTCAGCCCCTCAGGAAGGGATGTGTTCTCCTCCAGGCTGCCAGTGCCCTCCACAAACTCCTCATAGGTGGACTTCTCCGCGAAGGGCCGTGGGCCCAGCAGCTCGACCATGTCAGCCTTCTCTAGCACCTCCTTTTCGAGAAGCCGCCGGCCCACCTGGAATAACACCACCTGTCAGGCTCCTGGACACTGTAGCCCTCACCCCAAGCTGCCCCAGCATGGCCACTAGCCCTACTTGCCTTTTCCACCTGTTCCCGGCACTGAGTCAGCAGCTGTAGCGTACAATCATAGGCAGAGCTGATGACATGACGAACCTCCTCATCAATGAGCTGGGCAGTGGCCTCGCTATAGGGCTTCTCCATAAGGGCCTCACCTTGTTGTGGGAGGTCAAAGGACACCTGGCCCAGCCTCTCACTCATCCCAAACTGCACAATCTGGAAACCACAGGAGCCCAGGGTGAGCTATGCCCACAGGCTGTGGGGCTATGCCAGGACACCCACCTCTTACCTGTGCGTACGCACTCTGTGTGACTTTCCTCAGGTCATCTTGTGCCCCAGTAGTGATCCGCCCAAAGAACAGCTGCTCAGCCACCCGGCCCCCGAGCATCATGCACATGCGGTCAAAGAGCTGCTCTCGTGTATAAAGGTGCTGTTCCCGGGGCAGGTATTGGGCATAGCCAAGCCCCTTGCCACGGGGGATGATGGACACCTGCAAGACAGGACAGGACTCTAGTCTGTCCCCACACAGTCCTCACAGGTGCTGCCCGCACCCACATGGATAGGGAGGAGAGGCCTAACCTAAGCCCTACACCAGCTAGCAGAGGGCTTCCTTGGAGAGCAACCTTGGGGCTGTTTTCAGAGACCATCTAGGTTGGTCCTGCAGCCATGAAGACTCTGGAGACACTGACAAATTCCAAGTTTAGGAGCCAAATGAGCTTTAGATCAAAATTTCTCAGGTTGGGGATATAGCTCAACGGCACAGCACCTGCCTGGCAAGCATTAGGTCCTGAGTCAATTCCCGGTATAAAAATAAATAAGAGGCTCCATCTAGAGCCAACAGCCCTGCTCTGCCTTCCAGCCCCAATTAATTAATCTTGGACAAACTCTGATCAGTGTACTCCTCAAAGAGTAAAGGTGATACCCATGAGTGTTGTACTGTGTGGGTGGCCACACAGCCAGTCCACCAGGTCTAAAGACCACTCTGCCTCAGCAGACACAGTCATAATGACTGACCTTCAGCAAAGGGTCTGCATGCTCCAGGAACCAGCCCACTACTGCATGCCCAGCCTCATGGTAGGCCACAGTCGTCTTTTCACTGGGCTGTAAGACCTGGGTCTTCTTCTCAAGACCTGCAGATCACATTTCCTGTGAACGAGAGCTGAGAGAAATGCCCACCACCCAGCCCTCCACAGAGGAGCCTGTCTATGCCACATTCCACTCCCTGTCCCAGCTGTCCTCACTGCTCACATCATGCCGCTTAGTGGGTGATTACCACATCACTTTCTATGGTGCAACAGGAAGACAGACACATACAGGGATGGACAAGGGACATTTCCACCGTCCTAACAGCGGGCAACAGGCATGTGACAAGGACAAGGAGACAATGGCACACATCACGCTGCTCCAACTAACTGCAACAGGTTTAGCCAGCTCAGCAGAGCCTCCAACATGGTCTTGAGAAGTGCAGGTGTTTCCTGGTACACACTACTTAGTACTATTGCATAAGGCCTCTTCACACATACATTATACTTTGTAGGGTTTTGTTGGGGGTTGTTTTCTAGTTTTTCAAGACAAGGTCTCACTATGTAGTTCTGGCTGGCCTCAAACTTATGGTGATTACAGGTATGCACCACAAAGCCCAGCTGTGTTATACTTCACACAGATAGTGCTCAAGGATGTTCTCCCACGGGCTGCCTGCAGTTCTCCGTGGGGCATGGATGCTGAAAGGAGCTGCTGCTGCCTGCCTTCAGGAAGATGCCAGGGAGGCCAGATCAGCTCAGTGGTACCAGAGATCTAACTCCTGCTGAGCTACTTGAGCTACAGGAGGCTGTGTGACTGCTCCCCTCCCCAGTGTGCTGGCTGAAGACAGAAAACCAGGACAGCAATCCCTTCAGCTAAAGAAAATGTATTTTCCTGGTGTGGAAGGACCACCTTCAATCTCAGCATTCAGGAAGGCTAAGGGAGTGGATCACAAGTTTAAACTCAGCAGGGGTAACTTAGTGAAACCTGCCTTAAAATAAAGAATAGGAGTATAGGACTATAGTTCAGTGGTACAGTGCACAGTTTAATCCCCAAAACCTCAAAAAAAAAAAAAAAAAAGCACCATGTTACACCAATAACAATACTGACCAGGAGCACCCAGGCAGCAGGAGTTGGAGTGGTCCCTGCACTGCCCTAGTCCCCCGAGCTCCTTCTAGGAAACATCATAGCTCCTTTCAGAGAGGCACTCTGCTGCCACCCCAGGCTTTCTACCAAAAGCACAAGAGCAGCTGGAACCAAATCTGGATTTGGAAAGTTGTTCACATTTCCACAAGTGAGGCTGGGGTGAGGACAGGCCAGAATCAGAGTCAGGAACATCCCCTCCTCCCAGGCTCACCTCCGATAACCCTTTCGATGGCTTGTTCGAAGTGCTTCTCCTGAACAGAAGGACTCAGGTAGCGGGCTGCAATCAGTGCGGCTTCATTGCACACATTAGAAATATCAGCACCTGGCCCAAGAAAGGAGAGACAGCAAACAATAATTTCTCCTGGTTGCAAAGGGTAATCTCAGAGACCAAAGTCAACCTTAACACAGTACTCCAAGTCAATCAAAACAGCTTTATGGATCACTTTGGATTATGGGTATGCACCACTGGGCCTGGCTATCAGTCATCACCATTTTGGGCCAAATTCTGTAGCTAAACTTCATTGATAAATAATTCATCTATCATAAATGCATACATATTGATTTTCAGTAAACTATCAAGTCATACAACTAGTTGCAGGACACTTTCTTCACCGTTTCTGAGATACCCTATACATATTTTCAGTTCATTTCCCATATACTGCATATAATTTTCTGGTTTGAAACCGTCCTTAAGTGGAGAAGAAAAAAAAGCAAGTTCAAAAAAGAACTCGAATACCCTGATTACTGTTTAAAGGAAAGTATTCAAATGTGTTTTGAAATTTTGTTTTTAGGACTTCTGGGAAAAGAAGCACCATCTAGATGCAGGACAATACCATCCTGAGGAAGACAAGAAGGAAAGAAGTGGGTCCCTTGAACCCAGGAAGAGCCTGAAGCTGAATCAAAGCCCATAGAGAGAGTAAAAAGACAAACTTGGGGGGGGGGGTGTCACAGTTCAGCTCAGCAGCATAAGCGCCTGCTTGGCAAGTGCAAGCTCCTGAGTTCAAGTCCCTGTACCAAAAAAGAAAAAGAAAAACTTGAACCAAGAAGGCAGTAGCTGGTGGCACCTTCTTCTGGAGCCACACTCACTGTGTGAGGGGAGCTGGTGGAACCTGGGGACACATGGTCACGGTGATGGTGGTGGCTGGCAACCCCAGAAGTCTCTACGAAAAGACTCAGTGGTGGAGGGGAGCAGCAGACATGGAGGACTGTGCTGCCTAGCAGTGAGTGCAGAGAACTAGGTCAAAGAATTTGACATACAAATAAGTGAGGCATATAGCACTCCAATTAGCAATGATCAAAAACAGCCCTGAGTCAGGCATATCATAGTCAAGATTCCAGAAATTCAACACTAGAATCTTGAAAGCTGTTAGGGAAAAAAACAAATTACCTACAAAGGAAAGCCCATCAGAATCACAGCTGAGTTTTTGGGGGGGTTTTTTTTTGGGTTTTTTTTTTGGTTTTTTTTTTTTGGTCTTTTTCTTTTTTATTGGTACGGGGCATCGAACTCACGACTGCCTGCTTGCAAGGCAGGTGCTTATGCCTCTGAGCTAAATCCCCAGCCCCCACAGCTGACTTTTCAGCACAAGCTCTCACATCAAGGAGAGCTTGGAGTGAAGTACTCTAAGTTCTAAAGGAAAACAATTTCAACCCAGATCAACATATCCCACAAAACTATCTTTCAAAATTAATGGAGAAACAAGATACTTTTATGGCAAAGAACATCTGAGGAAATTCATGACCAGCACTCAAAAATGTTCTGAAGGACATTCTAGAAAGAAACAGTAAGGACTACAGCTCCATGAACCCTAATAGAAGGAATCCACTAGGACAGACAACCAATTAGAGGAAAGGGAAAAAGAAAAACAGCAGCAGGGGAACCAATAATATGAAAATAACATGACAAGGATAAATTAATACATATCAGATTTTAACCATTAATGTTAATAGGCTCAATTCACCAGTTAAAAGACACAGACTGGAAGAATGAATCAAGAAGCAAGATCCAACAATCTTGTGCATCCAAGAAACATTTAATCAAAAAAACAATTCACAGACTGAAAGATAAAGGATGGAAAACAATACTCCGTGCAACAGGAATCCAGAAAAAAGCAAGAGTTGCTATTCTATTTGCAGATAAAGTGAATTTCAAGCCAAGACTGATTAAGAGAGATAAAGAAAGTCACTACATTCTTGTAAAGGAAACAATTCAAAAGAAAGAGATAACAATCATAAATATATATGCCACAAATATTAGTGCACCCAGCTATATAAAATGATTATTAATGAGCATGAAAAATCACATGAGCCTTAACACAATTGTATTGGGAGACCTCAATACCCACTGTCATAAAAAAACAGATCAACTAGACAAAAAAGCAATAATGAAATAGTAGAATTAAACTTTTGAGCAAATGAATTTAGTAGATGTCTATGGAGTGCTCCACCCCACAACATCAGAATACACATTCTTCTCAGCTGTACATGGGATAGTTTTCAAAATAGACCATACACTGGCTCATAGAACATGCTTACATAAATGTAAAGGAATTGAAACTATCCCACACATACTATCAGACCACAGTGCAATGAAATTGGAAATCCATGCCACAGGAAACCATAAGAACTTCATAAACACATGGAAATTAAATAGATCCCTACTCAACAACCAATCGGTCACATATAAAATTAAAGAAGAAATTAACAGTTTTTACAGTTGAATGATAATGACAATTCAACTAAAGGAACTTGTGGGATACAATGAAAGCAGTCTTAGGAGGGAAATTTATAACAGTAAATACCCATATCAGGGAAAGACAGCAAGTGCGTATAAACACCTTAATAGTGAACCTCAAACTTCTAGAAAACAAACAGCAGGCTAAGCCAAAAGCTAGAAGGGAGTAAATTATAAAAATCAGGCCAGAAATTAACACACTGGAGACTAAAAAAAAAAAAAAAAACAATCAATGAATCAAAGAGCTGGTTCTTTGAAAAATTAACTAAAACTGACAAACTCTTAGCCAACCTTATCAAAAAAACAAAAGAAAAGACTCGCTGGAGATTTAGCTCAGTGGCATAAGTGCCTGCCTTGCAAGCAGGCAGTCGTAAGTTCGATCCCCAGTACCGATAAAAAGGAGAAAGACAAAAATAAAAGACTCAAATCTATGCAATTAGGAATAAAAAGGGTCAAATTAAAACAGACTCTGTAAAATAGCAGAAAATCATGTATATCTACTTTGAAAACTTGTATTCTAATAAGATGGAAAACACAGAAGACATGGACAGATTCCTAGATACATATCAATTACCAAACCTGAATCAAGAAGATATAAAAATCCTAAATAATCAATGAAATCAAAGATGTAATTAAAAATCTATAGCAAAGCAAAGCCCAGGCCCTGATGTATTCACTGCTAAATTCTCAAGAAATTTAGTGAAGGTCTAACACTGCTACTTCTCAAACTCCTTAATGAAAATTAAAATGGAAGTAATACTTCCAAATCCATTCCTGAAAGCAAGCATTACTCTGATTCCCAAACCAGAGAAGGATCCAACTAAGGAAGAGAATTACAGGCCAATCTTTCTGATGAACATCAACACAAAACTCCTCAATAAGATACTGGCAAACAGACTGCAGCAAATCGTCAAGACTGTACATCATGATCAAGTGGGATTCATCCCACGGATGCAAGGATGGTTCAACATATGTAAATCCACAAATGTAATACACCATATTAACAGAGCCAAGGACAAAAATCATATGATCACCTCAGATGCAGAAAAAGCTTTGACAAAGTCCAACAACCATTCATGATATTAAAAAAAAAACCACACAAAATTGAAATACATGATCTTTTATCTCAATCTGATAAAAGCCATCCATGATAAATCAATAGCCAACATCTAAATTTCCACTAAATAGACAAAAACTAAAAGCTTTTCTCTCTAAAATCAGGAACAAGACAAGGATGTCCATTGTCTCTACTCTTATTCAACATAGTCCTCAAAAGTTTAGCAGGAGCAATTAGATAAGAGAAAGAAATAAAAGGAATAAAGATAGGAAAGGAAGAAGTTAAACTACCATTATTTGCAAATGACATGATATTCTACATAGAAGACCCAAAAAATTCCACCAAAAGACTTTTACATTTAATAAGCAAATTCAGTAATGTGGCTGGTTTCAAAGTCAACACTCAAAAGTCAATAGCCTTCTTGTACATGAATAACAAACTCACCAAGAGAGAAATCAGGGAAACTATACATTTTAGAATACCATCCAAAAAAATGAAATACCTAAAAAAAGGATGTAAAAGACCTCTAAATTGAAAACTACAGTTCTCTGAAAAAGGTGATTGATGAGGGTATTAGAAAATAGAGATATCCTCACGTCTGTAATCCCAGCACTCGGGAGGCTGAGCCAGGAGGATCGTTGCAAGTTCGAGACTAGCCTGGGCTACAAAGTGAGTTCAAAGCCAGCCTGAACTGCATAGAGACCCTGTCTCAAAAAAAAGAAAAAAAGAAAAAAAGAAAAAGAAATACATACCTTGTGTTCTTGGGTAGGAAGAACCAATACAATGAACATGGACAGTGCTGGGAATTTAGCTCAGTGGTGTAAGTGCCTGCCTCCCAAGCACAAGGTCATGAGTTCAATCCCCAGTACCAAAAAAAAAAAAAAGGCTATACTTCCAAAATTGTTATACAGATCCAGTGCAATTCCAATCAAAATTCCAACAGCATATCTTACAGAATTAGAGAAAACAATCTTATAATTATCTGGAATCAGATGAGACCTAGAATAGCAAAGACGATTCTAAGCAACTAAGACAAGATAAGGGGCATCATAATTCCAGACTTGAAATTATATTATCAAGCTACTGTGATTAAAAAAAAAAAAAAAAAAAAGTGTGGTAATGGCAAAAGCAGACCCAAAGATCAGCGGAACAGATTATAAGATGCAGAAATAACTGGAGACTGAGATCCGCGCCATGTTGGAATTTAGGACACTGGGAAACCAAACAAGCAGCTCGCCTCCCTGCTAAGTGGCTGCAGTGTGGCAGACTGTGGCCCTTCTAGGGGGAGAATATCAGTGTCTCCTGAGATCTGTGCCATGTTGGAACTTAGGACCCTGGGAAACCCAGCAAGCAGCTCCCTCCACTGGTAAGCAGCGGCCCTTCCAGGGGGAGATCCACCAGTGTTTCCTGAGGTCCAGCCATGTTGGAACTTAGGATGCTGGGAAACCAAGCAACCAGCCTGCCTCCCTGCTAAGCAATAGTGAACCTACTGGTGCACGGCCTAGAGTCAAACATCCCACTTTCCCTACTCTCCTTCCCCTGTCCCCCCATTAGCTAATGGGAACCAGAAATCTGAGCATCTCTTGAGAGGTTGACCATAGCAAATAAGGGGGATTTCCTTCTACCACCTCTTTGAAGGCAAACATTTTTATTACTGTTTTGCTTTATTCTGATTAAGAGTACTGCTCTATTCAATATTGTTTTGATAAGTTCTATAACGTTCTGTATTTCATTTTATTTTGATATAGTAATTGAAAGAACAACTATTGTAAAGATAACGAAATATACTGTGATACCTATTACTGTTATCCCGGTAACCTGCTGGGAAGTTCTGTACCAATTTCACTACACAGTCTCAGTTGGCTTTATTCTGTCTTGTTCTGTTGTATTTTACTACTTTCAAAATTAAAAAAAAAAAATAACTGGAGACACACTAAGCCACCTAATCTTTGACAAAGGTGCCAAACACGTCCACTGGAAAAAGTGCTAAGTCTTTATAATAAATGGTGTTAGAAAAACTGGCTTTCCACATGCCAAAGATTAAAACTGGACCCATATCTTTCACAACATACTAATCTAAAATCAGAATGGATTAAAGATCTTAATATTAAAACAGAAACATTAAATCTGCTAGAAGAGTAGATAAAACTCTCGAAGCCACTGATGTGGACACAGACTTTATAAATAAAACCCAGAGTGCACAGACAGGACTTAGTACAAAGAGTCAACAACTGGGATCTTACCTTACTGAAAAGCCTTTCTACAGCAAGAGAAACCACCAACAGAGTGATAAGACAACCCACAACATGGGAGAAAATGTTTGCCACATGTACCTCAGATAAAGGATTATTATCAAGAACATATAAAGTACTCAAAAAAAATCAGTCCTCCCAGATTTAAAGATCCAATACAAAAACAGGCATCTGAGATGAATACACACTTTTCAGATGAAGAAATAGCAACAGCAAATATATCCGTGAAAAAATGTTCAACAGCACTGGTCATTCGAGAGATGTAAATTAAAACAACACTAAGAAAATTACAGAAGCCATGAAAGCTCAGTTTGGGAAGTTTTGAACCATTATTCCTTCAAATGTTCTCTGTATACTTAGGCTCTGCTCTGTTCTGGAACCCCCAATATGCATGTGTTGTCTTGGTGGTGGCATATTATCACAGGTCCTTTAAGGTCTGTTTTTTATGTTTTGGTGTTTTAGAGACACGGTCTCACTGTGTAGTTCAGTCTGTCCTTGAACTCACTGTGTAACCCAGGCTGGCCTTGAACTCAAAGAGCTGCTCCTGCCTCAGTCTCCCAAGTGTTGGGATTACACGTATTACCATGCCTGACTACATTTCTATTTTTCATTCTTTCTGTTTTATAGAATGGTAACTTCATCTCAAACTCCAAGTTTTCTGGTTCTCTTCTATCTCCTCAAATCTGCTGTTGAACTTCTCTAATGAGGTTTTCATTTTACATCTAGTACTTTTCAGCTCCAGATCTACTTGGTTCTTTCTTGTAACTTCTACTTCTTTGCTACTTATTCTCTATTTGTTGAGATTTTTCCTAGTCTCCTTCAGTTTAATTTCTTTCTTTTTTTTTTTTTTTTTTTTTTGGTACCAGGGATCGAACTTATAACCTCACGCTTGCCAAGCAAACACACTGCTGAGCTAAACCCTTGGCCCCAAGACAGTCAATTTTAAGAATTGTTTTGTACATCCAATTCTGTGCTTCCTTGGGACAGTTGGGGTTTTGTTTGTTTGTTTGTTTTTTGTCTTTTTCTTCTTATCGGTACCAGAGATCGAACTCACGACCACACATTTGCAAGGCAGGTGCTTATGCTGCTAAGCTAAATACCCAACCCCCATTTTGTATGTTTTTATTTTTGTTGTTTTCACTGTGAACAGACAGCACTTGGTATTCTCTGCATGCTTTGTATTTTTTCTGTTAAATTGCTAACCTTTATTTTTATTGATACACTACAGTGCAAAAAATGACTAGAGAGCATCCAACAAAATTTTAAACAGCCAGGTTTCCAAGGGAACACCCAAGATTACAATAGCCAGTCTTTTCCAAAGGGGCATATAAAAAGAGCAGAGGGGAAGGTCTCCACCACAGAAGAACCACTGGAGTTCAACAGGTGGTGATTTCTGTGACTTTTGGAACCATGCGGACAGTTCTTTTACTGTGTGATTCCATGTGTCCTCTGAGTGTCAGAAAGCACTCAGTTCTCTGACCTCTGCATCATGATGTCCACAGAGGCTGCCTGCCACCCCTTAGGCACAGTAAAGCCCACGCAATGGGCCTAGGGAGAAAGATACTCCAATAAAGCAGTTTCCCCAGGCACAGTGCTGGCTCCTATCCTGGGGGTAGAGTGCCAAGTTGTCCCTGCTAAGAAGCAGTCCATTCACTCCTGCTCTGTGTGCCCACTGGAAATCTCCACTGAGGGTGTCAGGAAACTGAAGTCTGGTAACTTATTCCAGTTTTTGGCTTGCATATGGACACCTGAAGCTGCAAAGGAAGACTACAAGGGGCACAAACCACATTCCAGGTATATAATGACAACCTTCACCTGCTAGTCTGGTGAGAATGCTTCACTCACCACCTGCCACAGAAGATGCACACTCAAGTGTGAACAGCTTCACTAGTGCTACACAGGAAGCTGCAGGTGGCTGAGGAAGAGACTCTAGCATATGTTCCAGAGTGGTAGAAGCAAGTGACTGTGGGTTAAGGCCTTTTGTGCATCTGGCTACAGAAAATAAGATGTACAATCTTGCAACGGAAACTAAAATGGGCTAAACAGGGCAGGAAGTCCTTTATAAAGTCCCTAACCATTCTGATGGAGAAACAAGTATCTGAGCACAGGAAATTGGGTTTTAATGTAAAAGAGAGAGAGAGAGAGAGAGAGAGAGAGAGAGAGAGAGAGAGAGAGAGAGAGAGAGAAAGTACAGCAACTGCCCAGTTCAGAGCACAAGTAAAAGACCGAAGTGTAACATAAGTTTATCTCCGGCATCCTCCTTGGAAAATGATTTTTGTCCTAAGCAATAAAGACTTACTAAGCTGAATTACAACTACAACATTCACTCAAATGCTACAACAGGCTTCGGGGCTAAGATCTCTGAAGCCACTGAAATGTCCCAATAGGTTCAAAGTTATAGAGACTGGGTAAGTACTACCCAGGACCAACTGACCAGGCATAACAGCTACCTGCCAATGACCAGTAACTGAATATCCCAATTCCTGCCAGTCTGAATGGCACAGCCCAACACTCACCAGTGAATCCTGGAGTGAGAGCTGCCAGCTTCCGTGCCAGGGCATCCTTACTGAGGCTTTTGGACAACTTGAGTGGGCGCAGGTGAACCTTGAAGATGGATGACCTGCCTTTGATGTCAGGGGGACCTGATGAGAAAAAGAAAGGAGAGACAGGGAGAGACAGAGAGAGAATGTTCTGAGCTCCCTAGGCCTTGAGACCTAGGTCCTCACAGCCACTTCCTAAACTTACAAGGGCAGTCTAAAGAAGCCAGGGTACGGGGCTGGGGGTTTAGCTCAGCAGCAAAAGCGCCTGCCTTGCAAGTGTGTGGTCATGAGTTCGATCCCTGGTACTGATTGAAAAAAAAAAAAAGAAGACAGGGTACAATGGAGGAAACAGGCCAAAGTACACATGCATGTAGCTCTGCAGAACACTGGAACACTACCTTAACATCTGACCCAGGAACCTGACAGCAGACAAAACAAGCACCATGCATTGTAGCAAGAGGTGGCCAAACAGGATAAATTGTATTCCTCGGCTGACTATCAGAATGAAGGGAAAGAGTAAGTTCTTATCCTGTAACCTATCAAGTCATTATGACATTGTCTAAAAGTAAAAACTGGAGGCCACCAACCTGCTACATACCTGCCTCTGAATACACTTCAGTGACATGCTAATGGGCCTAATCATATCTCTTATTCCCACAAAGTAAACTGTCAGAAGAAAGGACTCAGCAACAACATGGGACATGTTTTCAAAAAGCTGTATTAATTATTTCAAAACCTCCTCCAAATATACAATGAATGAACAAACCAAGCTTCAGCCTCAGGGGCCAATGCCCAAACCCGAAGGATACAAATCACATGCACGCACCAATATAAATCTGGCGGTCAAAGCGGCCAGGGCGCATCAGGGCTGGGTCAAGGATGTCAGGGCGGTTGGTGCCTGCCAGCACCACCACATTGGTGGTAGAGTTGAAGCCTGGACATGAGAGAAGCAAATAAACCCAAGGTAGATACAGGCCCCAAAACCCAGTACTCTCTCCAGCTCAGCACACATTGGCTTTGCTTCCCTCTGCTCACTCCTCATCCTACTGTAAGAATTGTGAGCCCAGAATGAGCCCTGCCCTGCTACCCCAGGTTAGGCTGGCTATGATGAACCCTTGCTGACTTTTCCCAGGAGGGACCAATCACAAAGGCTCCACTCCTCAGCATTCATTGTTCTCCCACTCTGCCTATGCCTCTGCTGACAAGAAACCAGACAGCTCTCAGTTAAAAGGAAGCTCCATAACCTGGAACCAGGGTTGAAGGTAAGTCCCTGTGCATGGGATCTCCAAGTCTGGGGTCTCCGGACTTATGTCTGGCTCCTAACAGCCTAATACCACATTGCCACACCTCTACCTCAGCAGAGAACAGTCTCCATCCACCCAGATCCCTGTGGGCTTGCAAAGCCCAGGGGGCAGGTTGGATGAAGACAGACAGGACTGCATGGAGGATGGGGACACCATCAGAAAATGAAAGCATGAGGATCAGCCTGATGCCTACACCCTCCTCTCCATTATTCTCTTGGCTGTCCCCTCCAGAAAAAACAGTGAAAACTTATTTATATTTAGCTACATATAATGACAATAAGACATGCCTGACTACTGTCCTCACTGCACACTGACATGAACAGCATATTGTGTGTATACAAATGTGGTTTATGCCCACTGCCTACCTGAGCATCTGGAACCAGATGCAACAGTTCATTACAGGGAACTTTGGAAACTGCCCCAGTCTCCCAGCCTCCATCCATTATCTTCCTCTGGCTGGTTCTGCTGTTTTTTCACTATGATGAACACAGTTCTAAGTTACAGCTCCTCCCAGCAGGCTGCCAAATCAAGGAGGGAGTCTCAAGGACACCAACATGACTCTAATACCAAAGTGAAGATAAAATCTGCCACAGATCCAATGAGAGCTTTTACAAGTTTAAAAACTGTAGGTGTGGGGCTGGGGGTTTAGCTCAGCGGCATAAGCACCTGCCTTGCAAGCAGGCGGTCGTGAGTTCGATCCCCGGTACCGATAAAAATGAAAAAGACAAAAAAAAAAACAAAACTGTAGGTGTGCCTAGATACATCCAAGGAAGGTACGCCTGATGGGAATGACACTGTGGCCAAAGCAGGATAAAGGCTCAGAGCAGGAACACGGCTCTGTCACTCCATCCTGTACCTCCATCAGGGGACCAACACTTATATCCTACTTCATCTAAGCAGATATCCCTCACTCTTACTAATCACCTCCTGCTGGAGGGCAGAAGAACAGGGCTGCCTCATCCTGCTGCTGTGCAGTAAACAAGCACACCCTGGGGACAGATAATGCTTTTTCTTCACCATGTCTGCCTAAGCAACCTCCCTTAAGGGCAGAACAAATTCTCTCCTAAGGAGCATCTTCACAGAACAAATAGCTAGAAGGGTTCTGTGACTTCCTGCTGGGACAACACAAGAGATGCAGAACACTCAGGTCCATACTGTTCCACTTACCATCCATCTCCACGAGCATCTGGTTCAGGGTGTTCTCCTGTTCACTCTGACCCCCAAGGTGCCCACGGCCTCGCTTCTGGCCAATGGCATCTATCTCATCAATGAACAAGATACAAGGAGCATTTTTCCTGGCTACTGCAAACATGTCACGGACCTAGAACAGGAACCCACGGTCTTTTGTTACTCATACACACAGGTCATCCCTAACCTTCTCCTTGGTGCTTAGTGCCTTGAGGGTACCTTGAGGGTGGGGCATACTCTGGGTTCACACCAGAATCCTGCACAAAATCCATGGTTACCAAACTTAGTTAAGCAGTAGGTGGGCAACCTCTGAAGCTGGCTACCCACATACATACCCTTGCTGGCCCAACACCAACAAACATTTCCAGGAACTCCGACCCATTCACAGTGATGAAGGGCACGCTGGCCTCCCCTGCAGTTGCTTTGGCAAGAAGTGTTTTGCCAGTACCAGGTGGGCCAGTGAGCATGGCTCCCTGTAACAGAAGGAGATGCTTGGCTCTCAAGAGAGACAGGTAACACCCAAATCCCACTTTCTACCTAGGAACTGGTATTCTACACAAGTGATTTATCAGGTTGAACAACAATCTCACCAAGCACCACTCTTAAAACTAGGCAGGTTTATTTCATCTTTTCTGCTTATAGAACTACTGCACACTCGTCACTCATCACAGTTCACACACTGTAGACATGACACAGAAAATGAAAGCTCTCCACACCCCCACAAAAAAGGAGTAGGTACTTTTTGCAGAAAAACCTTCAGGAGTACCCCTGTTGGGTCAGAGAACCTGAATGTTTCTTTTAATAATTATCATCAAACTGGTGGCCCACATATCCACCATAGCTCCAAGTCAAAATCTTTGGCTACAAAGAATCCTGTCAAAGAATTCTCTGCACCCTTGCTGGCCTGAAGGGTGGACACAATTCCTGAAGTATTTAACTGTTCATACCATGTGTGTCATGCACAACCATACCTCCTTTCTCTACTATGCCTTTGTCTACATTGGCTTAAGGTTTTTAAAATCACTACTTTACATTCTTCTAATAAATTGTTTTCATTTGATGAATGATCACCATTTGATGCCTAAAAACTGGAAGGAGAAACCAGACCACTCCACTTCTAGTCAAGGGTGCAGGATTAATATTAGATCATTTTAAAGCAATCATAACTTTAAAAACAAAATTCAAATAAAAGCCAGGGGTGATGGCACACACCCATAATCCTAGCACACAGAAGGCAGAGGCAGGAGGATCACTTCAAGGTTGAGGCCAGCCTGGGCTACACAGTGAAACTGTCTAAAAAAAAAAAAAAAAAAAAAAAATCAGATCAAAGTGAGAAACAAGGCCAGGGGTGATCATGCACAACAGTAATCCCAGTACTCTGCAGGTTGAGGCAGGGGGATCACTGCAAGTTCAAGACCAGTCTAGGCTACAAAGTGAGCTCAAAACTAGCTAGAACTACATAGCAAGACCTTATCTCAAAAAGACAAAAAAAACCCCAAGGTGTTGGAACCCCATGTCCCCCACACATGGTCACACAGAATCCACTTCTCCAACTATGGGTGTGGAACTGACACATTTCGCCCATCAACGCTTAACACTCCCTAGAATGTGACTGTCTCAGGAGCTATCCTTGCAGTGAGATACTGCAGATGGCAAGAAAGTAATGGTATGTCAGCGGTATGTTCAGGAAACGCACATGCCATGAATGCACAACTAATTCTTCGCATGTGGTGGGGGGAGGAGGCCACTAGAGATGGGACCCAGGATTTGTGCTTTCCAGGCAAGTGCTCTACCATAGAGAGCTGCATGACCAGCCCTACCCATGCCCCCCACCCCATCCATTTCTTTAAAAAATTTGAGAGAAGGTCTAAGTTGCCAAGGCTGGCCTCAAACTTGTGACTTTCCTGCCTCAGTTTCCAGAATACCTGGGATGACAGGTGTACATCACTGTGCCTAACTATAGCTAATTCTTCACAACAAAATCCCAAAGGGGAGGAAGTATTAATTTAACGAAGTTACCATACTTCCTACCCAGGAAGGCCTCAATTAACTCTTGACAGCCACAGAACAGCAGAAAGCTCACAATGCAACACACACACTGACAGAGCTCCTCTTATGGGAAGCCAGCTTGCTTGAAGAGGGACTAGCACTCCCAGCGAGATTCTAGTCCTGGTAACTATGGCTCCACCTACTCTCCTATTACAGGCACTCCCAGGAAAAAGTCATCTGAAAGAAGCTGTGAAAAACCTTTGTAAGAAGGTGTGTGGCTGCTAGCAAAGCCCCACCAGGACTGCTCACTCACAAGCTCACCAAGCCATAGGACAGACATGTCCAGCCTCTTGGCGCTGCTCCCCGAGATTGTTAACCCTTTCTCTGTTGTTCAAAACAAACTATCAAGTGGTGCCCAAGTTGCAGACAGAAGACAGAGAAGCTCAAGACTACTGCAAGGGTCAGGGTGCCACATAAGCAGAGTCACTTCTACAAATGTTTGGTTTGGTCCACAGTCTGTTATTCCTATGCCGACAGTTTTACAGATTTAAATTTTTATAGACTGTTAAGAACTATGGTCTTGCTGGGGAAATAGCTCAGTGGCACATCATTTGCCCAGCAAACACATGGTCCTGAGTTCAATTTTGAGTACCAAAAAAATAAAAAAATTAAAGAACTGTGGTCTCAAATCTATCAGATTAAGATTTTTGCTATTCTACTCTGAAAATGCTAATTCTGTCCTCTACTGTAATTAATACAATACACAGGGTAAAAACTAATTCATCACATATCTGTCCCCTCTGAGCTACAGTAGTTATTAGCCTTGACTTTAAGCTCAGAGCATTAATGTTCTCTGAAATCAGGGCGGGGGATTTAGCTCAGTGGCATGAGCGCCTGACTGGCAAGTGTGAGGCCATGAGTTCAATCCCTGGTACCAAAACAAAACGTTTCCTGAAATCAGTACCTTTGGGATTTTGGCTCCTAAGTCCTGATACTGCTTGGGGTTCAGGAAATTGACAAACTCCATAATTTCCAATTTGGCTTCTTCACAGCCAGCTACGTCTGCAAATCGCACATCGATGTTGCTCTTTAGGATCTTGGCTGTTGTCTCACCAACACTGAAGAGGCCCCCTCCTCGGCCACCGTGCCCAGCCCTCATTGGGCCCCTCCTCACTGCATAGAGAAGTATGCCAACCAGGAGAAGGGTGGGCACCAGGCTTCGCAGAAAAGAGCTACAAAACATGAAAGCCACTTGTCAACATTTGCTCCAGAGAAAGGTCAGAACACCACCTTCAGCCAGGAAGAGCACACAACTCTAGAGTTTGTACTGCCACAGAAGGACAGTTTCTTCCCAAAATGTGTCCACATCAGTCCACAGGTTCAGCCTTCCCTATCCCAGCCCACCTTGCAGAAGGCTCACTGAGGCAGGGATGGCAGCACCTTTAGGTGCCTCCATCACACATCATCTTCAGTAGCCCACAGACCTGCACCATCAGTTGAGGTCAATGGTGTCCATCTAGCACAGCCTTTCTCTTTTCTCTATTCCATGATGAATCTCTTCCTTTTTAAACCATATTTTATTTTTTCCCTTAAAAATGAACATTAGTAAAATAGTAAGCATTCTTGTGCCCTCTAGAGGCCGGCCTGGACAATATAGCAAGATCCCATCTCAAAAAATAAAAAATAAAATAAAATGAAATAGACTAAATACATATTCCTTCTTTATAGGAATTAAAATTTTCATCAAATGCCTATAATATGCTTGAAGAGGAGCATATTCCAAAATAAGTTAAATGCTAAACTTTTTCATTCACAATCAGAAGCCCTGGACCACAGTGCTGCATCACCCACCTCATCCCACCACTTACCCATCACTCTCAGTGGTGTAGACTACTGCAGCCTGGTTGGTGGGCTCAATCGCCAACTCCCACTGAGCAGACTCCAGGTTCCGCTCAAAGGTATCAATACTGCCAATGTTGAACCACACAAACTTCTGCAGAGACCAATACCAAGCCTGGGCTACAGGGAAGTGACCCACAGAAACATACCCCTTACACAGACACCCACAGCCTGCACACACATTCACCAGCCCCTCTCTTAGCAGAGCATCTCCTCCTAGTACTGACTGCACACATGGACCAATCTCACTCTAAGACTGGATCCAAGGATAACTGCAAATAGCAGAAGCTCTTTTCTTCTGAATCCACAAAACCACATACTTGTAAAGTTCTAGACAAAAATATAAAATGCTGCAATAACTGCCAAAGTTTGTCTGAGTCTTTCTAATCTTCTATTCTTTGTCTTTCTCCTAAACTTTGGTCAGTGTTCTTACATACTGCATGGCAAAACTGAATCACCATTAATAGTTTTATGAGTTCCTGTCCTACCTAAAAGACAAGGTCACTAGTACAAAACAGTAAGATGAATCTCACAGTAACAGACTGCTGGACACTGGCAGAAGCATTGTACTGAAAAAAACAGGGAACCAGTTTCCATTACAAAAAAGCTGTGTCTAGAGTCCTAGATCATTTTTTTTTTCCTTCTTTTTTGGTACGAGGAATCACAAACTCAACCTCGCACTTGCTAGTCAGGCAGCATGCTACTAAGCGATATGCCAGGCTAGAATCCTGGGGGTTTTTTTGTGTGTGTGTTTTGGTACCAAGGAACAAACTCACAACTTCACGCTTGCCAGGTACACAATTATGCCACTGAGCTAAATCCCCGGCCCTGAGTCCTAGGTTTTAAACCCATCCTCACCTCAGAAGTGGTCCCAGGGGGAGGAATAACCCGTACAAACTGTTTATTTACAACTTCCAGTCGGTCCACCTAAGAGGAAGGGAAAAATACACAGAACAACTGAGGCAGAAAGCAGGACACTCAAGAAAACTGTGGGCAGTACCACATGCATTCTACAGACCAGGCCCAAGTTCTGTTTTGCTACTAATTCAGACACTTCACCTGGGGCACAATTCTATTTTCATTTTCATAAAGAGGGACCAAAGAATGAATTCAAGGAGTGTTTTGGAGGGGAGGAGGAAGGTCTACCTTTTTTTTTTTTGAGACAGGATCTTGCTATGCAGTTCAGGCAGGCCTTGAACTCAAGAGAACCTCCCGCTTTAGTCTCCCAAGTGCTGCTATCACAGGTATGCCACACAACACTCAGCTAAGCAGAGTTCTAAATTTGGTACATCTGAGCACCAGTCAAGCATTCTAGGTTGGCTTAAAAACTCAAAACGGTTACAGACAAGTTTTATACTGGTGGTCCAGCAAAGATAAATACACAGCTGATTCAGAAATACTTTTTCCATCTAGCTATAGGTTCAAGAAAATGGTGCCAACAAGGATAAACATGTAGCCCTAAAGGCTCATGAACTGCCATCACCACTGGACACAGCAATACAGAAGATGCCCGCTGAAAACAAATGTATAAAAAGATTTTTTTTTTGGTCTTTTTTAAGACAGGGTCTCACCATGCAGTTTGTCTTAGTTACTTTTTACTCCTCGCTGAGACAAAATACCTGAAGCCCAAAGTTGGGAAAGAAAGGTTTATTTCTTACAGTTTTTGGAGGTTTCAGTCCAAACTCAGTTGGCTCCAAGGCAGGCAGGCATGGCTGGGCCGCAGTTCATGCGGCACCAACAGCAAACTGGAACCAGTAAAGAGCAAGACACACTTCTTCCTACCATTACATCACATCCTGGCTCCACCCCTAGGTGGGAGTAGCACTAACACCATCAATCCAAGCATTAGACGATGAACCAATCACAAATGCACAATGCAAACTCATGAGGCCTGGGGGCCACAGACATAAAACACGACATTCCACCTCTGGCCCCCAGGACTCATGTACATCCTTTATACAAAAGACATTTAGTCCACCTCCAAGAGTTGCCAAAGTCCTAAGTTTCAGCATTGCTGAACAGTCCAAGTCCCAAGTCTCCTCCAAGATCTATGGAAAACTTAACTGTAACCCCCTATACAAATGAAACAAGGTTAAACAATTCTGAAATGCAAAGGCACAAGATAAACATTACCATTCCAAAAGTCATAAACAGGGGAATATAAAGCATTGGAAACAAAGCAAGTCCAAATCCAGCAGGATGAACATTAAGTCCTAGAGTTCCATGCTCATTATCTGAAGCAATCTGGTTGCAAGCTCCAAAAAGCTTGGGTGATTCCACCCCCATGGTACTTCCAGGGATATAAGCTCCCGCAGCTTCTCTCTTAAATCCTCTCTGCTTGCTTTTTGCAGCTTTCCCTGGATCATTCACTTCTGGCTTTTTTAAACTTTTGGGGTCTCCACTGCACCTTTGGCTTCACCTTTACATCTTCACAAATTGCCTTCTCAGGGCACACTGCTTGGCCTGCCAGGCCCTTTGCAATCGAGGTGGAAGCCGTCTTACCCTCAGAATTCGTGCATTTTCCTTGCACCTAAAATCAGCACCTTGTGGATGCCGCCAAGGTCTGCTGCCAGCTGTAGTAGTAGCCAGGCTTTTCTCTCTCTTGGCTGTAGGGGTCAGTTGCCTGGATCACAGGGCTCTGCTTGTCTGATTGTGAGAAAAAGCTTCTCTACAATGCCACCATTTTGGAACCTCATGTGGCCTCTGTCGCCATTCTGGAGCATGGTGCTCTGCAGCCTTCTCCTCTGAACAAACTCTTTCACCTTTGCCATGAGGTTGCAAAGAGTGGGGACCCACTTCTTGGGATACCCCGGGGCCATCTTTCTTATCTCTGTTTCCCATCAACAATCAAAATCTCAACTCTGTCTTTAAAATCCACAGCCTTCCTAGAATTTTCCTTCTGGCCAAACTCACAGCATTGTAAATTATTCTGCTGGGCTCTTTGCTCTTGATCTGAAACATAAAGCTGGCTGGGGGGCTGGCAAGCAGGCAGTAATGAGTTCGATCCCTGGTACCGATAAAAAGAAAAAAGACACACACAAAAAAAACATAAAGCTGGCTGAAAGCCCCCAATAATAGCCATGCCACAGCCTCAATGTTCGATTGCTTTTTAATTTCTTTTTCAAGATTAATCAGTCCATTGCCCTTTGTCTCAGTCTTAGGCAAAGTCTCTGGGCAGGAGCAACGTGCAGACAAACTTTCTGTCAAGCCGTAACACACATCATGTGGAGTCCAACAACCAATGCAGTCCTTCTTCCCAGCAGAAACCTCCCAAGCCTGGTCTTTACCATCAGGCTATCAGCCTTCTGGTCTCCTGAGCTCTGACCAGAATCTCCTCTACAGAACAGCCTAAGCTGCTCCAGCTCTATGCATCCAGGTGACATGTCCGAACCTTTCCAAACTCTGTCCACAAGCCATTTCCAAAGCCTCTTCAAAAACATGGCCAGGTATAGTCACAGCAAATGACCCCACTCTCCATACCAAATTCTTAGTTACTTTTTACTCCTCGCTGAGACAAAATACCTGAAGCCCAAAGTTGGGAAAGGAAAGGTTTATTTCTTAGTTTTTGGAGGTTTCAGTCCAAACTCAGTTGGCTCCAAGGCAGGCAGGCATGGCTGGGCCGCAGTTCATGCAGCACCAACAGCAAACTGGAACCAGCAAAGAGCAAGACACACCTTCTTCCTGCCATTATATCACATCCTGGCTCCACCCCTAGGTGGGAGTAGCACTAACACCATCAATCCAAGCATTAGACAATGAACCAATTACAAATGCACAATGCAAACTCATGAGGCCTGGGGGCCACAGACATAAACCATGACACAGTTCAGGCTGGTCTTGAACTTGCAATGATCGGCCTGCTTCACTATACCAAGTGGTGGGATTACAGGTGTGCACCACCATGCCCACTTTAGAAAAAGATTTTGAGGGTAGAATGACAATATTGTTCCTCCTGCTCATCACAGATTTTTTTTTTTTTTTTTTTTTTTTTTTTTGGTAAAACAGTGTCTCCTTAAGCAGTTTAGTCTGGCCTTGCAGTCACTACACAGACTAGGTTGGCCTCAAACTCAAAGACATCCTCTTGTCTCAGCCTCTGAAGTGTTGGGATTATAGGCCTGCACCACCACATCCAGTCCTCATCTCAGAATCTTGCTTTTTTGTTTGTCAGTATAGGAAATTAAACCCAGGGGTGCCCCACCATTACCCTACATCTCCAGCCTTTTAAAACTTGTTTACTTTTTTTGTTTGTCTGTTTGTTTTTGTTTTTTGTCTTTTTCGTTTTTATGGGTACCAGGGATCAAACTCACGACTGCCTGCTTGCAAGGCAGGCGCTTATGCTGCTGAGCTAAGTCCCCAGCCCCTAAAACTTGTTTACTTTTTTTACAGTCTTTATAAATAACCCAGGCAAGAACTGAACTTGCAGTCTTAATGCCTCAGCCTCCCTCAATGCTGGAATTATAGGCATGCATCACCATATCCAACTATCACAAAATTTGTGTGTATGAGTGTGTGTATGTTCTCACTATGCAGTACAGGCTGGCCTTGAACTCACTTTGTAACCCAAGCTGTTCTCAAACTTGCAAAGATCCTCCTGCCTCAGCCTCTGAAGTGCTGGCTACGTGCTGGGATTACAGGCATGCACCACCACAGGCTCGGCTTCATAAAACCCTAAACCACTATAATAATACAATTTCTCTCAAAAAGTAATGAAGTCTGCAGGGTGTGGTGATGTATGCCTGTAACCCTAACACTAGAACTATTCAACTGGAGACCATACTTCCAAGTGAAATAAACCAGACTCCCATGTGTAAACATCACATTGTCTCCCTTGTTTGAGAAGCTTAAAGAGGAAGATTGAAAACATACAATGAATATTGTAAAACAGGAAGAAACTGTTCAAAAAGAAAGAGAAACTGGAATGGGTAAAAAGAAAAAAGAGAAAAGAAAAGAAAAAAAAAAATATATATATATATACACACACACACAGAAAATAGTTAAGATAGTTATATTACTAATTTCCCTTGGTTTATTGAAAAGAAAGGTTTGTGCCAATATTGGACAATTAAATGCCTGTATCTTGTAAACTTTGTAACTTTCTTAAAGGTAACAATACATAATGTATTAACCAATATTATTCTATTATCTTGTTTTGAAATTTTTTTCCTCTTAAAAAAAAAATCCTAGGGCCAGGGATTTAGCTCAGCGTAAATGCCTGCCTGGTGAGCGTGAGGTCACAAGTTTGATCCCTAGTACCAAAGGAAAAAAAATTCCTAGCACTGGAGAATCACTGTGAATTCGAGGCCAGTCTGGACTACATAGTGAGCTCAAGGCTAACCTGTGATACATCGTGAGACCTTGTTTCAAAAACATAAAGAAGTTTGGGCTGGGGATTTAGCTCCTTGGGGTAAGTGCCTGCCTGGCAAGCACCAAGTCATGAGTTTGATCACTGGTACCAAAGAAAGAAAGAAGTTAATGAAGCCTAAGGATTGTGATTAATGTGTGTTCATCACTGCAGAACCTTCCATAGGCACACCATCAGCATTCCAGCACTGGAAAAGACGTCAGGGAAGCTCTGGAATCTGTTCCAAATTCATGTCCTAGAAGGCATCCTGAACCCACCACCTCTATCTCCTCTCCTCCTGTCTGTGCCTGCAGGTGGCAGACCCACAAAAGGCAAGGGCTATGGCAGCTCTGCCTTCACTACTGTAAGGAAAGTTGCCAAGAGTGTCCCTATGGATAATCATGGGCTCAGTAGTCAGATAAAAAGCCTTGTTCACAAACCCTGGAGGGAAATGAGATTTCCCCACAGACTTCATCACAAAGAAGTGTAGTTCTAATACCCCATCACTTAGCACAGACCCTTCTGAGGGCACCTGAGAGGTAAAGCATTTCCTTACCAGTTTACACTGATGCCTGAGCAGTCTTCACCCAGCCTCAGCAGGCTGATGAATAAGCATGCCTCTCATGAAGGGAAAGAGGACTGCCCATGCCATGCATTTCTCTATACAAAGCCCTAGCCCCATTGTGCATGCTTGCAACCCCAGCACTTGAGAGATTAAGGGAAGACAATCATGAGATCAAGGTCAGCCTGGGTCACATAGCACATTTGAGGCCAGCCTGGATTATATGACACAGATCTGCCTCAAAAAGAAAGAAAAACAAAACCCCAGACTCCTGGTCAATAATGGCCAGCAGGGGCCAGCTCACAGTATAGGAATCAGACATGAGAATGAAATTCAACAGTCATGGGACAACCAACCAAGTTTTAGAACATAGGTTTTAAAAAACAGTCAACGCAATGATATTAAAGCAGCCTCTACCCAGCCAGAAAGTGTGCCTAACACTTTCTGCTACGGTGGTCCCTAGAGAAAAACTGCCTCTGGGCTCTGTCCTAAAGTGGGGCTACTCAAAACATCCACTATACAGAAAACTCACTCCCAGCCCAGCCTGGAGTTCATATCCTCTTTTGCATTGTGCGGGCCTGCAGGAACCCACAACAAAGGGCCTCCTTACTTCCTGTTAGACACACTGTGAGTTCCCTTACCAGACCTCTGGCCAGGTAATACTGCACAAAGTGCTTCCAGGTGATTTCTTTTCCAGGATCTCGAAAATAGAAATAGAAAACTCCCACAGCAACGCCTGTCCCCAAAATGGCCAGGTTTCGGAAATCCTTGTCATTCCAGGGAAACTGTCCCTGTAAAAGAAAACATAACATTTTCCATGTGAGGAGTTTCTTTTTGCTTCTGCAGTGCTGGAGACCCAACCTGCAAGTTACACTCTCAGTCCTTCAGTGGTGTATGAAAACATAATGTCTCTTTTCAGACATTATTAAAGTAGTCCAAACCATCCCCTCACAAACTACACAAAGATGTATGAAGCAGAATTGTTCCTCTCAGGAGAAAAATCTTTACACAGGAACAAGCACACATCGCACCTGCAACTCACAAGTCAGCAGATGAGCAACAGAAACCACAAAAAGATCTGCTCTGGAGCCATTATGTAGGTTCTCTTTTATTGAGGTGTTTAAAAATTTGAACAGCAATACAACTTAAGTTAATTTCTTAGACTCTTTGAAGTAATTTGTGAGCTCTGACCTAAGCATGCAGAGATTGCTATGGCTTGAGTAAGTGATGTGTCCCCCTGTAAAACTCATGATGGAGCTTTACCCCAAGGTGATAATAAGCTGGGGGGAGGGGGGTCCTTGGGAAATGAGTGCCCCATGCTCAGGAATGGGATTAGTGTCCTTGTTAAAGGGCTTGAAGGAAAAAATTCAACCTTCCACTATGTGAGGACACACCACTGTTCCTTCTGGAGGAAGCAGCTCTCAAATGCCATCAATGATACCTTGAAAGCAAAGTTCTCACCAGACACAAGACTTATTGGCATCTTGGCCTTATACTTTCCACCTGTGTAACTGTGAGCACACAGCATACGATATTTTGTCATAGCAGCAAGAATGGACTAAGACAAAGATCATAGAGCACCAGCTCTACAGGCACTACATCCTTTGGTGAAGTGACAAGATGTCTGGGCCCAGTCCTGAGATGCTCACAAACCTTCTGTATCCATTTCCACCACGAAAAATCATCCCCTTTTCCTCCTCTCTTGCTTCCACCTCCTCCAGCCCCAGCATTCTTTGGTTTACCAGTTTCTAAGAAAAAACAAAGTCAATTATGAGACAAGGTAAAAATTTGTATAAGTTTTAAGGACAAAATTTGAGTCTTCATAGAAGTGTTCCATTTGTAGCAAGGAATGTTACCACAGCTCCTGATATGCTTGTATGTACTTCTTCCCATCTCATACTCATGGGTACCCAAGAGACTCTTCAGAGAAGAAATATCTCACAAATACAGATTTCTATTCCAAAACCCAATTCACATCACCAAACTGTGACTTGGTTTAAAAGACGAATCACTGAGGCTTAGATCCAAAGAAACTAAGAAGGCACACAAAGATGTAACCAAAGGCAAAGAACAAAGTGACTAGGAAGCAAAAGTCGGCATCCACAAACAAGCACCAGGAAGGGAAGATCAACCTCACACACACAGGCCCACCTGCCTAGGAAGATTAACCCCAAAATTCGTGAGAACATCAAAAATATTCAGATGTAAAGCTTTACCCTTTCTCAGAGCTGTTGATTTTTTTGAATCTGTGTTTCTTCCACTCCTCTCAAAAAATTTCTCAAATCCTTAGGTATAAAATGAACAGGCGTTAGAGACAAAAAAAAAGAAAATCTTACTCAAAAGCAACAATTCATCACTGAAGAGGAATAAAAAAAAAAAAAGCATCAAGTCAGAAAGATGAAAAGTCAGTTATCTTTTCTTTCTTCTTGACACACTCAGTAAGCAGTCCTAGGTCTCAACCCTAGATAAGGGGCTGAGAAGTACCTTTTACAATGTGGAGACACAGGTCTCCAGCTGGTTCTGTGAGCACTATCCCTACACACATGGGCCCCTGGCCATGTTGACAGGCTTCAAACAGACAATTATTCTCCAAACTAACTTCAGTCTGCACATCATCTCTGTTTTACTTTCTAAATATGAGCCTTGGCTAGTCCTTAGAATCAGATATGCAGAAATAAAGATTTGCTCATCTATTTTCCAAAAAGATTCACCAGGCAACTTTCTTCTGAAAATGCTTATTTTTGCCAGGCTCAGTGATACATCAAACTGGTAAAAACAAGGAGAAAGTCCTATCATTGAGCTGGGGATTTAGCTCAGTGCCATAAGCACCTGCCTGGGAATCAGGAGGTCATGAGTTTGATCCCTGTACCAAAAAAAAAGAAAGTGCTATAGTTTAGCACAACAGGGAAACTAGAAAAGGAAGGAGGGGGCATCCTGGATGTCACGTGCCTTGTCCACTGTTAATCACTATGGGAAACACTCTCCAAGGAAGCTACACACCTCATGCTGCTAATGACAAAAGAGAGAAAGAAAACAGGTACCTTTGGGTGGCTTTGAACACAGCCTTTGGGAAAATGATATTGGTCTTCCCTGCAAAGCCAGCTGCTGAAAGTGGACTCCCTGGAGGCACTGAAGTGGGAGAAAGGATCAGTTGATGAGCAATATAAGCAGTATTTTCTCACAATGGTCACAAGTTGAAAGCGACAGGATGTGGGCTAAGGAATATACTAGCTGCTGTTATTTATCTACTTAAGTATCTCATTAAAATATGATTCAAAAAACTGGGAACAGTGGCACATGCCAGTAATTATATCACTCAGGAGATTGAGGCAGTGGACTGCCACAAGTTTGAGGCCAACCTGGCCTACAAAGTGAGTTCAAGACCAGCCTGAACCACATAGTAAAACCCTGCCTCAAAAAAGATCAAAAATAAGTAAGATTCAGAATAAACAAGAACTAAATTCACTGCACAAATGCATGAAGAATTTTAACAGCAGCCAACAGCAAGCCAAAAACAAAACCCACCTAAAAGTTAACCATTTCAGGGCCAGGGATTTTAGTTCAGCAGCATAAGCACCTACCTGGCAAGGGCACAGTCCTGCATTCAATCTCCAGTACCAAAAAACAAAAACAAAAAACTAACCATTTCTTGCTTGAGGTCCTAACTCTAACTCAAACCCAAAATACTACTTTCAAAACCAAACATGGCTCTAAAACTTAATGTAATTAAAATACTGAGGGCTGGGATGCAGCTCAGTGTTAGAGCACTTGCCTAGCACACACAAAGCCAAGTTGAATACCCAGCACCACAAAATCAAACACTGAAAGATACTGTGATTTACATTTGATCAGGCAAGAAGTTTATGCCTTTGTCAAACCAAGAAAACAATTTTCCAGATCGCTCCTGTATTTCTTCAGTCCTCAAAGAGGAAAGCACCATTTTTTGGTTTGTTTGTTTGGGTTTTTGTTTGTTTGTTGAGACAGAATCTCACTAAGTAGTTCAGGCTGGCCTTGAACTCATGATGTAGCCTAGGCTGGCCTCACTTCTAACTAACCCTTCTGCCTCCGTCTCCAAAGGACTGGGATTACAGGTGTGTGCCACCATGTCCAGTAAAAATATCATCTTTTTACCATAAACAGCTAACTCTACTTACCACATGACTAAGGATATAACTAAAGACAATTATAATTTTTCACTATTTAGAGTCAAAACCCATTATAATCAAATCTACAATAAAATGGCAACATCTTCCTTTTTTTTTTTTTGTCTTTTTCATTTTTATCAGTACCGGGGATCAAACTCACGACCATCTGCTTGCAAGGCAGGTGCTTATGCCACTGAGCTAAATCCCCAGCCCCAACATCTTCCTTAAAAATCTAAGTAATGGGGCTGGGGATTTAGCTCAGCAGCATAAGTGCCTGCCTTGCAAGCAGGCAGTCGTGAGTTTGATCCCTGGTACCGATAAAAAGGAAAAAGACAAAAAAAAAATTTAAGTAATTTCAATAATCCAATAGTAACTGTATCAGCAAAATCCCAACATAACCAAAAAATTTAGATTATCTCCAATATTTTACTATGATAAAACTAGACCTGTTATTTCAGCTTGTCAATATTAAGGATATCAACAGTAAGTGCTCTGTAGGCTACTGTCTGAATACAAATCCACTTTCTAATTAGTAAACTGATAATTAAATTATTCTAATACCCCTATCAAAGGACACAATGGACTAAAATGTAAGATAAATCATAAGAAACACATTAAAATCAGGGAATGAGCTGGGTATGATGGTGCACATCTATAATTCCAGCACTTGGTAGGCAGAGACAGGAGGATAGTTGTGAGTTTGAGTCCACCTTAGGCTACACAGTAAATTCAAGGTCATCCCAAACTACATAGTGAGACCCTATCTTTTAAAAAAAAAAAAAAAAAAAAAAGGATGAATAAAAACGATTTTTTTAAAAAGAGATGAGTCAGGTGTGGTGGCATATGACTATAATCCCAGCACTTAGGAAGCTGAGGCAAGAAGATCACAGTGAATTTGAGGCCAGCCTGAAGTACATATCAAAACACTGTCTCAAAAAACTAAGCCAGGCATGGTGTTGTACACCTGTTATTCCAGCACAGGGAGGCAGAGGCAGTAGGATCACTGCACGTTCAAGCCAGCCTAGATAACATATTCAAGGCTAGCCTGAACTACATACCAAGATCTTGTCTCAAAAAAAAAAAAAAAAAAAAAAACTAAATAAACAAATAGAATTAGTGGAATCCAAGTTAGCTCACAAATGAAATGCTGGCACCAATGGTGATGATAGCACATCACCAAACACTGCAAGATGAACAAGGACTTGTGAACTGTGAATGAATCTACCTGTTGCAACTTGTTATCCCAGATGAACAAGGACTTGTGAACTGTGAATGAATCTACCTGTTGCAACTTGTTATCCCAGTATCCATAGGACAGGATCTGAGCAAACCCTTATAACCCAAATAGCTGAATGATCCCTGGATCCCTGCTTTCAATCTCTAGTACGACAAAATAAATAAAGGCACTAAGGTGCATAACAGTTGAGTGATCCAAAAGACACCTGTGCTATTTATAAACCAGTTCACATTGCCAGGGATATAATTCAGTGGCATAAGTGCTGCCCAGGCAAGTGCAAGGTCCTGAGTTCAATTCACATACCAAACAAATAAAAAGAGACATAAACAGTTCATATTAACTACACCAACATGTTAACAACCACAGTGGCCCTCCATGATGCTGAAATGCAATACGCACACAAACAAGACTCTGCTTCTTCCCATAATTCAGAAATACTAATGTACATTTTGAAAATAAAGAGAGAAGGTGAAATTTATTCCAAAGAACAGGAAACAAACTCATGGAATCTTTCTTTCTACCTCACTATGATCTGAAAATCATACCTTTTTCTCGGGTCAAAAATGCTACAAAAGGGTGTCATAGAAAAATTTAATGTGATGACTGGTGTGCAGGTGGTGATGAAGGAGTTGGGAGGGATGAAAAAGCTTGTTTGGCTTTTGTATTTTATTAGTATTCATGCCAAACCCATTTCTATTGCTCTCACTGTTAACAACATAAATGTGTTACACTAATCCAGGTAAGTAGTTTAAGCGGAGGAAATTTTATTTGCTAGTGCCCCTACAAATTGACCTATTTTATGGGGTGGGACAACAAAAAAGATTCGTTGACTTTGATTAAAATAAACTGCTAACTAGAAGGAGAAAAAATTTTGTCAATATGGGTCTGAAAAGACAAGTAGTAGTCAGGTGAGTTTTAGTATTAGGGCTACTCTGTCTCCAGAATGGCCAAACCCTTCTGTGCCATTCCCCCCACCCTGGAAATTTTTCTAGGACATCGCAGCCTCCTGAAAACCACTCCTGACCCTGGCTCTCCCTGGATCACTAGTGCAAATCTGCAGGAAGTGTCCCTGTCACTTTCTTTCACGATAGAAGAATGGCTGCTTTTGAATGGGGAGGAAAGAAGACATTTGTCTTACTATCTTTTTTGCCCCATCTCTAAAATGTATAAATATTTTGATTTAGTTCAATTTTTCATTTATTTAGACTTTAGCAACTCTCTTTTTGGATTGCTATCCAAAACATTACACTTCAAAAACCGTATCTGATTTAATATATAAACTGTTAACTTTATAGGAAGAGGTGAACCTGAATTTACACTTTCTAAAACCAGGGTGAACATGGTTAAAATTTTTCAGTATTGTTAAGCTATTATTTTAGTAGCTGCCCTAAAGCTGAAACAGCAAAAACTGTAAAAACCTTTCTCTCATCAAAAAAAAAAAAAAAAAAAAAAAAAAAACCTTTGCCTTTTCTACTTAGTCCAGATAGCCTGGATTAACAAAGCTAACAGTATTAAAATATGTGTATGAGGGTCTGGGGATTTAGCTCAGTGACATAAGCACCTGCCTTGCAAGCAGGCGGTCGTGAGTTCGATACCGATAAAAATGAAAAAGACAAAAAAAAAAATGTGTATGCGTGTTGTGTGTGGAAGAGTGAGTATCTGATTTATAAGAAGTCCTTACACAGTTCTTCCCGTTATTGTCAGTCTTCCTCGCGCACATATGAAGTGCCCTCTCATGAGTTTAAGACTGATATACTTTTATAAGACTGAATTTGCATCCCCATCTTTAGCTTAAAACATTGTCAGTCACTGTACTAGAACTGAATCCTAACATTTTTAGGCACAGATGGAAAACTGCTATTGGCTTTTTGAAAGTGGGGTGGGGGGACAGCTCACAGAAGCACGTAGGGTCTTACAAACCAAGTTGTCGATCTCAAGATTTCTGAATTGTCACAACTTACATGGTGTTGCGGTGGAACTAGTTAACACTTAAGAGCTTTTCGTATATAATTATTATTTACTATGGACTGATTAAATGCCTCAAAGCACTGTGTTCTTAAATTCTGAAAATTTTTAACTGCCTCATATTATATATCGTAGCTTAAATTTCTTCACTTCATTAAAGTATAAAAACTTCAAAAAATTCAATGTGATTGTTGTCCACTAGAAACTACAGCAATCTTAAAATATACAATAATCCATGCTTTTTCCTTTCTATAAATAAGGTTAAGGTAATACCTACCCACTGAGCTGCACCAAGACCTCAAACACTATTACCAAAACATTAGTTTTGAGTTCAACAAATGTTCGTTGAATAAAGAACACCGTAACAGTTTACAAAACTCTTTTTCATCCACTACCAAGTCTGGCTTTAAGAGCAACTCTGTCCGGTAAAGCCAAAGTGTGTTACTACCACTGGCCCCTGCAGGAACGCAGGGCTCGCAGTCGAAGACACAAACGCAAATCCCTGAACTCCCGGTACTGGAGAGCGATCGAGGAGAGACAGAGGGCTTAACTTCGGAGAAGAATATAATCAGGGGCCGCGGAGCGGTGAAAGGAACAATGCTGAGGACGCAAACTGCGCACAATTCTCACTGGACCCAGTCGAAAGCCGGGTCAGCCCACGGTGGCTTCGCTAACCCTCACCGCCGCGCAGACGCATGGCGTCACCTCTGCACCAAACGCAGCCCCGCCCAGAACCAGCAAGCAGAACTTCCTGCTCACCTGCTGGGCGGCCATCAGGACGCTCACACCGTCCCAGACTGTCTTGCGGTCTCCTGGACCACAACTGTAGCGCCACAGCACTGAAAGCCGCCCGACTACCGTCCGACGGCCTACCGCTGCCACCAGCCGACGCGACATCACCTGACCCCACGCCGTAGTGGCGCGCACGCGCAGCGCACACTTCCGGGTCACATGCGCCACGCCGGGCCGCTGCCTCGCGCGTGTGCAGTAGGCCAGCGTTGCAGACCGGGGCCCTCTCTCTAGGTGTCCACATTATCGCCTGTTCAAGCATCTGGACAGGAGCGTCGCCCTGAGCTGTCCACAAAGTTCCTAAGCGCCAAGAGAGATAAGCAACCCAGTTATACTTTTTTAAAATCTGGCATCGCTCATGACACCTGTCTCTGGGGTCCTCCGCGGGAAGAAGTCCACTAAAATGAATGCTTGCGTCCCACCCTGGACGCTTTTCTCAGCTGGATTCACAGGGGTACCTATTTGGTGCTACCTTAGCTGGGGAACACAGCTTGCTGCATGGTTCCCCTACGCGAAAGCGTTTTCGGTTGGTTAGTTGGCTTTTCTCCCAAGCCACAGCAGTCCATACCGGTTTTTTTATGTGCCCTTAGCTGTGTTGACCAGGGATTTGGATTCTGATCCCAAAGGAGCCCGCCCGCGAGTGAAGCACACGTCCTCCTACTTGAAGAGTGGTGCCGGGCAACCCATGATGCACTTGCCACAACTCAGGGGGCTTCCACATGTGCTTCTTCGCAGCCTCATTTTCTCCTTTCCAAGACTGCTGTGACAATACATGGCAGAAGCAGAAATGCCTAAGAAACGGGCCCAAAATACAACTGTTACTCCTAGTGCAAAAAGGGAGCTTTTGGAAAGCAATTATTACTCACATGAAATTAGAACTGTTGGTATATATATGTATTTTTTTTAAGATAATTATACTACTGATTTCTGTGAGTTCACTGAGAGGTTTGCATTGGTACTGTTCAGACAATTGAATGCAGATGTCTTGTACTCTGGGTAACTGATTTGGGGATGGCAATGCGCAATGTATGTACCATTGTTGTCCTCTGATTGTTGTGTTTGAAATTTTTTTCTTTTCGAAATAAAATGAATTTGAAAAAAAATTTAAATAGAAGTGTTGAGACGATTCGAAAAGAGTGAAAACTCAAATTCCAAAGGCTTTAGGCTTTGGTACCCCTACAGTGGCCGTATTACAATAAAATAATGCAAAAGGATGTCACAAATAGCCCTTTCCTGAACAGCCTCTCAGCTGAGGCACCACCCAAGTACCATAATAGAAAAAATGGAGCCATCATTGAGCATATGGCTTAAAGACCAGAGCCAGTGAAATGTGGCTCTTGAATGTCACCATCATTCAGGAGAAACTGTGGACCACATTGCAGTAGCTTCGTGCAAGCTCAAAGCAGCAATAATAAGAGCATGTAGAGGAAGATTTGGCCACAGTGTGTTCAGCCCCAGAATCTTTCACAAACACCAATGGGCAACTTCAAAAAAACGTAGTTCCCCTTGCCAAGAATGTGGGAGATGTAAAATTTAATGTGAACCATGCAGTCCCATAAAGATCTCAAATAAGGACCTGAAGCAGCTGGAATGGGAAAGGTAGCAGCAGAGGACAGTGGAGATGCTCCCCATGCCCTTCATCAGCTGATCACAGGAAAATTGTCCCTAACCTTGTCTCATAAGAGGCTGGCTTGCACATCCTTAGTAACCACCCTAAGGAGTGGAAACTGAAAGTGTCAGAACATCACTGATACAGTAAACTGCTTCAGGGAATTCTACAGTGAGAAGTGACACTTAGAACAACTATGGAAGGTTGTTTCTGTGTACGATGTAGCCAGAAGTTAACCTAGGTAAAGCTACAAACAGATAGCTGAACTGCAGCCAAGCTTCTGCTTCCAAGTGTTTAACCTGAAAATCTTGATGCTAGTATTTCTACTTTGACACTTAGAAATATCAAATTTTGTCATTAATTTTCTTTATTTTGAAATGAGTAAAACCAAATGAGACAAAACAGAATAATCAAAACAAAAGGATGGGGGGCTGGGGATTTAGCTCAACAGCATAAGCACTGCCTTGCAAGCAGGTGATCGTGAGTTCGATCCCCGGTACCGGAAAAAAGAAAAAAAAAAAAAAAAAGGATGAACATGATACATGACTTTTAAAAAAATACAAGGAGATCAATTATGGCTACCATAATGCTTCGTGTTGTCTTCAAAAGAATTGTCCATATTATCAGGCATAATAAAATCAAACAAAACAGTACAGAACAAAACCAATAAAAACAAAACAATGGAGACACTGTTGGACTTCAAAAGAAGAGAATAGTAAAACCACAATGAATATTGCAATGCATCTTTGTGGGAGACAACTCCAATGACTCCTTTGACTCCAAAACAATTACTGTGACTTTGATTATTTGGAGACTCATTTCCTTATACTGTTATGTAAAAGGCTGGCTAGAATATTTCCTTCTCTCTTCAATTGGCTCTAAGCATTGCAAATAATATGCAATAAGGTACTAATATGCAATATCTATAGCCAACAGACAGTCCTGTTTCCTTGCATACTGTTCTCCGTACAAAATATATACAGGATATGAGCATGTGCGAGATGTTAGAGCCAACAGCTCTGGGAATGTCAAAAGATAAGAGGCTATGACTCCCCAGGGCACAAGAGTTTGTATATCAGAAACCAAAGCAATAGCTCCCAAAAACAATTCCACTGCTCCCCTAATTGGAGTATGTAAATTGATCCTTCTGCATATCTTTTATCGCTGCAATTTACAGAAATGCCTTTCTCCCACCTGGCCAGCCAGTTCAAGTTACTCACGTAATTCCCGCCATCCTCACTGTCACTCATCCCTGCGCCACCCCTTCACAAGATGATAAATTCTGGGAAAGGCTGAGAATCAAGGCTTTTGCCCACATGTCCTTACGGGGATTGGACTTTGGACCCCTTAGCTGCCCTTAACTTGGAATATGTCTTAGTGTTTTTACTCTCGCCATGGGTTGCATTGGTGGTGGTAGATTGGAATTAACTTACTGGGATTCCAATAATGTCTCAATGGAATTACAAATATAACTTTTTGGATTGTGAGGAAAACTAGAAAGAGGATTACAATACTTGGATGACTGAACTCAGTATTTGGGCTTATTGTCTCCAAAGTAGTTGCCTATACCATCAGACATAATACTATCAAACAAAACAGAATAGAATAAAATCAGTCAAAACAAAACAATGAAAGCAATACAGGGCTTCAAATCAAGCTAATAGGAAATCAAAAAACGGTTACCATAATTAATCCTGCTATCTTTGGAATAGCTAGCTGTCCATGCCATCAAATCTATAATTTTTTTTTTTTTCTTTTTCGCTTTTATTGGTACGGGGATCGAACTCACGACTGCCTGCTTGCAAGGCAGGCACTTATGCCGCTGAGCTAAATTCCCAGCCCCTTATTTTTTTTTTTTTTCTGCATCCCGTTTTCAATAGCTCTTTTTTGCACGGTGGGTTCAGCTCTGGGTGAAAGTGCCACCAGCTACTGTCTTCTTCTGTTTAAGTTTTTCTTCTTTTACTCTCTCCCGTGGGATTCAATTCTCACTTTAGGTTCTTCCTGGGTCAAGGGGACCCACTTTCTTCCTTCTTGTCTTCCCCACGATGCTATATTCCAGCATCTGGACTGTTTCTCTCAGAAAGGCTGTTTACTCGACTGCTTACTGTTCCACTGTTCCGGAAACTCTAATTTTCTTTTCTTGAGAGAGGGTTTTGCTATTAGTTCAGGCTCACCTTGACCTCACTATGTAGCTTTCACTGACCTCAAACTTATGGCAGTACTCCTGCCTCAGCCTCCCAAATGCTAGGATTACAGGTTTGTACCTCAACACTTGCTGTTATTAAAATTTTATCTAAATATGTGCTTTAAAAAGATTACATGCAGCTGAGCAAGGTGGCACACTCCTGTAATCCCAGAACTTGGGAGGCTAAGGCAGGGAGACTGCTGTGAATTCAAGACTAGCCTGAACTACATAGCAAGACCCTGTCTCAAAAGACAAAGCCAAAAAAAAAAAAAAAAAAAAAATCACATGCAAAGGTTAGCAGTGTGGCTCATGCCCATGGTCCTAGCGTGAGTCTTAGGCTTAGGATCACAAATTCAATTTCAAGATGACTTAGCAAGATGCTCTTTGAAAATTTGTTTTGTACCAGGAATCAAACTCAGGCAGGTGCACTTACCAGGCAGGTGCTGTACTCCCCCCCCCAAAAAAAAAATTATTTTAAGAGTTGGGGATGTGGGGCTGGGTTGGGAATTTAGCTCAGTGGCATAAGTGCCTGCTTAGCAAATGTGAGGTCTTGAGTTCGATCCCTGGCACCCAAAAAAGAAAAAAAAAAAAAAAAAAGAGAGAGACAGAGAGAGAGTTGGGGATGTAACTCAGTGCAAAGGTACCAGGTTCAATCTCCAGTACTGGAAAAAGAAATTTGAAAAAAAAAAAGCTGGACATGGTGGTCCACACCTGTAATTCTGGCACTGGAGAGGCTGAGTCAGAAAGATCACCATGAGTTCAAATCCAGCCTGGACTACATAGTGAATTCAAAGCCAGCCTAAACTACATAGCAAGAACCTGTCTTTTTTTTTTTTTTTTTTTTTTTTTTTTCCTTTTTCATTTTTATCGGTACCAAGGATCGAACTCACGACCACCTGTTTGCAAGGCAGGTGCTTATGCCGCTGAGCTAAATCCCCAGCCCCGCAAGAACCTGTCTTACAAACTCCAAATAGATCAGGGATTTATTTAAATGTAAACACAAAACTATGAAAATACTGAAAAAACATCAAGAGATAAGATTTAGCTGTTACCCAAATGGCTTTCAACTGGTGGGTTCAAACAATCCTCCTGCCTTTGTTCCCTAGGGATTGTAACTACAGGTACACCCTACTATGCCCTGCAGTGAAGGCTGCTTTAACCTTGGTGTTAGGAAAGATTTTCTATAAAAAAAAAATCCAAATGAAAGAAAATACCAATTTGACCATATGAAAATTTAAAACAATTGAGTGTTGTAGCACATGCCTGCAATCCTAGCTAAGAGGGTAAGACAGGAGGTTGGCCATTCTGAAGCCACACTGGGCAACTTAGAAACAGCCTATCTCAAAATAAAAATAAAATGAAGTTTATTAGTTAGTTCAGCACTGACCTTACAGGGAAATTTGATTCTTGTTCAACTTGGTTTGCATCCAGAATTGCAGAATTAAGTTTGTAAACTGGGGCACCACTGTAATCAGAGAAGTGAAAACTACATGTCATATCTCATACTGCAAATGTCAACAAGTATGAGCCAGGTCCAATGGCATGCTCCTGTAGTCCCAGCTGTTGTGAGAGGATGAGGCAGGGGGTTAGTGAGTTGAGGCCAACATAGGCAACATAAGGACACTGGCTCATTTAAAAAAGTATGAGGGCCAGGGATTTAGCTCAGCATAGTGAACATCTGCCTGGGAAGCACAAGGCCAAGAGCTTGATTCCGGCACCTAAAAAATAAAGCAAAGTAAAATAAAATTAAAAAGTATGACATGTTCTTTTGGTGAAGCTATAGGCTAGAATAACTGACGTGGTTGGAATGCAAACTGTTACACCCTCATGGGTGGGACAGTTAACACTAAGTAAAGAATAGCTTTGACTCAGTAGCCCTATTTGAGGATTGTACCCTGAAGATACATTTCCCAAAGAAAACATGTGCACAAGTTATTACAGTCTTGTTTGTAACTGCAAAAGTTAGGAGATAGGCTGAGTGTTCACAAAAGAGTGGTCAAATGAGAAATGGTAATTCCACATGATGGAGCATAACACAGGTGTAGATTATGGCAAAAATAAGGGCTCTGTGATCTATTGTGGTTTCCAGGATATACTAGTAAATGTGCAAGAGTATACAGTATACTGTACTTTATGGATAAAAGAAGGGGAAGAAAAAACATGTACCTTTGTACCAAATAAAACACAAGGAGAAAGCAAAGTATAAAGTATAAAGCCTCAGAAGGCTGAGGCAAGAGCACTGTAAATTCTAAGGCAGCTTTAACTCCCTGATCTATTTGGAGTTTGTAAGACAGGTTCTTGCGGGGCTGGGGATTTAGCTCAGCGGCATAAACACCTGCCTTGCAAACAGGCGGTCGTGAGTTCGATCCTTGGTACCGATAAAAATGAAAAAGACAAAAAAAAAAAAAAAGACAGGTTCTTGCTATGTAGTTTAGGCTGGCCTTGAACTCACTATGTAGTCCAGGCTGGATTTGAACTATGGTGAGTTCAGCTCACCCCCAGCTGGGGCTGGGGATTTAACTCAGCGGCATAAATGCCTGCCTTGCAAGCAGCCATGAGTTCGATCCCTGGTACCGGTAAAAACGAAAAAGACAAAAAAAAAACTGCTTACCAGGGTTGAGGATTTAGCTCAGTGGTGTAAGCATCTGCCTGGCAAGTGTGAGGTTGTGAGTTCAATTCCCAGTAAAAAAAAGAAACTGTTCCCCTGTGGGGTGTGGTGTGAAAATCATCAAAGGAATTGGAAGAGACTGGAAACTTTATGTAATGACATTTGTAGTCATGTTAATATATCACAGAAAAGTAAACAAGGTCAGGGAAATAGAACATAATTTGAGATACATGAACCATAATTCAGATAAACCACACTGAAGGGGAAGAAACATCCAAGTAAAATTTTTAAAAATCTAATGAAAGTTTTTAAAAAAAATTTTTATTTTATTGGTACATTTCAGGTATACACAGTGATAACATTCATCATAGGGATTTTGTATCTGTACATGGTATTTTGCTTTCTTTTCCTATTCCTCTCCCCTCCAGGCCCTCCTTTCCCTCATTTATAAAAGCTTTGTTCCATTCTCTTTTCATCCAACTAAATTTGAACACCATATTTTGATTATATGCCTTCAAACTAAAGACAAAAAAGAACAATAAACAAATATTAAACTTTCTTCCTAGCTGGGCATGGTTGTGCATGCCTATAATCCCAGCACTCAGAAGGCTGAGGCAAGAGCACTGTAAATTCTAAGGCAGCTTTAACTACATAGCAAGACTCTGTCTTAGAAATACAATAAAATGTGCAAAAAGTAAAGACAAATAGAATGGTGCAGGAGGTACTATTTCCTGGCTCTGTCCATTTTAAGAACCTGCAAGCAGTGACACTCCAATACCAACGAGCGTACCCAGCACCCACATCTTGGTTACTAATAGCATTATCCACAAAAGCGATCATGGCCCCTTGAAGAAATGGCTGGTTTAAGGGAGTCCTTGGCAATGCTATCAAGTATGCAAGCACCTAAAGAATGAGAGGGGCACTCCAGGACAGTGCGGGGAAACAGGCTGAAAAGGGTCCTGGTGGCTAGTTCTAGGACAATCTGGGCATCAAAACGAGTAGATTTATAACCCACTGAATAAAATAGTAACCTGAGTAAATAGATGAGGAAGAAGGGAAAGCAATCATATAACTGTCAACAAAAGCAGATGGCGTGATAGAGTTGTCAGTCACCACTTGGCATCATAACTGAGTTAGACAAGAATCATCAGTGGAAGCCTGAGCAGAAACAATGTTTATACAAACCCCACAATTCATTTCTTAACAACAGGGCTAAATAGGATTTCTATACAGTAGTGGAGAAATCTGGTATGCACTAGCTTGGCCAAGTCGCCAGTGACAGAACAAAGCAACCTTGTGTGCTTCTCAGGCCTGCCAAGTGATGCAAGTTCATTGCATCCCAGCTGTCAAAGTCCTGCCGGTAGTGCAAAGCTTGAATCTAGCATGGGACAAACTCAAATGGAGCTACGAAGGGGGCACTCCTCAAAATAAGTACTTTGGGAATTACACATGTAACTCACTGATAGAATACTTGCCTTGGGGCTGGGGATTTAGCTCAGCGGCATAAGCACCAGCCTTGCAAGCAGGCAGTCGTGAGTTCAACCCCTGGTACCAGTAAAAAAAACGAAAAAGACAAAAAAAAAAAAAAAAAAAATACTTGCCTTGCATTTGTGAGGCTCCTGGGTTCAATTTCTACCACTAAATAGTGTATGCTTTCCCAAAAGTCAACTGTTTTGTCACATTAAGGGACAATAAATGGGACATAGTGGCACATCCCTGTAATTCCAGCACTGAGAAGTTGTGGCAGGAGGATCACAAATTCCAGTCTAGCCTGGGCAACATTGTAACTTAGCAAAACCACCTCAAAATTAAAAACAAAAGAAAACAAAAGTGGTGGGCTAGGGATACAACTTAGCATGAAGGCCTTGGGCCCAACACCCATATGGCAAAACACCTAAAGACATTGGGCAACTGGAGGTAATCAATTTGGGAGAGGAGGAGGTTTGAAAATTTGAGAGACCCAAATAACATTTGCTGCAGGTTTTATAAGTATTGTATCAATGCTAATTTCCTTTGACACTTGCACAGTGGCCCTGACCGGAAAGGTCTTTATGAGTTTGGAGTGATTTAGAAAAGAAAGGAGGCACACAAGTACTTTACAGCAAAGGGAGATTATCTCTACAACTAATGTCAAATAGTTCGCAGAAAAGCATTTGTGTGGGAAAAGAGAAGCAACTGGGGCAAAATGTTACCACTTAGGAATCCTGGAGTTGGGTAAATTGGCATGTTTTAATCGCTTTGAGGAAAACCTAAATTTGCCAAAATACAAACAGTAAAAGAAACAAAGCTGGATCTGGGGGCTCACTCCTCGAGGCAGGAGGATTGCTGTGAATTCAAGGCCAATCTGGGATATATAGCAGTTCAAAGCCAGCCAGAACTGCATAACAAATTTGTCTCAAAAAACAAACAAAACATATAAATAGTCTAAAAAGGGGCAACATGTACTCTCCATCTAACCCCAAAGTGTAGCCTTGGCTACTGAGTTGTTGCTGGAGGCTCATCCCAGCCAGAGCTACAGGCCATCCTGCCATTCTGTGGGCACTGACAGAGGGTAAGCCACAACCCTGTGCTCAGCTCATTTTGGGCAGAGTCCCAGTCTGCTATCCTGTGTGGACTGCATTGGTGATGACTGCATGACTGGCCACTTTGCTGCTACTTAATGACACGATCCTTCCAAAAAGGATATCAGAGATGCAGCTTCTATTTACGGAGCATTTTCTATACGGGTAGGCCCAGCTTCTATTTACGGAGCATTTTCTATACGGGTAGGCCCAGCTTCTATTTACGGAGCATTTTCTATACGGGTAGGCCCAGCGCTAAGCACTTTCTGGAACCCTAGAAGCCCCAGGGGGCCCATGTGGCCATCTCATCTCATTCAAGGCTAAAAGAAATCAAGCAACCAGGGGCTGGGAATATAGCTCAGTAGTGCAAATGCCTGCCTGGCAAGCACAAGGTCCTGAGTTTGATTCGCAGTACCAAACCACTCCCCTGCCAAAAAACAAAAAAAACAATGGAAAATCAAGCAACTCTACCCACCCAGGTAGGTTCAGGCTTTGATCTGACACCAACAGCAGTGCTTCTCTCCAAATTGGTGTTATTTCACGCCAAACCCTAAGGCTACCACTGGCTTGTATGACCACCACCTCTGCCTTGTTTCCGAGTCACCACATGCATCCAGAGAACACAAGTTTAATGAGGAGACTGTCGTCACCCTTGGGCCAGCTGTTATTCTACCCTGTGGGATACCTTCAGTGAGTTCTTCTATAAGGTGCTGGCCATACAGATTGGTTCCCGTCTGAGTTCTTCCTACCATTCTGTACTGATGGAAGGACCCACACAGGACTCTGTTTGAGCACTGTGTCATCCAGAAGGGACAGGTAAAGTATTTAAAGAAGTATTGGTGGAGAAGATGCTGGGTGGGCTTCAAAAAGGGATCCAACCTTTGTCCAAAAACATCAACCTAACATTTTTTGTGGCCCCAGTAATTTTTAAATGGGATGATGTGATTTTTACAACCTAGGATTCAGGAATGGCAGTATCTATGCTCAGCATGGTGATGGACACCTGTAATCCCAGCACTCAGGAGGCTGAGGAAGGACTGCCATGAGTTTGAGGGACGACTGGGCTACACAGTAAGAAGGTCAGCCTGAATTACAGGGCAAGACCCTATCTAAAAAAAGAAAGACAAAGTCACGGCAATATGTACAACAGAAACATGATGCAGTGGTGATAAATGTGCATGTTTAGGGGTAAAGGAAAATGACATTTGGCTTCACTCTCATATTTAATGCTACAGAGGAAGGGAAAGCAGAGCAGGGTCAGCCACTGACCAAGACTCACATCACACTCCTTAAAGGACTCTGCCAGTGCTCCCTTCCACCAGAGGATGGCCAATACTATGCTCCTCATTTTTCAAATTGAGAAATCAAGGAAGAAAAAAGCCTTGCCTAAAACCATCTGGCACATAGGGCAAGGGGAGGTGATGCTGTTTAATCCACTCTTCAAATGCATCAGTGCATTCTGCTGCTTCCTGCTGTTGAAGTTAACTCCTTCCAGACTTGGCTGGAGGCAAGGGACACCCAAATGGTGATGTTCCTGCCTTCTGTCCACTATATGTGTGGCAACAGCCAAGCTCAGTCCAGGGTAAGGAGGAAAGGGGCAGATAGATACAAGCAACTTCCACTACCCAGAGATGAAAGTCTAGGAAGCCATGTCCTGAGATGTCCCTTCCCACATCCTCTCACCACAGAATATGTAAAGTGCAAACAAGGCTGAGCGGGCTCCCCACTGAAGACCTGCAGGTCTCATGTGCCTCCCGGTATGGGTCTTCCTATAGGGGCTCCAGGTCTTCTGCTCAGAGCTGCATTGAGTAAATTCTCCAGGCCCCTATCCTAGAAGACACTAGCTGGTTCTCTCCAAGCTACCTAAGCCCTCTACAGGTCCTGTCCAACAAGGCAGAGATTTAGTCCCAAGAAATGCCACCCTGGCCAACTGCAGCCAACCCTCTTGCCTGACTTGGAAGCTCCCCAAGGGACACTATCCCTCTGTGCCCCTGGAGGCCAGAACATCTGTGTGGACAAAGCCCCTTGCTGCCCAATTCAGAGCACCAGGGTAAGGTAGGCTGGCCAGAATAGGAGCCACAGCTGGGGTGCCACGTTCCCCAAGCTCCTATGTGCCATTCTCTGCCTACTGTACAAGACCAGGAAGTCCACTGGACTGCCTGCCTGAGAACTCAGAAAAACCTCAGAAGCCAGGCCAGGTACATGGAACATAACTAGAATCCCCCAAAGGGGTTGGGAGGAACAAGAGCCTAAACCATCCACCATGGCAGACAAAACTCAGGCTAAGGGTATGTAGGTGGCTTCTTTACTCCTCTGAAGCCCTCAAGGATCTCAGGCTGCCCAGTAGCCACAGTGGGCTAGAGAGAAGCAGGGGTATCTGCAGGCCCCAGAAGCCTTGGCCCAGGTCAGGGGTGGAGACTGTACCATGGGGGAGGTAAGAAGTCCTCCTGCCCTCCCCTGGTGAGTCACCAAGGTCACTCTGCCCACAGGATTCTACAGTGGCCACATTACAACTCCTCAAAGCAGCACACGCAGATACCAGCCAGGTGCAGCTTCCCCAGGTCCCAGCAAGCACCCAGGCAGTCCTGGTGGGCACTGCTGCACCTCTTCTGTTCCTAGGATGTACCCCATGGGTCTCTAGAGCAGAATGAATGCCCTTTCTTTGGCAATGCTGGTAGGGTGCATGCCAGATGGCAGAGGTGGCTGGCACTTTCCCCAGCATTCTACATGTTCATGTCCAGACCAGGCTCCTGGAAGAGGGACTGCTTCCTCAAGTTGAGTCGGGCACACTTGGGGCATGTGGTCGAGTTGTCATAGTAGCAGTCCCTAGGGGAAGAAGGACAGGCTGGGGTCCACACATGAAATTCCACCAAAGGACCCTCTCCAGCCTCCCAGGTTATCCCTCACCTCCTTTCTACAAACAAGAGACTTTTATAACCCTGGTCTGCCTTCAGCTGTGACTGAGTTCAAGGCCCATGGATGGCAAGTACTCATCCTGGAAGTTAATGCTGGCCACTGCTAAAGAGCTCTCTCACTCCCCAATATCCCAGATCACAGGTGAAGGGGCTGAAACAGGCAGGCCCCAAGATCATCATGACATGACTGTCCCCATCGGTTCTCATCACCACTGTGGAGCTTCCACCCAGGGCCCCTAAACCATGTTCTGAGGCAGGGCAAGTCTCTGCAGAGGGTGCATGGCACTCTGCAGGCTTGATTGCACATTTGAAGAGTACACAGCAGTACTGGTGAGTTTCAACACTAACTGTTTCTACACCCCTTTCTGTAATCACTTGCTTTGCTAAACTGGAATTTCAGCAGTTGCCATAATACACAGGCAGAGATCTTTGCTACGCAATTCAGTGTGGACAGAAACAGGGGTGCTGGTGTCCAGTCACTCCAGGGCCCAGCAGGCACAAAGATCACATAGAAATTGTGCTTATTGACAACTTACATTAAAATATTTTTCTCCTAATTTATGTGTACTTGGATTCCAAACAGCCATTAAATCTTTAGGGAAAAAACCCTTTTAACTTTTCTTGAACAAAGTATTTAATGAACAACAGTGTTCGGTATTTCTTTTTTCCTAAGAGCACTTGAAAAATTTACTGAGACACTAAGAGTGTCAGGAACTAAGTTTGAGAACATCTGGCCTATACTGGCCCTCTAACTTCATGCTAGTGCAGGAGAATAGTGTGATCAAGTCCAGGGCTGAGTTAGGCTTCAGGGACTGCTTCAGTGTGGTCCAGGCTGCAGTAACCCCCGCCCCCCAATCCCCTGCAGATGTTTACTCCTAACAGCACTGGGTTTTGTTTTTTGTTTTTGTTTTTTGGTACTGAGGATCGAACTCACAACCTCGTGCTTGCCAGCCAGATGCTTATGCTGCTGAGCTAAATCCCCAGCCCCACCTCACTATATTTTTATGGAGATATGATCTCAGTATGTTGCTCCATTTGGCCTTAAACTCTCCACCTTTCTTCTGAACTTCTTGAGTAGCTGGAATTATATGCTTAACCACAAGTACTGCCAAGCTTCCTAATGGAATGATTTTTTTTCTTTCCCCTAGTACTGGGGATTGAATTTAGGGCCTTTGCACTGAGCTACATCCTTGATGCTTCTTTTAATTTTTTTATTTTAAGACAAAGTCTGGTTTAGTCACTAAGTTGTCCAGGCTGGGCTCAAACTTGTGATCCTTCTGCCTTAGTCTCCCAGAATGTTGGAATTACAAGCATGAACCACCATGACCAGCTCCCAGTAGAAAGTTAATCTTAGGGGCTGGGGATTTAGCTCAGTGGCATAAGCGCCTGCCTTGGAAGCAGGCAGTCGTGAGTTCGATCCCTGGTACCGATAAAAAGGGAAAAAGACAAAAAAAAAAAAAAAGAAAGTTAATCTTAGATATCCAGACATAACTCTGTATCTCAGGATCAACACAGAGCTTGGAAAGCAAGCAGTAGACGCCTAAGTGTCTGTCTCTTACTCTCGGGCAAAAGAGAGATCAGCCATAGCTGAAGGGAGGGAGGGGTCACCACCCAGTCTGAGAGGGAGGTCTGGCCACACCCACCTGTGGAAGACGGCTGAGCAGTCTGTGCACACAGATGTGTGGCTGTCGAATGGGAACAGCACATCACCCTCTCTGCAGAGCTCACACACGAAGCCCTTGGCCTGGCACCGCTGGCAGGGAGGGGAGACACCATGGGGTTGGGTGGGCAGGTGATGCCAGCTCAGGTGGGAAGGAAGCAGCATGGGATTGGGGCAGCTACGTGGGGAAGGGAACAGCCCAAGGGGCTGGGCAGGCAAGTGACACCAGCTTAGGGGGATACCCTGAGCTGGGCTGCTTCTCCTGCCAATGTCAGCCCTCAAGGCTGAATGCAGAAGTAGCCTGTGGTCCCCCTGGATCCCAACCAGCATGCAGGAAGCCAGAAGCCCACCTCACAGTCCAGCTTGATATGCTTGGCAAAGAGCGTGTGGATTTCGGTGAGGGAGCAACCAAGGCGGCCCAGGTGTACATCCAGCAGGTCCTGGATAGAGTACATCTCGTCGTTCTCCACAAAATGCTGTCGGTCCTGGAGCTGCCAAGTCCCACAACTGTGACCCCAGGCACAGTCTACGACCCCTCCCACCACCCTATGGCCACCCCTGGGGGAACAACCAGCTCCAGAACCCAGGAACCTGGGGAAGCTAGGGGGGAGATGGCCAGGGCCACCTTTCCTCGTCTGTAGCCCTCACTCCTCACCTCTCCAAGCCATACTTCCTCCCGATCTGGGTCTCTCTGTGACACTGCTGTGCAACCTGTCCGTGACCTTCCTGTCTCTTGTCCGAGTGCTCGTCACTCAGACATACTACTTGTTTTCCTTGCATTCTCAACCTGATGGTTGCTCTCCAAGTGCTAGGATCCCTCCTCGTTTTGTTCATTGCCTCCTCATGTCTACGAGTCACTGAACAAGAAAATACATGAGCCTGAACACCCATGTTCTATGTGGCCCACCTCGATGTAGATTCACATACAGGCTGCAGGCAATACTTGCTTATCTTAAGTTTCCCAATTGAAAAAAACTAGAAAACCTCTTGTGGCTCCTACATGATGGCTTATTATAGACCTAGTGTTCCTGGGACACATTCTGGGAGACCTTCTGCTCCAAGCACAGGGCACACAGCTACTAAGTGACCTAGAAAGCTCTGCAGATGAGGTGTTCCAGGACAGGGATTCAGCTCAGCAGCTTAAGCACCACCCTGGCAAGCACAAGGTTCTGAGTCTGATTACCGGTAGCAAAACAAACAAACAAATAAGCTGTTCCTATCCCTAGCTTCTCTGGCCAGTGCCTCTGGCAATCAGACCTGCAGCAGCAGCCGGGCTTCCATGGCCTCCTTGCAAGTGATGAAGTATGGCTTCATGAGTAGGATGTCCTGGCGCAGCTTCTGTGGACAAGAGCAGCAGGCAGGCTCCTCAATCAGGACATAAGACGGGAACATGGTCACATGGGAAGGCTGAGGGTCCAGCCCTATTGGCTTTTTTTTTTTTTTTGTACCGGGGATCGAACTCATGACCATACACTTGTAAGGCAAGGCGCTTATACCGCTAAGCTAAATCCCCAGTCACCTATTGGCTTCTTATGAACTGTGTTCACAGCAGCCTGACCTATACTCCAGGTGACAGCAAACTGAGTAGGGGACAGAGAAAGTGGCCTCACACTCCCCAGGAGGGTCCCAGACCTAAGCCTCCTTGGCAAGCTCAGGGTCAAATCACAGCTCCAGGCTGTGCAGGATCCTTAGACTCAATGCCCTGTCCACAATCTTCTATTCTAATGTCTAGGAGCTTGAGAGCAGCACAGGGCACACCTAATTCATCCCATGTCATACCCACACATCCCCCTCATATTTCCCCTCATCTTCCAGTCACATCCCAAAGCCCTTGTGGGCCTGGTGGCCACAGAAATTCAACATGTTGGCCCCAGACTCCTCCCCTGTTCTATAGAATCTAACCCTTTCCACCCACCTTCAGAAACACTGTCACTTCCTGCCATCAGTTTCTCTCCTGGCTAAAGGTGACTGACTGCAAGTAGCTGCCAAGCACTTAGAAGTGACTGTGGGAGCTTGGAATTTACACAAACTCAAAGACACAGCATAAGAAAGAACATCACACAGGCCAGGGATTTAGCTCAGTGGCATGAGCGCCTGCCTGGCAAGTGCTAGGTCTTGAGTTCGATCCCCGGTACAAAAAAGCCTGAAAGAACATCACACAAAACATCACTTGAAACAATCTTGAAAACTACACATTGAAATAAGCTTTTCAATATACTGGATTAAAGAAAATAGAGTCTCACCATGTAGCCCATGCTGGCCTCCAACATGTGGTAATTCTATGTGAGCCTTCAGAGTGGTAGGATTACAGGCATGCCCAGTACCACACCAGGCCTCTTTTCACTTTTTTAATAAGGCTACTAAAAAAGTTAAAATTGTCTTCATGTCTGGCATCAGATTGCTACCGGTCATATTTCTAGCATCTACAATCCAAAGGATTATCAAGGGCTGCATCTCTCCAGGGCTCAACCTGCTACTTGCTCCCCATATCCCAAGAATGCTCAAAGAGGGCCCAACCTCACCCGGATCTCTACCAGCTCCTCCACATAGTTGAACAGCAGGGGGTTGATCTCCCGTAGCCGAAGCACTGGCCTTGAGACCATCAGCGCCAGGTAGCGCATGCTGCAGCGAGACACCTGTGGAGCAGTGAGTGGCCGCGACTGCCTCAGCTGCAGGACACGACCCTGGACTGGCCCACACCCGAGCCACAGGACACAACCCCATCACCTGCTTGGCGAGCCAGCCCTACCTTGCGCGGCTCGAAATCCCAGTTGTGCACGACTCGTGCAGGGATGACAGCCAGATCGTTCCAGTGACAGTGGCTGCAGTAGTACTGGCCTGTGTAGTCGCACTGTCGCGCCTCACTGGGCACGCCTCCTGAGGTGGCAGGTCAGTCAAGATCAGGACAGGCCCCAATTCCTGATTTACCTGTCTGCTTTGCCTGGCCTCCCTGGCCTAAGGCGGGGGGGGGGGGGGGGGAGTCCCAACCTCCACAGCCACCCCACTGAACTCAGCCTGTGAGACCCTTTGTCACAGACTAGGCAAAAGCACACAGTGTCACATGACAGTGTTCCAGAGACCTGCTAATGTTCATTCATGGGATCCCTTCCAGTTCTCTGCCAGGGCCATGCTGCTCCTTTCCTGATGAGCAAACTAAGAACACTGAGACAACAGGACCATAGCACAGGGCCTGACAAGTCATGAAACAGTTGGAATTCTGGCTGATTTTATATGCAGTAAACTGCCCACAGTCACTTCCCACAGAAAAAAGGTAGGGACTGCCTGTCCCCAGGGCCTTACTCAGCAATCTAACTTCACCAACTTTCTCCCCAACTGCCCCACACCTATGCCTGGTGCAGGTAGCTCCCGCCCTCAGTCTATTCCCAGCCACACTCACGCAGAGAGATAGGTGCCCGGCACTCAGCACAGCGGTAATCTTGGCTGTCCAGTCCTGTCTCGGGACAGATGTTCAACTCGTACTCAGCCTGGTGGCTAACTTTGGAGCTCACACAGGGCTTGGAGATGAGGTTCAAGCACTTGCTGTGGCAGCGGTAATAGCAGCCTGGTGATGGGGGACAACCATGCCTCTTAGAAGCAGAGGGGTAGGGCTGGGGATTTAGCTCAGCGGCATAAGCACCTGCCTTGCAAGCAGGCAGTCGTGAGTTCGATCCCTGGTACCGATAAAAATGAAAAAGACAAAAAAAAAAAAAAAAGAAGCAGAGGGGTATCCTGCACCCCAGACTGACCTGAGCTGGCTGCTCCCCATCCTCTACAAGCCCCACTGATCCAGACCCTCTGGCACAGCCACTGGAGACCCTCATGTCCCCATCCCTGGAGTCTCAGCTCTCAGCTCATGTGTTCTGCCATTTTCACCAATCGAACTTGAGCTAACCAAAAGGAATTTCTACTGTTTCATCTCAACCCTCTTCCCCTATTTCCCATCTAAGATTTCAGCAACTCATCCTCCCAGGGTGAGACCAAACATTTTGAGTCATGCCGACTTCTCCTTAGCTCTTACACTGCACTTAAGTCTTCAGTCACCACTGACACGTTACTTGTCACCCCAGCCAATCACAGAGCCACCACCCTCCCCCAACATCTCTCCCTGCAGCCCTGCTCCTTCAGCCATGCTCAACTCTACCAGAGTTAAAGTGTATCCTGTACCCTCTAGGCCACACCACTTAAAGGAAATCCCTCAGGCCCCAGGTCCACCTCAGACATGTGTTGAGCAACACTGCACTCTGTTCCTCCTTGAGGACACTCAGCACACATCGACCGACCACAGGGCTCGATCAAAATGTTCCTCCCAAGGTCTACCCCAGCTTGCTCTCTGAACTCCAAGCATTTATGTAAATGCTACATGAGGATTTTCCCTCCCACTCTACCCTTGCCATACTATTTATTCCCTGTCTCTGTGTCCTTTACGATGACTATCTCCATGTCACATCATTTACTAGTATGATTTCTCATCCAAAGCACCAACCACAAGAATTTTCCCATCATGGCAGTGTTCTCTCTGCACTACCCAACATGTCAGCCACCAGCTTCCCGGGGCTACTGAGCCTTACAATGTAATTTGTACAGCTGGGGAATTATATATTCAGTTCATTTAGATTTAAATGTGAATACCCATTGTGGCCAGTGGCCACAATACTGGACACTTCAGATCTGAATGTGAGGCCAGGGAAGGCAGGGTCCTTCATCTGTTCTGTTTCTCATATCTCCGGCACACAGCAGGAATGCAGTCAACTGAGAACACTAGAGAATTCACCTGAACACAGCCCACATCTGGGAGCAGAGCTTTGGGGCATCTCTGTCCTATCAAGACCTGGACTGCTGCCCAAAGGAAATAGGTCTCAGCATTGGCCTACCTGTGCAGGTGTACCAGGTCTGAATGAGACCCCAGATAATGGTATTGCACTTGTCACAGGTTTGCTTGACACTCTTGCTCTTCTCCTTGTAAAAGCGGTGCTCCAGGAGAACTCGAATATTGGGCTCATCTTCGTCAGGGTCCTGCAGAGGTGGATCACCGAAGGGGTTCAGACAAGCCCTGCAACTTATTTCTTGCAGGCACCACTTGTCACAGAGACTGTGCACTTCAGCCCAATGCACATTCTCTTCTTTCCTCTAGCAACAGAATGCTGGTCAGTCAACTGCGGCTGCAAGTTCCCTCAGTGTCCTTCCCAGCATCCCTGTGGATCTGCACAGGGACCAAGGGCTAGTAAGCAGGAAGTTTGTGGCCTCTGCCTTTCCTTCCTTCTGCTGATTGGGTACAAACCAAGATGTGCTGCAGGGCCCAGGAATGTGACAGGAGCCAGCCTGGATAACCAGGACCTTCAGGACCACTAGCTGGCATACGAGCCCAGGACTGCCTATAGGTGTTTTTTCATGAAGAAAAATCACAACCTATGTCCTTTAAGTCAGTGTATTTTTGAGTGTTTCTTGCCATAGCCATATCTATGTCCTAATGAACAGTCCATTTTCTAAATTCCCCCAGGACTCACGAGTTAGTACTGGAGACACAGCGGCAGCCAAGCCAAAGAACACATTGTTGGGACAATACGGTAGACATCTGTGGATTTTGTGCTCTGGGTTCTCTCACTTCTTCCTGTTGTCACTTTCAGGAGACCAACCCTCCTAGACTAGGTCCTAGGACTTGACAAGGACCATACCACCAATTTGCTGCAGTAGGTCAAGGCCAAAACCAGCTGATCACTGTGACTATCTCAGGGCTAACCTGTCAGTCACTGAGTGGTACCTGTGGACCCAGAGCTGACTATGTCTACTGAAGGGACCCTTCCATCTGCACAGGATTTCTGAGCCAGTAGGAACACAGCTCCTATTGCTGGGGTTATTCCTGCCTGGCCAGAAGTGGCACAAAAAGCACAGCAGAAGAGGACAAGTTTCCTGGCACTGGAGGACCCTTCTGCTAACAAGCAAGTGTTTTCTTTTTGGTTTCTACCCACTGCATCCAAGACACTCTGGACCAAAAGGAAAACAGCCTACAAGTACAGCGAGGGCTGCATTTTTCACTGTCTTTCTGGATACCTTTCTACCTCAGTGCCTCAGAGAACTTCCATATCCTCCTGCTCCCAGGGCTGGGCCTGGACTCCCTCTGCAGTATGCAGGCTGGCACCTACCTTCAACTCCTGCAACTTCAGCCGGAGGTGGATGAGCCTCACCACAGCGTCCTTCTGCCTCTCTGACTGCTCAGGTAGCTCCAGAATCATCTGCTTACATTCCTCGATTGCTTGCTGCAGCTGCTGCACATCAGAAGCCAGGAACAGACCCTGCCAAGGTCAGGGCAGTCAATGGCCATGCTGCAGGCTCCATGTATTGAAGCCAGACCTATCTCTAGGCACATGTAGGCACAAAACAGACAGCTAGCACTGATCCATATGAAGCCTTAGAGTGCAAGCCACATATTCAGCACTCACCCACCGGTCCTCCACCACCACATCTCATAGGCCTCTGAAGACTGGTTTAGAACAACTAAAATTCCACTTCCTTCTTTTAGAAAACCAATTGCTTTCTTGGCTGTGCAGTTTCATGTACTTCTAAAAAGCTTCCTCTTGGAGGAAAGCTGGGGAAATGACACAGTCATAAAGAAGAGAAAGTGGTCTCTGGCTAAACAGCCAAGTCCAGGCAAAGTAGCCTGGAGGTGACTACCCAAACCATGATGTCTCACTGCACTCCATACTGATCCTGCTGCCACAAGGGAACAGGCTCAGTTTCAGAGGTGGAAGGTCAGACTAACCACCCTCAGCAGCATCCTGCCTTATACTGGGTTACAGATACCCAGGCAAAGAGGAAGTTACCCTTCCCACCTCCTTGGAGCTCAGTCTGCAGCCAAAAGGAAACACTTAGAAATGTTATAATAAAGATACATAACATATATATGCAACAGCAAAGCCAAAAGCTCACATTTAAAAACTGAAAATAAATTGAAGCCATGTGTCCCACTGCTCGGGAGGCTGAGGCAAAAGGATTGCCAAGAGTTCAAGTCCTTCCTGGGGTACATAGTGAACTCAAGGCCAGCATGAACTACACAGGGAGACACTTTCTCAAACAGAATAAAACAAAACAAACAAAAGCTAAAGTAAATTCAAAGGGGGAAAAGGAGGCTTCTCAATGGATCTTTTAAAGGTTACATTCTAATGTCACTATGTTTCTTTCTTTCTTTTTAATTTTTTTTTTGGTCTTTTTCGTTTTTATCGGTACCAGAGATCAAACTCATGACTGCCTGCTTGCAAGGCAGGTGCTTATGCTGCTGAGCTAAATCCCCAGCCCCACTATGTTTCTTTCAAAAGGTAGAGATGCATTGTGTAAAACTAAAAGATTTTCAAACATTTTTGATTGTCAGAGCTCCCTCTTTCTCCCTCAAAACAAGCCCTCCATGAGACAAAATACAGAACAGCAGGGTGGCACTGTGGTGTGGAGTGGCTAACAGGAGACATGCAAGGGCTTCTCTCACCCCCATGAAACTTCATCCTTGACCTGACTTCTAAGAGAACCAACTTTCACATCTACTTCACAGAACCTGAAGCTTCAGGGAGAGAAGCCCCAGTTCCCTAACCCCAAGCCCAGGCCATCTCCACCCACCCTCAGACAGGCTTCAAGGTTAGGGACCAGGGATATCTGAGGTCCAAGAGATGGTTCGGGTGGGGCTGCTGAGGCACACAATGGTGGCGCACAGGGTGGAAGACTGTACCCAGGCCATGAGGCAGTGTCTACCACCATGTGGGAATAGGGTGCCAAGGAAAGCACTGTTCTATTCTGGGGCCCAGCCTCTCCCCTCCTAGACCCCAGACTTTACCACAGGGCGGGAGAAGTGGTCCTCAGACAGGCCGAGATCCATCACGCGCTCAGAGCAGTGGAACTCAGGCTCCCCGGGGGCCAGCTCAGGTGAGATCTCTGGAGGAGAAGACAGGTATGGAGGGCCCATGGGCAGACAAAGGTCAGTTGGCTGCCTCTGCCCCTCATCACTCAGGAAGTGGGCAGGAAGGGACTAGGGAGCCCACAAGAAGGAAGTAGCAGGGAGCTCAGCACATCTGTGGATTTGTATTTGAGAATGAGGCCAAATGAACCAGTTTCTGCAAAGATGAGAAAAAGCCATTCAAAAAGGGGAGCTAGACCGATCCACAGTGGCACTGATAGAGCACACAAGACAGAGTTACAGAAACATCCTGATTCTGAGGCAGTTGTCCTGTACGAGCATGTAGGCTCAAACAGGCCATGCTGGCTCCACCACAAAATTCACAATACCCTGCATGGATCCCAGGTCATCTCTGAATCTACTCCAGATCCACATGTGCCCTATGACTTCCTTTGCAATTCCTGGGGCCCACGTCCCCCCAACCCAAAAGATTCACTAACCTCCAACATGGATCTTGGCTCTCAGTTTGTTCCCCAAGTGTTGGTTGAGCACCTGTCAGGTGGCCTGCCAGCCTTCTGAACTGGTCTTTCCAGTGGGGAAGGCAGAAGAGACCCACAGAGCAGGTGGAAAGGGATTTATGCTCTTGGGAAAAAAGAAGCAGCCAGCACAGCTTGCTTGTGGCAGGAAAGTCATTGAGTTCCTGCAGTTCCCTCTTCCTGATCACCTACCTTCAGAGCCAGCATCCAGGACCTCCTCACCAGCTCCCTGCTCATGTTGCCCTGGCCCAAGCTGCTTGTTGAAGGGGTTGAGGTGCGCCTGACGGAACCGGGCCAACTTCTCATCATATTCCATAGCATCCCACCTGCAAGGCCACCATGGCTGGGGTGAGTACCCAGGTCCCAGACCCGCCATGAATCATCTCTTTCCCTGGCCCCTGCCTCTTCCACTCTGTGACTACCCTGGATCCTAAACCTCTCCCCAAAGCTCCTGCTGTCCCCACCCAGGTACTGCCCGTGGCCTCTCCTCAGGAAAACCCCATGAGACAAGGCTAGGAACAACCCATCCCAGCAGAGAGGCACATGACTCATCCAAGGGGCCCAGCCAACCAGAGCACCAAGGACCCAAGGTCCTGCTTCCCAGCAAGGGAATCCTCTGGCCCCAGGAGTCCCTGCCCTAAAGCCACCTCATGAAAACCCTGCTGACCACTAATGCCAGCCACCTCCCTGTGCCCATTCAGCCATGCCCCACTGTAAGCCTACTCATGACTCATATCTCCTGGAACTGGGTCCTACTTCCTGCTCCAACCAGAAGTACTCTTTTCCCCACAAAGCACCTGGAAGCTGAGCTTAGTCAGAGTGCTCTCAGGGTAGACATGGGAACTGAGGCATGCCATGGGAATGGAGGCTCACATGCAAATTCCAGGCAGCACTGGTACCTCTCAGTGTGCATTCTGTGCCTGAACATGAACCCTGGCTCCTTACCCTGGGCTTAGCACCTGCCAAAAGTCAAGGATTAATAATGCCTGGTCCTTTCTCTGGGGCTCTGCAAATGGTAAGACACGTCTGGCAGGGAGAAAGGAGTGCTGGTGGGGCGAGAACTTAAGTAGCTGGATGGCATCCTACAGCCTCTCTCTGCTTCTGCTTCCCCTTTTGTAGTGTGAAATTACTTCACCAACACTGAGACCAAAAGGGTTCTCAGTAACATTTACAGTTATTATGGGATGTCCTTGTGGTGCTGGGGATTGAACTCAGGGGCACTGCTTTGCCACTGAGCTATATCCCCAGGTTTTTTGTTTACTTTTTCTTCAAAGACAAGGACCATTAAATTGCTTAGGCTGGCCTTGAACTTTTGATCCTCCTGCTTCAGCCTCAGCAGTTTGGATTGTAAGTGTGTCACCACCACACCACACCTATCTGGAAAGATGCTTTTTAAATCTGTTAGGAGATTTATGGCTACTGTTACAAACTGAAATAACTCATAATCATGTAAGACATATTCCATAATCCTGTTTGTTCCTCTCCCCAAAAGAGAGAAGGAAGCCTAGGGGGAAGGCCCTGCCCAAGGGCCCCATGTCCGGTAAGGAGCTGGGATAGGAGTGGCTGCCTCACTAACAGCTGATGGAGGTCAGACACCCATGCCAGGGTCAGAAACTCCACACATAGGGAGCCTCACTGGGGAGTGTGGGCTAGGCCAGCACTGCAGGCTGGCAGGAACCAGACCCGTCAACAGCTGGATCTGGGTCTACACAGAAAGACACCAGGAGGACACAGGAGTGGTGGGTTTACCACCTGATGACTTTTTAAATTGGGAGTCCTGGGGCTGGGGATTTAGCTCAGCGGCATAAGCACCTGCCTTGCAAGCAGGTGGTCGGTGAGTTCGATCCCCGGTACCGATAAAAATGAAAAAGACAAAAAAAAAAAAATTGGGAGTCCTAATTTTTGGTTTGTCACATGATTTCTTAAGTCTCCTCTGCAGCTACACAACTGCAACTATGTCCTAATAACAAGATGCAAACAGGAAGATCACATGACTTCCAGGGTCAAACAAGACTACAGGGGGGCTGCCCCTTCTTCAGCTGTCTTCCTTCACCTGTTTGATCTGCAGGTGTAATCACTGAAAAAAAGAGCAACAACTTTGAGATGTGACACAGAAACCACATATGAGGATGGCCAAGTGAGAAGACTTCGCCTGAGCACCAGTTTATATTCAAATGAGATGGAAATCAACCATGTCACAGCACTGCTATTAGGAGGGAGGGTCCTGTCTCTTGCAGCCCAAACAATGATTGATCACCCCAGTCACCTCACTACTGTAAGATGGACAAGTCTAATGTGGGCCCCAGTTCCACCAGCTCCTCCCTGTGACCTCTTGCCCATGCCTAAAGCTTCTCTGCTTCCAGGTTCTCACATGTCAAATGCAGATTACAACAGCAATAAAGATCAAATTATCTAACACATAGACCTCTGAGAGCAATGGCCAGCTCACTGTAAGCATTCCACAAATGTGAGCTTGTTACCTACCACTTTACTATTGTTTGAGAGAAAGAGCTCTGATTTAAACTCTGGCTCTCCTAGTAATGATTTCCTACATAATGCTACCCTCCTGCCCTGAGTCAGGGAGATACCTGCTTCTGAAGGGGACAGCTGGGTTAAGTATCCTAGAGTCACTGCTAAGCCAACCATCAAGGTCAGTGACCACAAGGGTCAGGGAACATGCAGGAGCCATCCCTAGATCTCTCTAGAAAGCTCCTGGCCAGAGGGGTGAAAGGCCAGCCCCTGGGAAGAGCACTACCACTCTTACAAGTAACTGCTCTGGGTGCAGGCTCCCCAGGAAAACGCATCTTTCATTACTGAGGAAGAAACCAGTGCGGCCATTTGACCTCAGTGCTCATTTCTCTCCCCCTAGGCTGGAGAATCACATATTCTTGTCTGCTAGGGGCAGCTGGACGTCCTAACACACATTGGGACAGCACTGACACTGAAAACAGCATCAAAATCTCCTCCCACCCCTAATATCACCCCACAAAGCTTCACCAGAATTCAAGATTGGCCTCAGAAAGGAACAGGCAAGGAAAGAGACTGAGGCAGAGAAGCCCACAACTCACTTGCACCTCTTTATGGGGGGCACTCCACATCTGAGCCACGAAGGAAATGGCCCAAGGGCTCCTGCTGAGGGACTCTGGCTGAAATTCAGAGAGAGGCTGCGCGTTGCCCTGCCCTCACAGGACCACCAAGACTCAGTTCCCACTCAGCTACCACCTGGAGGCTGGGGGAATTATGCCCTAAGGAGGACAGGGAGTATGCCATATGCTGCCAAATGCAACGAGGTCTGCCAGGGACAGGGCTGCCATTCCTCTAGCAGCTGTTTGCCCCGATGCCACTCAAACCTCACCTTCTCCATCCTTACCCACAGCCACTGTGTGGATGACCTCGGCCTGCCAGGTCCCTGCCACCACCCCACCCATTTCACACAGCAAAAAAACAGAGGCTCTGCTGGTCCTACAAAATCGGCCTGTGACAGTCGCTGGGTGGGGAACTCCCTCAGTGAGTGCCAAGTTCTGCCCCTGGGGCTGCATCCCTATCCCTGCAGCCCGGAGAAGGATCCGCGATGGAAGCCAGGAGCCGAAATCCCACCCTGCTCGGGACCCGGGTCACTCCATTCTTGGGGTCGGTCCTCTGAAGGCCCCAGTCCCGAGCACCGCCGTGGCCACACCACCCAGTTCCTGTCCTGGCACCCTGCCGCGCTCACCGATCCCCGCCGCCGCCGCCGCAGCTACATCGTCACCCGTCGCCGCGACATGGGGCCCAGGCACCCGCTGCTGCCGCCTGCGGCCCGGAGGCGCACGACACCGCCTCCGAGCTCCGCCCCGGTCTCTGGAGGAAAAGGGGCAAGTCGGGGCGCAAGGCGCAGTTCACTGGAGGATTGGGGCCCCGAAAAGCAGCGGGGTCGCCAGGCAGGCACCCCACGATGCCCGCGACGGGGTCAGGCCGCGCACATCCTGCTCGGGGAGCTCCAGTCGGGGGCGCTGGGGACGCGGGGGCCACCCGAGCGCTGTCAGGGAGGCTGCGCAGAGGCCCAAGCCAAGGCTCCCGACACCTGCGACACTGTGGGGCTGGGACAGCGACCCGCACGCGCGGAGCCTGCGGGAGAGGCCCGGCGAAGCGCTGGCCCCGAGAGCTCCTGTTCCCGGTCTGAGGCCAGGGAGGCCCATTAGCGCCGCCGCCGACCTAGCCGCCCTCCAGGAGGGCGGGGCAGCGGCTCAGGCTACGCACGCGCGACCGAAGGCGCCGCCGCGGGTCCAACGCGACTGCCCTGGCTGATCCCCGCCGCAGCTCCGTCGGTGCTGGTGGCCGCGCGGCTTCCGCCTGTTCTCCCTTCCTCTTCACACCGCACTCTCCGTGCCCCTGATGGGAAAGACCGCCGGTAGGGGGTCCCTGGCAGTGGCCGCCCGGCCACGGAGATTTACCCAGCTTACTCTGGCGCCACCACCCCTGGCGTCCCATGCGCCTGTGCGGCACAACGCTCCCAGCCGGGTAGTCCACCCAGCAAGAATCGCAAAACCATTGCTGGCCAATCAAATTTCAGTCTTCTCTTCAAACAACCAATCGGAGAACGCTATGGCCTTCGGGTAGACAGTGTAAGTAGGTTGCGGAGGGCAGGGTTGATGGGATCTTGTTCCGCCCCGGATCTTGAGTGTCAAAGGCCCTCGATCTGGATTACTCATCGCCGGCTGGTACCTTTAATCTTGCGAGCTGTGGCTGGATTTGCTTTTTCCAGTTCTGATGGAGCCCAGGGTCTGCCAGGCAAGTGCTCTACAATTGAGCTCCACCTCATTCGTTTTAGTTTTGAGTTTTTGAGATAAGGTTGCCCAGGTTGGCCTCAAACTGGTAGCCCTTTTGCCTCAGCCTCTTGAATAGTTGGAATAATAGATGTGTCCCAGCATGCCCAGCAGGGGCTGGGGATTTAGCTCAGCGGCATAAGCACCTGCCTTGCAAGCAGGCGGTCGTGAGTTCGATGCCCCGCACCGATAAAAAAAAGTTTAAAAAAATAATAAAATGCCAACATGCCCAGCGTGGTTAGATTTTCTGTCCCTACCAAGTTGTGAGTTGTGACTGATTTACTTCTTCATTGCAGACGATCTGTGGGCAGCATGTCTTATGTTACATTAAAATTATGGGAGGAGGACTGAAATGTAGCTCTATGATAAAGCACCAAACTAGCACAAGCAAAGCCCCAGGTGCATGGTTCTCGGTGCAATCTGTAGCACCAACACATGCACATACATAAAGTTAAGTTACAGGAAGGCTCAGCAAGGTGACAGGAGCATATAGTCTTAGCTTCTTAGGAGGCTAAGGTAGGAGGATTGCTTGAAGTACTTGAACCCAGGACCAGCATGGGCAGTACAGTCAGACCCTATTTTAAAAGATAAAATAAATAGATGTTTTAAAAAATAAAATAACAGGAGGTCATTGTTTTGGATTTAAGCCCTGCACTAGACCAAACCAGAGGAGAGAAACTCATGCTAGGCACCATGTGATCAAACTGAACCTTAAAACAGGATAGGTTTCCGGAGGACAGGAACATGACAGCTCCAGTCATGAAGTGTGACAAGGAAGCCCTCTTTTAACCTTGAGGTTGGTAGAATAAAAATATGAAATAAAAGTGACCTTTATTTTAAGAATGTGGAGAGAGACCATGGTCTGGCATTCACTCTGCCCTACACTTGGTGTGGGGGCATACATAAAGCTTAGGTTTGGGGTGGTACCTTAGGGGCATTACTGATGCACAGGTAGCCCAATGGAATTCATTTCGCACCACAGGTAAATTGCTTAGGGGCGGGAAAGATGACCTCAAGATAAAGCCTCTTGGTTCCACCTCCCAGCCTCTCACCTCTGCAGCGTCCCTTCCAGGGCAAAATCCAGTTCAGATTTTACTGGTTTCTGTGGAAAGCCACTGTCCACCATTGCATACAGACCACATACAGATCAAAGCCTATGGCCTCCAGCATGGGACCCTTTCTTGTGCCAACAAGGCCAGCAGTCAGGAGTTTAGACCTAAATTTGATCCTGGGAGGCCCTGTGTACATTCCTGCACAGGCTGAGCTCCCAGGTGTAGGAGCTTTCTGACAAGGGGGAAAGGGTACATGACCTGCACCTGAACTCGGAATCACAAAGCATCAGTGAAGAAGAGAGGAAAAAAGAAAGAAACAAAGAGAGGAAAGGACTGCAGAGCTCAGGGCAGAGTAGAGCCACACACTTCATACTCATTACCCAGGCATGATTTCCTGCCAGACCTTACTTCTTGCTCCAAGAAACCATGGCAAGTAAGGTCCCAGACTGGACACCTCCTACCAACTCTGAGCACACAACACACATGTTCTATCCCAGCTAGTCATGCTCGGTGCATTGCACACACATACTATCTTAGTTACTTTTTACTCCTTGCTGAGACAAAATACCTGAAGCCCAAAATTGGGAAAGGAAAGGTTTATTTCTTACAGTTTTTCAGAGGTCTTAGTCCATACTCAGTGGGCTCCAAGGCAGGATGGCATGACTGGGCTGCAGTTCATGGCGACTGCAAAGAACAAGGAGGAAACAGGCAAAAGAGAGAGACACACCTTCTTCCTGCCATTACATTACATCCTGGCTCCACCCCTAGGCTGTAGTGCTCACATCCCCAATCCAAGCGCTAGGCAATGAACCAATCACAAATGCACAATGCAAAGGCATGAGGCCTTGGGTACCACCGACATAAACCATCACACACACACACACATACCTGTGTGAGTGGCCCAGCCTGAATGTTTAGGGAAGGTGAAAGACAGGGATGTGAACAAGACATATGTGAGAGAAGGAGCAGAAGAGGAGGCCTTGGAGAGGGCTGCTGCAGGCTGTGATTGGGAAGGCTGGCAGTGGCTATTCACAGTATCCCCTGGCCACCACACATAGAAGGGACTGACAGGACCCAGCATGAGCTCGGGCACACATGGGAGATTGAAAGGCCAGCAAGATGTTAGACATGGCAGCAGATGTGGGATCTGTGGAGTTCTAGAATGCAGAAGGTGAGCAGGTTGCCATTCCATTGCTGAGGCAAAATACCTGAGAAAACCAACATAAAAGGAAGAAAGAAGTTGGGCATGACCACAGAACCTGTGAAACCAGCACTCTGGGAGATTGAGGCAGGAGGCTCACAAGCTCAAATCCAGCTTACTGATACCCTATTTCAAAAACAAACCCAGCAACTAAAGAAGGGTTAGGGATGTAGCTCATTGCAAAGGCCCTGGTTCAATCCTCAGTACTACAAAATAAGATTCATACATACATACATACATAGGGCTGGGGATGTTGTGAAGACCATGATTTCAATCTCTGTAGCACACCAGAGTGACAGAGACAGAGAAAGAGGATAAATAGGTAGACAGGGCTTTAGGCATGGTCCTGTAGCCCTGTTGCTTTGGACTTGCAGGACTTGCTTTGGATCTTTCAGTAGGATGTGTGGTAGAGGAGCCTTGTGCATCTTACAGAAGCTGGGAAGTGAAAGAAAAGAGAGCAAGGGTAGGGCCCAATGTCTCCTCCAAAGGCACCCCCAGGAACCCAATTCTGCCCACCACCCTGTGCCACAGGCTGGGGAACCACGAGCCTTTGGGGACATTTGAGATCCAAACCATTATGTAAAGCCAGCCAAACTTGCTGTGGAAGAAATCCAGGGCAAGGGTTAGACCCTGCAGTCATCCCAGCCAACACCACAGGACATAGAAAAATCAAGTTACCCCAGAGTGAATTGCTGTTTTAGGGTAGTTTGAGCTAAGTGAAACGCAGCATTGCTTATCTGTGTTCTCTTTCATGTGGTACACCGGATCCCAGCTGCACCAGGGCCAGCTTCATAGACATAGGGCTGTTTGGGGTCTCAGAGCCCTCAACCTCTTCTGCTGCACCGATAGCCATGTTGCAGAATGACCTAGGGAGGGGTCATCATTAGCACTGAAGACACTCATGAGGTACAGCTAAGCACAGTGCAGGGACTGAGGTTTGATACCACATGTTGCTCTCAGGGAGAGGCCACAGGGAGGCTGTAAACAGAAGTCTGGTCCCAGCCCACCAAAGTACACCCACTATGGGCTCCTGGGCAGTGGGTTTCTTTGGGCTTCAGCTTTTTACCGTCAGAGGTGGTGGGGTGCTGAGCAAGCATCTCTTCTGGCAATGCCAGGGGCCTGTGCCTTGGATGCTGGCATTCTGCAGCTCCCAGTGATAATAGCCAGGAGGTGTGCAGAGCAAGTGCATCCCTGGTCCCTTGGCCACACCCCATCTCCACTTTCCCATCCCATCCCTCCCCAATTTCTTCTGGGAATGCTCCAGTTTCCCTCCTGGTCTCCCTGGTTCATACTGGGATCTGACAGGGTGGGGTAGGGTGGGGCATCCTACACCTTCCATCTAGCACTCCACTGAGCAGGAAGGGCACACTAAGCCCAAGTGTGGGCTGTTCCTGAGTAACAAGATGTGTGCAGGGGTGGGAGGGATGCTCTGCGAGGGGCTTACCCAGTCAGGGCCAGTTTCACTCTATCCTGTGTGCTTCCAGGACTGTGCTTTGGGACAGTGGCGTGCCTCACCTCACTCTCCAAACCCAGCTTGCCAGAATAACAAGGAATCTCAGGCATGAGGCACAGGCATCTGACAGCAATAGATTTATTAAGTATCCCCCCAAAATATATAAACACAACCAGTAAAAAACAAACCATAAAACATCAGGCCTGGAAACACAATAAAACAAAGAGCCCAAGAGCAACAGGAAACAGAGGTGGCCTATATGGGGAGGACTGAGCCATGGACTTGTGGGTGGGATAGCCATAAATACTGAGGACCCTAACTCGGGAGCCCTGGGATGCTGGGACAAGCTGGTGAGAAGCAAAGCTGGGGGCAGTGTCAGTAGCTAGATGGCTCTGGGGCAGACGCTACTTGTCTTGGCCCTGGCTGCTGTGTGGCCCTGCACTCCAGCTGTGAGTGGCTTCACTTGGGGCCTTGGGCCTCGGATTCCTCCTCGTCGTCTTCATACATCTCACCCTCTTCCTCAGCGGTAGCGTCCTGGTACTGCTGGTATTCAGACACCAGGTCGTTCATGTTGCTCTCGGCCTCAGTGAACTCCATCTCATCCATGCCCTCACCCGTGTACCAGTGCAGGAAGGCCTTGCGCCGGAACATGGCCGTGAACTGTTCCGAGATGCGCTTGAACAGCTCCTGGATGGCGGTGCTGTTGCCAATGAAGGTGGAAGACATCTTGAGCCCTCGAGGCGGGATGTCACATACAGCCACCTTGACATTATTGGGGATCCACTCCACAAAGTAGCTGCTATTCTTGCTCTGGATGGCCAGCATCTGCTCATCCACCTCCTTCATGGACATACGGCCTCGGAAGACCGTAGCCACCGTCAGGTAACGGCCATGGCGCGGGTCGCAGGCAGCCATCATGTTCTTGGCATCGAACATCTGCTGGGTGAGCTCAGGCACGGTCAGGGCGCGGTACTGCTGGCTGCCCCGGGCAGTGAGTGGGGCAAAGCCAGGCATGAAGAAATGCAGGCGTGGGAAGGGTACCATGTTCACAGCCAGCTTTCGCAGGTCAGCATTGAGCTGGCCTGGGAAACGGAGGGAGGTGGTGACTCCACTCATGGTAGCTGACACCAAGTGGTTGAGGTCCCCGTAGGTGGGTGTGGCCAGCTTGAGGGTACGGAAGCAGATATCGTATAGTGCCTCATTGTCGATGCAGTAGGTCTCATCAGTGTTCTCCACCAGCTGGTGGATGGACAGCGTGGCATTGTAGGGTTCGACCACGGTATCTGACACCTTGGGTGAGGGCACCACACTAAAGGTGTTCATGATGCGGTCGGGGTACTCCTCACGCACCTTGCTGATGAGCAGGGTGCCCATACCTGAGCCGGTGCCCCCGCCCAGTGAGTGGGTCAGCTGGAAGCCCTGCAAGCAGTCGCAGTTCTCACATTCCTTCCGCACGACATCCAGGACTGAGTCCACCAGCTCTGCCCCCTCTGTATAGTGACCCTTGGCCCAGTTGTTGCCAGCACCACTTTGACCTACAGGGAAGCAAGAGGAGGAAGTGATGAGCAGCGCTCAAGGGGTTACACTCCAGGACTTCCCAATCATCTACCATTGCAGAGTGCTGGGTTCCTAGCCCTGTGGTGCCCAGTGCCAAGGGCAGAACACAAGAACTTGGGTACAGGAGCCAGCCTTGGCCCTCCTCCCTCCACTGTATACAGAAAGCTTCAAAGGCACCAGAACTCTTGGGTTTTCCCTCTTTAGGCTGCTGCCAGTGGAGATTAGGACAGAGAAATCTTACCAAAGATGAAGTTGTCTGGCCGGAAGAGATGCCCAAATGCACCAGACCGGACACTGTCCATGGTCCCGGGCTCCAGATCCACCAGGATGGCCCGAGGAACATACTTGTGAGCTGAAGGGACAGAGTTTTGGTAACACAAGTCACAGAGAGGTACAGATACCCCCTCCCCTCTAAATCCTGTCTGTGGACGGCGGCACCTGCTCTCATCGTAAGGCTTGGACTCATAAGGAGGTTCAGCCCTACTACTGAGTCATGTGGTCCTGAAGGGAGGTACTATTCCACTAGTATGCTATAGAAATCACATTGTAGGCCAGGGATTTAGCTCAGTGGCACAAGTACCTGCCTGGCAAGTGTGAGGTCATGAGTTCAATCCCTGGTACCGTACCAAAAAAAAAAAAAAAAGAAAAGAAAAACCACATTGTAACAGTAGACCTTAGCCAAGACAAGACATGTACCTCCCATGACCCCAAGGATACAGCTCATTCTTGTCCCTTACAGCTGCCACATATATGTGCCTCTCACTCTGTGGTGGCTGTCTCTGTGACCTGCTGTCTGTACTTTAGGTGTCTCATCTCCAGTCCCTCCTGCTCTTGGGCAACCCACTGGGGCAGGGGTGCCACTGTTCTGCCCAACTAGGGCCCCTTCCCCAGGGTTAGGGCCTGACAGGTACTCACAGGAGGCCTCGTTGTAGTAGACACTAATGCGCTCCAGCTGCAGGTCTGAGTCCCCCACATAATTGCCACTGGGGTCTATGCCATGCTCATCACTGATGACCTCCCAGAACTGCAAGAGACAGAGGAAAAATTGGTGGATAACCACAAGGCTAGTTAAACCCTGTCCTTTCTCCAACCTCACAGTTCTTGGCATCAAATTCAGACATGGTCCCTGTTAGGCTCCAGAAAGCCTTGTGCTGTCTGCACGTCCAGGCTGCCTGAAGCATGTAGGGGCCCTCAGTGTTAGTGCCAGTACTGCCCAGTGATGAGGTCCAGCAAATTTGGCACATAGCTGGCCCTAGTCAGTGAGCCACAGGGATCCTGAGAGTACAACAGACATCCTCTGCTGGGTCTGCAAAGGTCACCCCATGTCCACATGGAACTTACAACTCAAAAGCTCATTTTCTCACCATCTGCAGAGCCCACCCATCTCTTCTAGGTGGCAAGAGGAAACAGCACCTCTCAAACTCTGCGCTTGTCACTGTGATGCAGCAGTGAGGCCCAGTCCTAGCTCATCCCAGCTGCATGATCACAGGCAGGTCACAAGGAATCCCTGCACCCTGGTGTCCTCTTGCATGCATCATATAGAGCTTTCAGCACATGTGTGAGCACAGCATCCAGGAAAGGCAGCTACAGAGACTCTGCCCTCAACCCAGTGGAGGGACAGGCCTCCACTTAGCAGTCAGGTGCTGGTGGGAAAAAAATCACTCTTCAAAAGAACTGGGTTAGGAAACAGCTTGCTGGCCTTCACCTATATTTGGCTGTCTCTGACAAACACAGGAAGCTGTGCCTCAGGACCCAGTCCCAGACTGGAGGGACTTTTCCCCCTGCTACCCTTTATTAATTTTGTCATGTGAATACTAGTTTTTTTTTTTTTTTAATACTAGCTTTTTAAAGATAGTAAAGTTAACTTTTTTTTTTTTTTTTTGTCTTTTTTGGTACCAGGGATTGAACTCACGACTGCCTGCTTGCAAGGCAGGCGCTTATGCCTGCTGAGCTAAATCCCCAGCCCCTAGTAAAGTTAACTTTTAAAAACAAACCTAACATATTTAAACAAATTATTGTAAAACTCATAGGGATCTAGTGGCTTATTCTAAGGGACGCTCGTCTCTCAGTAAGGGTAAAGCTGAATTTCTTTTCCTCTTTTGTGTATTTTTGTTATCCCTAAATTTTCTTCCTCCTCCTCTTCCTCATTTTGTTTTTGTTTTGAGACAGAGTTTTTGCTATATAGTTCAGGATGAGTTTGAATTCACAGCAATCCTCCTGCCTCAGCCTCTGGAGTACTAGGATTACAGGCATGTGCCACCATTCAAAATGCAAGATCCTTTTGCCTCAATCTCTTGGGAATTTGGGATTGCAGGTCCATGCTACTGCACCCAGTTCTGCAATGTTTCTTTTCTTTTCTTTTCTTTTCTTTTCTTTTGTACTGGAAATCAAAATCACAACCTTGAGCTTGCCAGGCAGGCACTTAAGCTACTAAGCTATATCCCCAGCCCAATGTTTCAATTTTTTATAGAGAAGGCCAGAAATGGTAGCAAATGCCAAAATCCAGGTTCTAAGGAGGCTGAGGCAGGAGGATCACTGTGAGTTTGAAGCTACCCTATACTACATGGCAAGATCCTGTCTCAAGAAAAAAATTTTTTTACAGGAAAAATATATTAACCAATTGCATTTGTGTTTAAAGTTAATTTGGGGCAGGGATTTAGCTCAGTGGCATAAGCACCTGCCTAGCAAGTGTAAGGTTGTGAGTTCGATCCCTGGTGACACAAAAACACAAAAGGTTAATTAAAACGTAATTTAAAATAATATCAGTAACACTCACCATATACATAATTAATAAAATAATGGGGACGAATATCCCATAGCCCAGGCAGTCTCACTAAGCGGCTCAGGGCCGGTTGCCGACACCGTAGCGCTGTCCGCGGTGCTGACCCTGTTGTGCCTAAGTAGGCAGTGAAGAGTGCTGACTAAGGCCCCTCACCCCTCACCCCCATCCCGGCATCCGTCTGTGTCCTCCCAGCAGTGGCTGGGGCGTTAGGAAGCCGGCCCCGCCCAGAAATGGGGGAGGGGCCGAGTCGGTCAGCAGCTGGTGGGGCGCAGACAAAGACAAGCCGCCTGCAATACCCCTTCAGGGCGGCTCCCAGACTGGCCCCTGGGACCTCAGCCACGGGAACCATGCAGGTAGGGGTCCAGGGTCATCTGTCCCCCACCCACCCTGACCCACCTTGCCCCCCAATCCTTGGCAAGGCACCCAACTTCCCTAGCTTCAAGAGTCTCACCCTGAGGCAGGTAACGCCCATTTCTCCCACCACAGAAACACACACACAAGTCAGATGAGTAAAGGTTGGGAGTCAGACTGCTCAGAAAGAAATGTGCCTGGCTCCGCCCCACCCTTTGTGCACTTCCACCAGCCACCCAAGGCCCCTACCCTAGGCAGCAGCTACTGGTGATGGTAATGGGCATGGAAACACAAGTCCTTCACCCACAGCAGCCCACATTCAGCTATCAGAGTGGAGGTGGATGGGGTGAGGGGGAAGGCTTCCTATTGCCTGAGGATTCCAGGCTGGCTTCTGGGGTTGTCTAGCACAGAGGCACCAAACAGGAGCTGCATAAAGGGCAGCAGTGGCAAAGGAAGATGTTCATCTACTTCATGAAAATTCACCTTGAAGCTAGGCAAGTGTGAGGTCCTGAGCTCAATTCCCAATATCAAAAAAAAAAAAAAAAAAAAGAAAGAAAGAAAGAAAGAAAGAAAGAAAATTTGGTTCTCTGCTGTTCGCATTGTTACAAAAGATAAGGGGGTTTTTTTTGTTCACTGGGGATTGAAACTAGGGCTTTTCTACAGAGCTACATCCCAAATCCTTTTTTTTTTTTTTTAATTGTTACTTTGGTCCTTTATTTTTTGAGAACAGGGTCGTGCTTAGTTGCCCAGGCTGGGCTCAAATTTGTGAGCCTCCTCCCTCAGTCTTCCAGAGTGCTGGGATTACAGGTATGTACAACCACACCCAGTTCAGATATTAAAATAAATTAAGAGTAATTCAAGAAGAATAAGGGCTCTAGCAATGAGAAGCAGAACAAATCTCAGCCAAGAGTCCAGTTCTCAGGTGCTGCCTCTATCCAGTAGCCCATGGGGGCGAAGAACCTAGAATGGCCCTCACTTCCAGTCCTGAGCTCTAGGCTGATATAAGCGTGCCTGGGGTCACAGTACAGAGCCAGTCCTGACCACAGATGGAGAGTCACTAGTTCAGGAGCAGGTGCTCCCGGCAGACCAGGCCCTGTGACCAGTTAATGAGTCCTCAGCCCCTCCCTCAGGTCAGGCCAGCTGCCAGCCACCGCCCCAGGAGTCCTGATTTGATTCGAGGCTTCTGGCCCCCAGCCTCCCCTCCTCCCCCCCTTCCCCACACCCTCCTGGAGCAGGCGCAGCTGCCTCACAGTGGTTAGGGAGTCTCCCCAGCAGAGACACCTCCACCCTAGAGCTAAACTTGCAATTTACATGTCAGCCACGTGGTTGCCCCAGCCCCTGGTAATTAGCTTTTTTGTTCCAGCCTGTTTCCATAGTAACAGCCTCCAAGGAGTCTCTCCCCGGCCCCTTCCCTCCAGGACGTCTCCCCTCAGGGAGCTGTGCCCCTGGCCTCGGTCCTCACAAAGCCCAAGGCCTATAGTGTTCCGAAGGGAGGCCGGCTCCTCCACCCAGCCCCAACCCCAGGTCGGGAGTAAGCACGGCGAAGAGCTGAGGAGGGCCTTGGCCGTGTCTTCCACTTGCTGTATGACCTTGGGCAAAAGACAGCCTTCAAGGCTGTGGACAGGGCAGCTGCGGAAGTCCAGGCAGGTTAAGTCCACCTCCCGGGCACCGCAGTCACTGCACCAAGCCTCTCCTGGGTGGCCTGCGACCGTGGGGCGGGCTGACTGTAGAGCAGAGCCCCTCGGCACAGCCCAGTCGGGCTGAGGCTTTGTTCTCAGGTCCAGGCTCTGCGGGCCGCGGGGGATCGGCCGACAGGGCGGGTACAGGGGTCCAACCTGGACCAAGGTCATCGGATAGCCCGACCCTTTAACAAAGGGAAGGCGGGCAGGCGTTCCTGCAAAGGGGTCATCGTCGTACCGGGCCCCACCCAGCTGCCCCGCCCGCCAGCCCACTAGGTGGCCTGAGCAGACCCACGTCCGGGCACCGCCTCGGCTAGACATCCTCGCCGCACCTGGGCGGCAGCTTCACCTGGGCGGCAGCTTCACCTGAGCAGGCGAGGTGGGTGCGAGGGGCGCGGGACGGGGCTCGGGTCCTTTGTCTCAGGTCTCGCGAGGGGCGCGGCCCGCGGAGCACGGTGCCCCTCCCCAGCCTTCCCCAGCTCCCTACTCCGCTCCGGGGCGCAGGGCGGGCGGCCTCACCTTGGCCCCGATCTGGTTGCCGCACTGGCCGGCCTGGATGTGCACGATCTCCCTCATGATTGCTGCGGGCTCGGATGCTGCGGAGAATCCGAACACCCAGGCGCGCGCTTTTATAGCGGCGTCCCCGCCCCGGCGGCCGCGCGCGGCCAATGCGGCCCCCGTCGCAGAGTCTCGGTCCCGCCCTCGAGGCCGCGCACCGCCACTCCAGTCCCGGATCCCGAGCTCCGGCCCGCCCCGCTCGCTCCCGCAGCGCCGCACCACTTATTTCGCGCGCCTGCGCTGAGGAGGGAGGGGGGGGCCCCGAGGGTGCGGGCCCCGCCGAGGACAATGGGGCTCAGGCGTCTCTCCCCACGCCCGCTGGACCCCGGGTTGGGAGAGCAGGGAAATCTGGAGCCGACCCTAGATCCACGGGAACACAGACCTCCGGCAGGGCCCAGGAGCCTGAGTCAGGAGCGCTGCGGTCGCAAAGCCAGCGTCCCGGCCCCGGCCCGAGGGCGCTGCCTGCCCTTCCCCCCGGGGCTGACGGGGTAGGGGGGCGGGGAGCCTGGGATGCCAGAGTGCGCATCCTGGCCTCGGACCGAGCCAAGCCTTGGCCTGACGGATGGGGGAGGAGGTTTCTGCCTGACTCATCCCTGATGTCACCTGCTCTGTGGACACTGGTGCTAGGACTGCGGGAGGGACGATGGGTGTGGCGCGGATGTGTGCGGCGCACTGAGTCCTGTGATGAAGGCCTAGGACTTCCAGCACTCTCCTGCAGGGAGCCAGGACGCACGGCCTTGCTCACAGGAGGGCGTGGAGAGCGGGCCCCGAGTCGGTCTACTCAGGGCTGGGGTCTGCGCAGGTTGTGGCGTGGTCTCCTCTTGGGGGAAGTTCCGGATTGTGCCTCCAGAACCGAGTCTTTTGTCTGCGGCGGCGCTCCGCCCCCCCTCCCATGTGTGATGAGGTGGTGTTCTCGGCCTGGCTTCCAGCTGTCCACATTCAGGGGGTCGGCGGCGGGGAACATTTGGTTGTGCCTCCTTTGCTTGTGTCTGAGCAAGGGTAGAGGCTTTGAAGGAAGCATCCGTAGGCCTACGCCTGGGTGGCGTGGGGCCAAGCTCGCTCCTTCTCATCCCCAGAGCTCCGGTGCCAGGCTGAAGGCTGACTCACTGCTCTGTCTCCCAGCCCTGCCGGGAACAAGCTCCCGCGCCCTCTGGGGCCAGCACACAGGGCAGGCTGCCTGCGGCTGACAGCACAGCTCCAGTGGGGTTGGCAAAAAGCTCCCTATTAGAGAGAGCACTACCTCGGCCTCTTCTGAGTCTGCCCCAGGCCAGAGGCTGGCTGAGGGCTCACCATCTGTGGCGGAAACTAAGGCTGCTCTGAGAGAAAAGCTGATGTTGAGCAGAGGAATGGCCAGGTACCTGTCCCCAGCTCCAGGCCTGCACACCAGCCTCCATCCATCCAGGGGTCCCAAGAGTGGCCGTCACTCACCCTCTGCATGATGGACAAGGGTTGGCCTGGACATAGCCCAGACAGATCCGACACTCCCTAGCCAGGCTCCTGAGCTTTGCCAGGAGCAGACATTTCTGAGCCTTGTCACCTGTGTCCCTGGGCCAGGGCTAGGCTGACAGTCCAGGAAGAATGGAGCCTTTTTAAAGTTGTTCCTGAGCTCCTCCTCCTGTGGGTGACCACATGATGGGCATGTGTGGGATGTGTATGTGTGGGGGTGCTGTCCATGTCCTCAGCCCTCCCGCCTATTTCAGGGGGTGTGGGCAGTACCCTTTGAGGTCCAGACTCCTGGGCCCAGGCTGGCATCTGCTTTTCATATCCGAAGCTCTGCAGAATGACAACCTCCCCAGCACCTGCCCATGAACTCACGATCTGACCTTTCTCCAGTTAGCCCCTCCCCACTGGGGTCCCGGGTCCCTTTTCTCCCCACTGCTCCCCTAGGCCGGCCCAGCCCCAGCTGGGTATTTGTACAGGCTCAAGGTTAGTAGGTGACCCCATCCACTTCCAGCCAGGGTAATATGGGTGGAATCTGGAGAGGCTGTGCCCTGGTGTCACCCTGCAGAGTCTCTGCTGCCCAGCCCCACCAGAGACAGGCAGCGAGCCCTTCCCACAGTGCTGCTGAGAGGGGTGCTGCTACTTCCTGGGAGCCGATGGCCAGAGGGCATCCTGGTGACGTCCAGCAGTACCCTTCAGTCCCATTGTGCTGTTTATCACGGGGCACCACGGTGCAGCTGCCCGCCCCTTCCCAGCCATGCCCCCATTTCCTGTGGAGGGAAAACATCCAGGCCCGGGAGCCAGGAATGCAGCAGGCAGACCTCTTGCCGCCACCCCTGCGGTTAGCAGTCAGCAGTAGGGAGAGGCAGCCCCATACTTTCTCACGGGAGATGTCTGTGTTGATGGCAAGCATCTTCCTGATGGAAGGGAGGTGCCTCTCATACACAGGTGAGTAAATCGAAGCAGAGACACATAACCAGGCTTAAGGGAAACTTGTATTTGTGATACTGATGTTAAAATTCATTCTAAGTCAGGCATGATGCCACATACCTTTAATCCCAGCACTCTGGTAGGCTGAGGCAAGAGGACTGCAAGTTCTAGCCCAACTGGGACAATTTAGTGATTGTGAAATCTGTTCCAGAATTTAGGAAAAGGGCTGAGGCCATAGCTCAGTGTGAATGCTCTAAGTTTAATCCCAGTACCATTCCCTCCCCCAAAGAAACAAAAAACAGATCTCTCTCTTCCCCACCCAAGTGCCAGCCAGTCTCTGGCTCTACGATAGATACCCTGACCATCCATGCCACAACCCCACACAAGACCATGAGCAGCAAGCTGCCACTAAGAAAAACTGTCGTTGCCTGCTTCTGCACTGCGACTTGCAAAGCTTTCCGTTTCCACTTTATAAAGCACAGTGAAGTGCAACAGACATCCAATTGCACAAATGAGGGATCTGCAGACAGATGCCCTCATCAACACAGCTCAGAGCACAGATCCCAGGCTGAGGGCAGCATCCTGGCTTCTGAGGCTTCCCGCTCAGCTTGCCTCTCACGGATGTCACCCAAGTAGAACCTTCCAGCTGTAATTTGCTCACACTGAGCTCATGTCTGCTGCTGCAGTTGACCTAAAGCCCACTTCCCAGCCTGTTGGTGATCAGTGTTCACTGAATGGACAGGCCACAGTCGGCTCTGCATGGCTTCAGACCACTGCTGCTGGATGGATTTGGGGCCCTCCTCTGGTCACACGTGCTGCCAGGTAACAACTGGCCATGGAACTGTGTGGCATGAGGGTTCTCTTCATCTTAGCAGACTTGGTCAACATAATTGTACAGTGTCAGTCCCAGTCTCCCTCTCCCTCATCCATGTGAGTGTAGGAGCCTTTCCTTGCCCTCACGCAACTCACTGGGAGGAAGATCAAGACCAGCACAGAGCCCAGAGCTGCATATCCCCTTCCCCAGTCTGCCCTCACCATGCTCCAGAGAGGAGCTGCCCAGGAGAACAAAGGGCTAGTGTGACAAGGAGGCAGGGCCACCGCAGCAGGAGAGGCACCTGTACCCGCAGACCACCTGCCCCTAGGGCTGCTGCCCTCACACTGCAGGGATCAGCACTAGCTCCATCAATGAGGCCTTTGAGATGGCTGTGGTTCACCCAGCCCCTCCCCAGTCGACTTCAAAAGGCACGAGCACCGAGGCCTTGGGCTGGGCAACCACATCCTTTTCCCTGCAGGCTAGCTATCACATCAGGATGGAGCAACCCTGCCTCAGACCCCAGTGTGCTTCACACTGGGTGCATCTGTGGGGGCTTCCTGGTAAGAAGCTGGGAAAAGTCCGTATTTTGATTTGCTACGGTCAAGAGGAATCGGGAGGTGGCAAATCAGTCCAAATCATGTGATCAGATGAACCGGTTCTCCTGGGGCTGACAGGAAATTGAATTTATTCATATTGTCCCTGGAGACAAAATGTACACAGGCCACCACCTCCTAAGGGCATATGCCCCTTCCTCGGTCTGTGGCACCCAATACACTGCTGTAAGGGAGCTGTCCTGGTGACTGTGCTCTGGACCTGTGCCAGGTGGGGGTCCCTGCCTGGGCAGCAAACCCTGGCTGGCTGGCCCCTGGCTTTGCTTCCCTTATTGAAGGCCCCAGTGATCCCATGCAGCCACAAAGCCCAACCTCCTCTCCTCCTAAGAAGGCTGGAGTGGCCCCCTGTCCTTGTGCCCACCACATTGACTCATGGGAAAGGGCACAGTGGAGCAGCAGAGCCTCCCTTGAGGCTGAGGGCACCAGGAAGAGCCAGGACTCACTGTAGCCCTGGGCCTAGCAGGCCAAGCCTTGCAGTGACTAGGATAACAATAACCTGGCTGCTTTCACTTATCACTTTTTGCACAAAACTGCCTCTGCCCAAGCAGCCTGCTCTAGCATTGCTGACTTCACAGTCCTTTAGGAATAGGCCTGCAGATGAGCAGTGTTTCCAGGGCCTGGGTGCATCACTGTCCTTAGAACACTGGCTCTTCACTGTAGAGTTCATTGCCTTCTGGTTACAGACAGCAGCTGAAGCTCTGGACACCACATTCCTAATGCTTGGGAAGCACCTCTGCTTGACATAAGCTCTGAGCCCCTACAGCCTCCAGCGGCTCACGGGGACTTGACACTCCACAGGGACTCATGCTGGGGACCCAGGGCAGCCTTGCTGGTTCACCCATGTTGTTCTGAGAGTTGGGGTTACACAGTGTAGCCTGTATGGCCCCCACGGGGCCTGCTCCAGCAGAGATGGATGCTGATGTGGAACCCGCCAGCTGGAAAAAGAGCTCACCCACAGGAGGGCATAACCACTGACATTTATAGGGAAACAGAAGACGTGGGGCAACCGTACATTCAGTATCTCTACTTCAGGGAACTGTTCGCCCCCAAACAGAACAGAAATCAGGAACATAATTGTACAGTGTCAGTCCCAGTCGCCTTCTCCCTCGGGGTTTTCCTCGCGTGGCATCTCCATGTCGTTGAAGTGGAAGTTGGCCATCATGTCACGCACAGCCAGCATAAGCCGGTTCAAGCCCTGGTTCAGACCCCCAGCCACTCCTTCCTCTGGCCTTTCCCCCTGCAGCAGGAAGACAGGTCTTAGCCAAATTGGGCCCGGAGGCTTTGGCCCCAGCAGGAAGGAAGAAAACACTTAACCCCGCCAGCCCCAGAGTGCCTCGGCTGATGGACAGGAGGCTCCACTTCCTACTGGATGGTGTCATGCAGCCTCTGGCCAGGACGTAGCCAACATACCTCCATAGCGTAGTTTGGCAATAATGACCGGAAGAAGAGGGCAACTGTGTTTCCATGGCTGACGGGACTTAGCCTGTGAGATGAAGTCAAGAAGTCACAAGAGGAACCTGAAGGGGTTCCCCTGTGAGCCAAGGGCTCACAGGGCCCTTGTCATCCTCCCACCTGCCACTGGAAGCAGTCCCAGGCAGCCGCTGAGACATTGGGCTCCCCCGTGGAGATCAGGATCTGGGGTGGGGATGATCAGCATGGGGTAGGGCTGTGGACCTCCGAAGGACAACCAAGGAGGAAAGGATGGAGTTTATGGAGCCACAAGGAGAGAAACCAGAGGTGACCTCAGCTGGGCCTCTGTGGCCATGGCCTCCATTTCTTTCTCCCTTAAACACTACAGGGAGCTGGGTGTGGCAGCACATGCCTATAATCCCAGTATTCAGAAGGCTGAGGTAGGAAGATTGCCATGAGTTTGAGGCCTGCCTGGGCTACACAGTTACACAGTAAATTTAAGCCAGCTTGAACTACAGAGCAAAACCCTGTCTCAAAAAAAAAAAAAAAAATTAAACAACTGGAGGGAACAGCCATGTCACAGGGGCAGCAGGTTACATGGAGGCCACTGCTGGGGACACATGGCCTATAGCCCAGCTTTGCCTCTAGGACAGAACCAGAGCCAACGAGCTCAGTGGCCCTAGGTCTTAGATATGTTTCTGATCCCCACTGACATAAACCATTTTCACTTTAATCTATTGAAGAATCCAAAGGGACTAGTTTCCCCATGAACATGAAGTCCAAGCTCTGTAACAGAACTTGGTGGGAAGAAAAGGATACCATTATAACCTGTGTCGAGACATGTACTCTCTTTCATGGAGAATCTGCCAGGGACTGAGGTTTATTGTAGCTGAGGGTCCAAGGCAGAAGGGAGGCAAAACAGGTTTCTGTGACCCAGAATTCTGAAGCTGCAGGTAGCCCAGGACCAGAGCTCCAGTGGGTCCCCTCCCTTCATCCCACTGCCTGACTGTCCTGGCCCACCTCCCAGCAGCCCTCAGACTATGCTCTGCCCTCATCCAGTCAGAGACTGTTTTTTTCTTTCTACACTATGCACCTTGACCTAGCAGATCTTACCACAGATTTCATTCAGTTTTGTGGTACTAGGATTGAACCCAGGGACTTTGCACTGAGCTACATCCCTAGCCCTTTCTAAAAGTTTAAATTTTGAGACAGGGTCTTCCTGACTTATTCATTGAGTTGTAACGTACAATCCTCCTGCTGCAGCCTCCCAGTGTGCTGGGATGATGGGTGTGTATCACAGGGCTAGCTGTGCAGTTTTGATTATATGCTAATTTCTAGGTTCTATAATTAACATGTTTTCCACATCACAGAGCACTCCACGAGGGCAGAATAGTGTGTTGCCCACTCTATTTTTAGCACCAGCTAAAACCCACCAGAGCAGTGCTGCTATCAGATGGGCACAGCATGGCAGTGCTTTGTCCCCAGATCATACCCCACACACCTCCCACCACAGTGGGCAGACTTTGGGCCTGTATGAATCTCTTGCCTTCTGGGTCTGCACAAGCGCGGGGCAAAGCAGGGGCAGGTACCTCTCGGGTCGAATGTAGGAGTAGATGGTGTCCAGGGGAGGCAGAGGGTCAAACCCCATCACAGACTGCGTGGTCACCTCCTTGGGAAAGGGACAAAAGTAGAGGCTGGAGTGTGGCTGGGAGCCTCTGCCTCCTCCAGCAGCCATGTCTCCCTTGGACCGATGGGTCTGGGAGATGGAAAGAACCTGACAGAGAGGAAGCTATAGAGGTGTGGAGCCTCTCAGGTGGCCACAGGCTCAATCTCTCACTCAGCTTAGTATTTATACATGGGGTGAAAGGAGCCTGCGACCATCTGCTGGAGACTCAAGCCCTGGGTGCTCCCGTCCCAGCCCTCAGAAGTCCTTCTGCTAACCAGAATGGCCCAGCAGAGCCACTCAGGGGCTTGGCCCAGGCCCTCAAAAGACCTGGCCATCATGGCTGCCTTAACCTGTGCTCCTCCAATGGGCTTCCAGACCACAGCAGCTTGAGCCTACGGCCACAGCAATGGAATACAGGTCCAGGCAATAGAGCTGTACTCTGAGCCTGTGACTGGTCTCTACATCCACCAAGAAACCCTTAAGACTGCCCACAGTCCCTCTCAGCCCGCCCTTACCGGGGGCAACGCAGCCACAGCCTCTTTGATCTCAGAAAGGATCACATGGCGGTGGATGTTCCTGGGTGCACGCTGGTATAGCATCTTCCGCCTAAGGTTGGTGTGAACACAGAGCAGCACCTGAGCTGGCAGCCCTAGCCTCCTGCCAAACACTAAGGCCCTTGCCTATGCCTGTGAAAGAGTCCACAATGCCTGTCTCCCACCCTCACCCCAGACAGAGACTGCATGATGGGCCTCTGGTTTTGTAGCAAGAGCAGGCTGTGGACAAAGGTACCAGCTATATGACTTGGCACTCAACTCTTGTCCAGAAAACAGGACACTAGCTCATGTAGCTGATGTGGTTTTGTCCACAAAAAGGCTCCGGTTATGTTTGTCACTCTGCTACTGCACAGTGCTTGCTTCCTAATGACGTCAATCCAGCAATGTAGCATAGGATACAAACTGTGTTCCTGACCATGAGCAATAGCCAGTCCAGTGTGGGGCATGGGGACAGTGTCCACATAGTGGCAAGCACTGGAGGCACGCACCTTCCTGTCTCTGCAAATGCCACAGGATTCAGGCTCCCAGAGCCACAGTGCTGATGGGAGCCACAGGCCCAGCTAAAGTAGGCAAGGAGCAACTCTCCATTGCAGCCAGTCACATAGTGAGCCACCCCCAACTAGTGGAAAAGGAAAAGCCAGCAGATCACAGTCACTTGTGAGTCCCTGCTCTCTTGCCAGAGTGGGCAAGACTGGCAATCACCACAGCAAATGTGGAACAAAGCACAATCCAGGATGAAGTTGAACACATGGTGGCCAAGTCCCATGTTTCTAGTTTGTGTGGAGGCCTCTGGGAATAACCCTGCCAGCTCCCTCACTGTGAGGGTTCCCAGGAGAGGGCAGAGATGTCTGGTCCCATGCATACCTGTCAGGCCACACCAACTGCCCAGACCAGCTCACCTGCCCTCACAGGCCTCCACAGCAGGGTCTCCTGCGTCCACGGCCTGCAGAACCACACGGACGTTCTCCTCCAGCCAGTTTATGGTGGCAGGTTCTTTCCACAGAAAGTGCGATCTCCCAAGGTACAGGCTCACCAGCTGGCTCAGAGCAGGTGGCTGGCTGGGGGAGAGTGGGCCTGGTAGGCAAGGGGGTGTCTAGGGGAGGGTAGACCGAAAGACATAGGATCTCCAGCAGTGTGGGACACAACAGTCCGCTCCTGTGACCCTGTGGTATTGTTTTCTGTCTTTATGGTACTGGGATTGAATCTAGGGCCTTTGCACTGAGTTACATTCCCAGCCCTTTTTATTTCTGAGACAATCTTGCTAAGTAGCTAAGTTGCCCAGGCTGGGCTTAAGCTTGTAATCGTCTTGCTGCAGCCTCCCAAAGTAGTAGGATGAGAGGCATACACCACAGCACTCAACTTCTTCATTTTTTAAAACAAATATGAAGGTTATATGAGCTCACCAATCCCTGTTTCCATCTCAGGCAGGCACCCACTCGGGACCTGTGCCCACCACGCTCATCAGATGATATTTCCACAACACTTAATTCTTTAGGTTGGGTACTCACTTGCTTCATCAGCACATTCTCTTGGACTTGAGGAACTCTCCTCAGTGACTTCTTCCAGGTCACCATGATGGGGGCAAGGACAGGAGTGATGGCCCCATGGTTGCCTCAACTTTGAAGTCATGGGAGCACGGTGGCCCTCTACCCCCAGGCCGGCCCCTCTCTGCCTCTGAGGACAAGGACTCACAGGAAGATACCCGGGCATCTTCCAACCCTTACCTTATTTCAGCATCAGGGCCAAAGAATCGGTGACCTGAGACAGCAGCATCAGGCCTCACACTGCAGTACTCCAGCAAGGGCATGAGAACTACACAGGAAGCAAAGGCACATTGTGCCCAGTGAGCAGGGTATACCTGCACCCAGTCTCAGGCAGATGACAGGGACAGAGTGTAGTGCTGTGAAGTGAAGAATATGCCAGTGCTCTGCATACTGCTGCTGAGGGCCAGCTCTGTGGCGAGATCTTGTCATACTCAGTCGAGTGCCTCTGAGTCTGGAGGGGTCTTACCTGCCTCTGAGAGGGATAGTATGCACCCAACACCCCTGTGCCTGTGCTGAACGTGCTTGTGATGGACACTGGACTCCTGACAGATTGGTAGGTTAAGGGGCTGCCTGTGCTGCAAAAGGCACTTCTGAGAGCCTTGGATCAGTAACTGACATGTGGGAGCCTTGGATCAGTAAATGACATCATTAACTGACAGTAACTCAGGCAATCCACCCCCCTAGGTCAGAGCCATGGCCCATGCCCCCTAGACAGTTTGCATTCTGGGAATTTGTAATGGAGCTGCTGGGACATCCCAGCCTTTCCAGTGCCTTGCCACTTGTGAGCCATTAGGCCCAATACATCAGGTCCGTGTTGGCAAGGCTGCCCCTGCTGCATCTCTCCCTGGGCCACAAGAAGGCCCTTTTGGGTCTGTCAGCATGCCCTGTTCTGGGCTAAACCTGATGAGGTCCCGTGGGAGCACCATTCTGCCTGGATTGAGAGTGAATCCAAATGTGCGAAGTAAGCTTCCCTGGGCTGGGTTAGCAGGAAGGTGCTGACTCCAGGCCTTTCCTATAGAACAGCAGGAACCTGGCATGCAAACACCATTGTGCACAATCACCTCCACACCCATGGAGGACAGGCTGATTCTCTCACCTCTGCCCCAGTAGACAGAGGCTCAGGTTGCTGTGAGCCCACCCCACCCTTCACACTCGGCCAGGCATACAGAAGGCTGGTAGAGGTGGGGCTGGCTCTCTAGCTGGTTAGAAAGTGAAGCTTTCTGGGGCTAGGGGTTTAGCTCAGCGGCATAAGCACCTGCCTTGCAAGCAGGCGGTCGTGAGTTCGATCCCCGGTACCGATAAAAATGAAAAAGACAAAAAAAAAAAAAAAAAAAAAAAAAAAAAGAAAGTGAAGCTTTCTACAAGTGGAGGAGGCCCTGGGAGTGTACTTTGCAGGAACCGCACCCACCTCCAGGGAACATGATGAGAGCCTGCTGGATGAGGGTGGAGGCCTTTTCCCTTGTGGAGCTAAGCTCCTGCTGGGGGAGGTCTGTCTGTTGACTCAGCAAAAAATATGCTAATGACACAGAGAAGGCAAAATTTGGGAGCTGGGACAGGTTCCGATGCGCCTACAAGGGAAGAAAAAACAAAGTTTGGGCAACAAGGTCATGAAAACATAATATGTAAAGTCTGAAGGTGGTTGAGTTCTTCAAGATAAGCAGACCTACTGGTCCATGGCCCCTCTCAAGGGCACATTTCTTGGTTTTGCTTTTGTTTTCATTGGTTTTTCTGAGACAGGGGACTCTCTGGGTTTCTTGCAGCTATGTTTTCATGAGCTCCAGAATTTCTGTAAACTAGATGCTTAGAGGTGAGACTCCTTGGACGACTGTGCCAACTGTTACATAATTTAAGATGATATACCTATTCTCCATTATACATCAAAGGAATTCTGTAAAAAATTCAAGCACAGAAATAGAGAAAGTAAAGGCTTATCACTTTTCTCCTGCCCCCTTCCAGGGCCTGCAACAGGCTATTAGTATGGATGCTGCAGGACTGTGCTGCTCACCACATGTCATTTACTTTTTAGAAGTTGCATAAAGAGAAGGGTGAAAGCAATTTTAGCACACTGTATCCACCCAATACACCTAATGTTTCTTCAACATGTGCCCATGGAGGGCTACAGGCCAGACAATGTACACCTTTCTCAGTTGCCGAGTCTGAAAAGTAATGTGCACCCTGCGTTCAGGGACTTGGGCTGGCATTGTAGGTAGAGAACCACAAAAGGCAAGGGACAGATGTGCCCCCAGGGGAGAGACTACAGCTCACACCTACCTCCCACTCCTGGAAGAGGCGGATCAAGTACTCGTAGTTCCGGGCCCGCAAGGCCAGGTGGTCAATAAGCAGCAGCATGCAGAGGGGGTCCTCATCTGGTTCCAGGCTTCAGGACATAGCATGATGAGCAAAGCATAAAAGGAAACAGAGTGCAGTGTCATGGCTGAGGGCCCTGGCCTGGGGCTGCTGCTCAAGGACAGGCAGGTACTGGGTGGACACTCACCTGAGGATGAGTTTGCAGTACTCCAGTGCAGTGCGTGGACAGCCTCGTTTCTCCAGGAAGCTCATCTGTTTGTAGAGGGCCAGGTAGAAGCTCCTAGGTCCAAGACAGCCTGTGTGAGTCAGAGCCATAGCAGAGCAGCAGTGCAGTCACCCATGAACCCTGCTGTTGCTCCTGCCCATAGGCTTTGCCTACACTACCAGATACAGTGAGAGGTGTGATCATTCCTATGTCTGCAGGGAAGAGGCATACATCCCTTGATATTCAGAGTTCTAAATGCACTCATATATGGAGAACCAAATCTGGAACCACAGCTTCTTGCTTTTTGTTTATTGTTTGTCATTTAGGGAAGGACAGCTAAAACCTATTACAATTAGGACTTTAATTTATTCTCTAATTTTTTTTTTTTTTTTTTTTTTTTTTTGTCTTTTTGAGACAGGGTCTTGCTATGCAGTTAAGGCTGGCCACAGGGGCTGGAGGTTTAGCTCAGCGGCATAAGCGCCTGCCTTGCAAGCAGGCAGTCATGAGTTCGACCCCGGTACCGATAAAAAGGAAAAAGACAAAAAAAAAAAAAAAAGACTGGCCATAAGAAAAAGACTGGCCATAAGGTCACTTTCTAGCCAAGGCTGGTCTTGAACTTGCAATGATCCTCCTGCCTCAGTCTCCTGAGTGCTGGGATTACAGGTGTGTGCAACCAGGCCAGGCTATTCTCTAATTTTAATGTTGTCAGTGGCATTACTGCTGGACATATAAAGTTATATGACTTTTTGTTATCCTAGGGACTTATTTTTAGAACTTGTTTCAAAGAACTAAGGGTTTAACTGAAAATGACAAAAGCAACAGGGGAAACCAGTGAAGAAAATCCAGGCCTCGTACACAGGGCAACTGAGCCCTACAGCTGGACAATGGCCATGGCTACAAGGCGGACACATTCCAGAAATGGCCAGAGGAGCATAGTACTGATCAGGAGTGGGGAGACATGAACAGGAAGCAGATCCCCGACAAGGGGTCCAAAGATGGCCAGTCCTGAGCAGCAGTTGATGCCACAGGGTGGTCAAGGCAGCAGTGTGGGGAAGAGGGACATCATGTCTGTGTGACTGCTCAGGCCAAGCTGAATCTACTGGCTCAGGAATCGGGACCTGAGAAGAGACACTTAAAGCTGACTGGTCACAGACTTTTACCCAAACTGGCAGGGAAGATTGTGATCCATGCCATTGTTGGAGGTGGCTTGTCGGGTTTACTACTAACTTGGACAGATCAACCTTGAGCCAAGCTTGCCCTGATGGTGTCACACCCACACTCCAGCACTGCAGCTCTGCACAGGTAGGGGTGCCACAGTATCCTGGGCTGCACGATATGGTCTGTCCCTAAGGACCATGTCCTGCCACCTGATACTGGTGGACCTGCAGTGGGAACTTGTGTGAACTGTGGCTACCCTCCCATCAATTCACTTCCAGGAGAAAGGCAGGCAAGTGCTACTATCACAAGACATCCCCAGAAGTTGCCCCAGGGAGCCACACTAACCTGTTTTCAGGCCTGCGGTAATCCAGCCGACATGTCCCACTAGTGAGGCTGAACAAAGGATGGAATGCACACTCCATGCTGTACAGCGCTCTCTCTGCAGGCCACGGAGACACAGAGGAGGGTGTCAGGCCACTGCATAGTGACTGCAACCCCCTCCTCTGATGACTCAAAAACAGGCAAGTTCTGGAAGGAAGGAAGTCATAGAACTAGGATCCTGAAATGGAGGGAAATAGTCAGGACCTGCCAGGACCCCAAAGCCACCCTGATTTCATTGCAGCCACAAGACTGTGTGGGCCTGAGATGGAAAACCCTGCAGACATACTGCTGAACTACTGATGCTATGTCCTGGTGATCAGAGGTCTACACCTATGTTGCACACAGCATCTAATCTTCGTGTTAACAGCACCACTACTTACAACAATCAAAAGCAACTCAGGTGTCTCATGATACATACACAAAAATGTTTTATCCACAAGTGGGACATTATTCTCCCACGAACAGGGGTGAAGGTCTGATATACACTACAACATAGATCATGAAAACATCCTGGTATGTGGAAAAAGCCAGATGCAAAGAGGTACGTGTACAACATAATTCCATTGACAGGAAATTCTCATAATAGAAAGATTTGTAGAGACAGAGGGCAGATTAGTGGTTCTGAGGGGATAGGGTAGGGCAAGTAATGGGTCAGGCTTCTTTCATGGGAGATGAAAATGCTCTAAGATGGACTGTGGTCATGGTTATACAACTGCAGCACACTGAAAACCAATAAATCACTCGTTAGATGACTGCACATCACAGTGGAGGAATTCCATCTCCTCTAAGCCACTCTGCTGGAACATCCTGGCAGGCCTGCTGCACCCTTCACTACCTTATAAGCCACATCTCTGCCCAGGAGCTGTAGTGCCTCCAAGGGGGTTGTCTCACCTGTCAGGTCTCGTGCCATCTCCTGGTCATCCTGAAAGCGGCAGGCATCACTGAGCTGCAGGAGTGAGTCTACATGGTAGGGGCTTGTCTGGAGCAGGACCTGCCAGAAAGAGGGCAGCAGCTCTGAGGAGGCCGCAGGCAGACCCCACAGGCCTTGAGCACTGGGGAGAAAGTGTTACCAGGACAATGGTTATACTGCCCTTCCGACTGCTGTTCAGCCAGACTACTGGTCTGTTTCAGGGTGGGAGCTCTCCACACTTTAAGGGTATGGAGGCACAGGCCTGGTATCCTAGCACACTGGAGGCTGACTCAAGAAGATCAAGTCCAATCTGATTAACTTAAAGACTTTATAAGACCCTGTCACAAAATAAAAATAAAAATATCTGGGGAGGTGGCTTAGTAAAAAGGCCTTGGGTTTAATACCAACACCACAGAAACCTTCCTGCAAGATCACTAGAGTCAAAGTAGACACAAGGGCACAGAGGATAATGCCCTTTTGGTTTTTGGAGGACGAGGCCAGCCAGTCTCTTGGAATCCCAGAGCAGAGGATGCCAGGCCTCAATGACATAGGAGAAAGCCAAGCTGCCCAGGAGCAGAAAATCTGAGTACTGTCTCCAATGTGCCAGCTAAACCAGAGGCAAAAGCACTGGCACTGCACATAGCTCCTGAGGAGCCAAGACAGCAGCATCCAGAAGATTCACATGGCCCCCTCTGGTGCCAGGGTCTATCTGCCCGGCATGCAGGTATCTCTCTGTTGGGGAGACCCACCACCCTTGAATACCTCCCCAGATGCAGGCCAGGGCCTAGCACAGGGTGGCTGCTGCACCCGCTCTTGCCCAAGTGCAGGGATCACGAACCACAATGTTGTTGGGCTCCATAGACTCCACAGCTACCAGGAACTTATGCTGTGCCTGCTGGTAATCCTCACTGTGCTCAAAGGCAAAGAAGGAGAGACCTTTTTTCGATTCCAGCAGTCGCATCGACAGACCTGGAGGTAAAAATGCCCAAAGGCGGCAAGCTGGGTGCTAGATGGCAGCACCATCAAAGAGCAAATAGCTCCAGTCACACACACTCCTATTGTCCTTGGCAGGGACCATCATACTGACACAAGTGACCCAGGGATAGCCTGACTTGTCTCTAGGCTACAGGCTGACATCTGCTAGATACTCTCCCAGAACAGCTGATACCAGATGCTAGTTCTCTACCTGCTTTGGCTTCCCCTAACCCTGACCCTAATCCCAATCCCTGTGTGGGGAAAATACTGTGCTCAGATCATGTTGGTTGGGATAAACATGCAGGGTGGCCATGAAGTTGGGACAGGAGCAGTGTGGTGGACATAGCACCAAGCTTTACCTAAAAGCTTATGACCCATGACTCTTTCTGTCTGACTTTGTGTGAACATGTCCCAAGTTTCCTCTGATAAACCTGAAAAGCTGCCTCCCAGAATAGCATGAAGTTTATCAGTGGTTCTCAAACCCCACCTTAGCCCCTTTGACAACTCTATTAGGGGCTCAGGTCTTCAAGGAACATGTGGTATTATAGTTTAGGCTTAAAAATGTCCCAAAGCCTCCTGTGTTCTGAGGTGGGACTTTGGGAGGCTGCTATGCTCATTGGAGGGTTAATCCCCACTGCATTCATAGTGGACCATGCTGTTTGGAGGAGACTTGACTGTAACAGGTGGGTCACTGCCTTTGGAAGGTCAATCTGCCTGCCTGTAAGATAGTCAGTCAGTCTGTCTGTCTCTTTCTCTCTCTCCTTCTCTCTCTACCTCTTTCTCTCTCTTTCTGGCTCTACTGTCTGCTTCTAACCACCATGAGATGAACACTTCCCTTTAATCACATCCCTCCACCATGAGGATCCTGCCCTGGTACCAGTCAGTCATGAACTGAACCCTCTGAAGCTGTCATCCAAAATAAATTCTCCTTCAATTGTTAAGTGTCAGGTATTTTGTATGCAGCAACAGGAAATCTAGCAATACACGTGGCCACAAGCCCATCTGTACAGTTCACAGGTGGTTTTACACAGGGCCTAATGGGAACAAAAATGCCAGCATGGATACAGTAAAAGCACAGGCCCTGACTCCAGCATGAGTCCCCTCTGAACATCTGTGGAGTCTACTAGACCCCCCCAGGTGTGAGAGCAGGAGAGGTGGGGCATGGGCCACGGCCTCTTCAGTTACTGTCACACACCCTCCTGCCTCTTCCCATAGTGGGTTCCTGCCTGGCTGTGGAGGCCTGAGGCTCTCATCCAACCACATGGAGGGGTCACACATGTTTCTCCACACCATGCTGTCCCTGTAACAAGCATTAACATGACACCCCATGTCACCCTACTCTACTCTATTGCAATGAAACCAAATGTCTGTGCTGTAAATGAACCTGGATGCTTCTGTGGTACAGTATCATAGAAAGATAGATGATAGAAAGGGAGAAAAACTTCCATTCAAACAGCAGGGAAAACACCAGTGGTGCCTGGGGATCTGTGCAGAGACTCCAGGTTTCTTTCCTCAAGCACCAGTGTGCTTAAGCCCTCAAAAATGCCACACATTACACACTGGCTTTGCAGAGAGGAAAGGCCAGCCCAAGAGACTCAGGCACCTACAGATCTTACCTGGTTTGCTGTACCGGGGCCAGGTACTCTTAGGGGTTGTCAGCCATGTACACTTGGGGTAGACACGCTGTCTCTGCCGTGGCCTGGGAAGGAGAAGATATAGGCATGGCTATACATCTACAGTACCCAAGGACCCAGGCCTAGCCACCTCTATCTCTTGGGAGATTCCTGGGCAGTTTCAGAAATGTGAGGCAAAGATACAGAGTGCTCCAGCCAGCACTGGACACAGTCTGAGGTCTGGGCTGAATGCTGGACTTAGACGTGCAGAAGCAGGCTCTATGGCAACCAGCACAAGCCTCTCATGGCCACCTGGACAAGGTGTGGACATGTGTGCAAAACCTGGACCATGCAGCAGTCTTCCTCCTTATGGTGATGGGGACTGAACACAGGGCCCTTGTCCTGAGTCCTTTTCTAAACTTTTTAAATAGCATATAGCTAAGTTGCCCAGACTGGGCTTGAACCTGCAATCCTCCTGCCTCATTCTACCAAATGACCAAGATTATTGGCATGTTGTCACCATACTACACCTGATGCAATAAGCTTTTTAACGGTTTTTTGTTTGTTTGTTTGTTTGTTTGTTTTTTGGTACCGGGGATCAAATTTGTGACCTTGCATTTGCCAGGCAGGCACTTATGCCATTAGGGTAAATCCTGGTCTTAACAGTTATCTTTGGGGAAGTAGAGGTGGGGCCAAAGAAAGAAGTTCTAAATTACTTGAATTTTCAAATAGGAAGATTTAGTTCTATAATCAGAAAAAAGTGTAGTTAAAAAGACAAAACCGCCTGGACATTTTGATGGAGCACTGGAGATGAGACTGCCTGTGCCTCTTATAAAAGGCTCAGATTCGGACTCCTGCTCTTCCTTCCTGAGGGCTCCGTGCTTCTTCACTGAAGTAGCCCATCCCTATGGCCAGCTGCCACACACTAGGGTAATGAAGTGAACCAAAACTCAACTTGGTATTAGTGTTGCTGCCGAGTGGGAAGCAAAAATGGGTAAGATTTCAATACTAGAAACTCAAAATGTAATATATCCTTTAAGACCTTCTTATCCCTTCATTAAGACAGGTCTCGCTGGGCTGGGGATTTAGCTCAGCGGCATAAGCACCTGCCTTGCAAGCAGGTGGTCGTGAGTTCGATCCCTGGTACCGATAAAAAGTTTTTAAAAAAAAAGAGCAAAGACAGGTCTCGCTATGTAGCTTGGGCTGGCCTTGAACTCACTATGTACCCCAGGATAGCCTCCAATTTATGACAATCTTGTCTCAGCCACCTGAGTGTTGGGATTACAGCTGTGTACCACCACATGCCACAAGACCTTTCTAAAAACATGATGTGATGCTGGAGAAGGCAGTGTGAGGGGCAGAGCCTAACCACTTCAGGTCTCTCAGAGACCCTACACCATGTCCTTGGACTACTACAGACTTAATCCTAAGCCTTTCATCTGTCCACTATGGTTTAGGTCTTCAGCTCTAAGGGTTCCTGATGGCCTCCAGAGTCTGAACAGGAATGAAGCATTGAGAATACAGCACGGCATGATCTTACCTCTGTTCCCCTAGGACTGCTCGAGCACCAAAATACCTCTTCAGTTCGGTGTCTGGATTCAAGTGTCTATAGAGAACAGAAAATTTTACGAAGAACAATTAATTCTATGATGACCCTGGAAATTTTAGAGAGCCATAAGAATACAGCAGAAGCTGGGCTCACTCCTGTAATCCCAGCCCTTGGGAGGCTGAGATGGGAGGATCGTTGCGAGTTCGGGACCAGCCTGGACTACAAAGTGAGCTCAAGGCTAGCCTGAACTGCATAGCAAGACCCCGTCTTAAAAAGGACAAAAAAAAAAAAAAAAAAACAGCATAAAGGGCCAGTGACTTAACCAAGGTTATGAGTTCAATCCCCAGTACTGGAAAAAAAAAAAAAAAAAAAAAGAAGAATACAGCAGAAAAAGCTTGGATTTGGCATGAAAGGCAAGTTCCAGGCCTGCTTTTTAAAAAACTACCACCAATATATGGCCCTGTCCTCAGTGCATTGAAAGAACACAGCAGGTCCCAGCACTAAGACAGCAGCTGGGGATGGGTTCCCTCATGTGCAAAACCCTCTGGTTTCTTTTTGGTGGGGGAAAGTGTTTTGAGACAGGGTCTCGCTCTGCAGAGTCAGGCTGACTTATCCTGGTACAGCCTCCTGAATGCTGGAATCATAGATGTGTGCCACCATACCCAATCCAAACCATTTATTTGTACGGCTGAGTCAGTGGTATGAACTCCATCAAACTAGACCAAAATCTCAACAGATCCAGTGGGTTTTTTCTTTTTACCTTTTTTTTTTTTTTTTTTTTTTTTTTGCTAAAACAAGCAACAATCTCTGGCATAGGGATCAGGTTTCATTAATCATCTACCAGACAAAGAAATTAATAATCATTCAAGGGTGACATGGTACTTTTACATAGTTCAAGAAAATTTCCAAGCCAAATACAATAGTGCATGTCTGCTGTCCTAGCGACTATGGAAGCTGAGGCAGGAGTATTACAAATTCAAGGTCAGCTTGGGCAATTTAGTACAATTGTCTCAAAAACAAAAAGTAAATAGTACTAAGACAGGAGAATTGCCGTAAGTTTGAGACCAGCCTGGGGTACAAAGTGAGCTCAAGGCCAGCCTGAACTGCACAGCGAGACCCTGTCTCAAAAAGATAAAAAAAAAAGTGGGGGAGGACTGAGGATTTAACTTAGTCCTCTCTGAATCCAAATCACAGTACCACAGATAAAGAGAGGAGAGAGATTTTATAAGGCATATAAAGCAAAGCTAAAAGTCCTCTGAAATAGGTGAATTTTCCTTCTTTTTTTCCTTGTTTCTACTTCCTAAATGTTGAATAATGCTCTTAACCACTGTTTTTTGTTGTTGTTGTTGTTTTGTTTTGTTTTTTGAAATAGGATCTTACTGTGTAGTTTGGACTGACCTCAAACTTGTTGTGACCCTCCGGCCTCAGCTTCCTAAATTTTGGGATTAAAAGACAATAAATGTTCTTCCTTCCCAGGGTAGGCAGAGTTGTACCTGTGCTCTACATGTAAGACGTGCTTCCTAGAGCTGGGTGGAGCGGGGCCGGGGCGGCTGAGCCCACTACCATCCTCGATCCTCTCCAGGATTCGGTCAATGTCTTCCAGGCCATTCTCCTGAAAGCCCAGAACCACCTGTTCATCACCATAACAACTTGACTTCCAGTAATAAGAGTGATTTTGGTAAAGAACTACTATATCACATTTTCTTCCAAGCAGACCATAAGTCAAGTGCTACGATTTGCAGAAAAGCTCAATCTCCTGAAAGGACCTCAAGAGGATGGACCATCCCAGAGTCAAGACACTGTCCTTCTCAGGCTGCGCCCAGACTTTACTGAACAGAGGCAAGACCACAGCTTTTCCCAGGACAGATGAAGGATGAAGGTCTGTCTGAGGACAGATGTTAGGTTGAAGGTCTGTCTGAGGACAGATGTGGTATGTGAACTGCTCACTAGCCCATTAGCACAGGACAAAGTAAGGTGCAAAGTGGGCATCACATGGACAACAATGCACAGTTGGAAAGAGGGACCCCCTCCAGATCACTGTGGCCTAGCACTGTGGGACCTGCGGAACTAGACAGCCAACAAAAGACTCCATCTACCACGGACAAGATGCACACCACAGGCAACAATGTTAAGAAGTCTTAGAGGCTGGGGATTTAGCTCAGCGGCATAAGCACCTGCCTTGCAAGCAGGCGGTTGTGAGTTCAATCCCCAGTACCGGTGTTAAAAAAAAAAAAGAAGTCTTCCTTTGGTTTCCTAGACTCATCATTGGTTATTTCTAATGGGAAGGGATCCAAACACCAAACAGAAGCCAGCTTCTCCTAGTACCACCTGAAGCACCACAGCTAGACAGATGATAATCACATACCGAGGTCTCTGCTGTGCTGTTTTTTTTGTTTCTTTGCTTCTTTTTCTTCTTTCGGAGTTTGCCACTTACATTAGACTAATAAAAGAAGATATTTTCATTGGTGAAGAGCAAAATATTAAAAAAATGAGAACTAAAGCAGCAAGCTCATCTCTCCTTATCTGAGCAGTCTCCATCTCCCCTACTGATACTAGAACAAAAAACACCCCAACTGGTGGCTGGCAATGGCCTCTCATACCCTTTTCCTTCTGTAAATACTTCAACCTCCTGTGGCTTCAGGCTCCATCCAACTATAAGGCAGCTTTCAGAAGCTACTTCATCTCACTCTGCCCTGCATTTCCTGCCAGGCTCCAGCTGCCCTGAAGAATGGGGACCTCACTGTGTAGGCTGCTTACTGTCAACCTCTGTACCTGCCCTGCACCTGGCCGACTCCTGCTGTGAAGCCACAAAGGCTCCTCCAGGAAGACCCTGTGCCCCAGGAGCTGGAAGCTCTGGAGAACACAGATGCTTCTGAAACACAGCAGGTAGGGAGGGTACCCTGACTGTGGCACCTTCAGGCCACAACTCTTAAGGATTTTGACACCAGTCCCATCAAGGGCCCCCAAGGGAACTTTTAAGAAACCAGGCAATTAACAAAATCTAACACAGAAAATTATACCTCCATTGGCTCCCATACCTGCTCTGGGGACACTCCCTTGATCACATCCCCATCTCGCTTGGTATCTGGGCCTCCATGTGGGGCCCGGGCTTTGTTCCCCGAAGCCACAGTATGTGTGAGTGCGCAGTCAGATCGCTCCCCATTCACCACTGAGTCATCCTCAAGGTCCTCAATGTTTATCTGGAAAATAGGTTGGGGGAACAGGGCATTGCTGGTCAGGGTTCACTTTAGACAGTAATGCAGAAGTGAATACAAATGGAGACTCAGCATGGGTCAAGGCCAGTGGTAGAAGGAATGGAGAGTCTATTTCTCACAGTGACACAGTTCTAAGTTTCAGAAGAAGTCCTAGCTCAGAGAGGAGCCTCGGACAAACCCAGCATCTCTGTAGCCACATGGCATGTTTTCAAAGATACCATCATAAAGAACTCCCCAAATCACAATTTATCCCTACTTTTCAAGTATCCTCAAAGCAAAAATTTAAAATACACTGTGGCCAATCACTGAAATTGTCCCTTCCTACCACGGGCTTAAACCTCAATTCATGCACAGCCGGAGGAGGGTGAGCGTGTAGGTGTCCAACCTTCTGGTTTGCCTGGGCCACAGTGAGTGGCAATTGTCTTGAGTGCGTAGGAAATGTGTGATATAGCAGGACATGACAGCTTGGAGCCTAAGGTAGGAAGACTGCCAAGTTTGAGCCCAGCCTGGGCAATTTAGCAAGACCTTGCCTCAAAATAAAAAACAAACAAAAAGGGCTGGGCATGTAGCTCGGTACCAAGGCCCTGGGTTCAATCTCTAGTACTCTCTCCCAAAAGCACACATGGTTAGTGTACATAAGAAACAAAACTTCCATTATACTTTAACTTATTTTATGCAACAACATAAGTCAAAGTTTATTAAATAAAACTTACAATTCTGCTTAATATCAGTAAATGTCCATCTTCACAGGCACACATGAATGTAGGTTGGCTGAAATGCTATTATCATCCTTTTACCCCTCAAATTGCATACATGTGTGCCATGACTAACACATAAGGGTTTGGCTTCAACCATCACAGGAGGAAGAATCAGTACCACCTGCCCTGGAACCTCTCCATGGCATCATCCCTGCAACACTGCTGCCTATCCTGGCCTTGCTAGCACTGCAATGGAACTGTACTAACAATCACATAATGTGAAAAGTTTACTATCCTGTGGGCTGCAGGTTGGATGTCCCTGGACAAAAACCTGAGGGAAGGAAAGGCACCAAAGACCCATGCATCAAGACATTTTTTCTAATAATTGCTTCTCAGCATCTGCAGGGGATCACTGCAGGGCTTGCTACATGACATCAAAGCATGCAGATAAGCAGGTCCTGAGGTGTTATATATAACCTATGGAATCCTCTCATGTGCTTTGTGGGTGTGCAGTGATGGGTTTTGAGCCCAAGGCTTCCCACATGCTAGGCTGGCACTCTTACCACTGAGCTACACTCCAGCCCTATGTCTATTTCATGTTTTGAGGGTTACTCTAAGGTTTACAAGATTTTATTATAGTTTTTTGTTTTTGGCATTTTGAGACAAGATCTTATCAAGTCCAGACTGCCCTTAAACTTACTAAATAGCTCAGGTTAGTCTCAATTTCAATGATCCTCTTGTGAGATCTTCTGAGTCCTGGGATTAGATGAGCTACCATACCAAACTAAAAAGTTTCTTTTATTAACACAGACTATAGTCAGCCACTTTATCAGTCACATAAAACATGAGAACTGTTAACAGTGTATTTCTATTTTCTTCTCTCATGATCTGTTATAAACTCAACATACTATTATTTTGTTTCTTTGTTTTTTGAGACAGAGTCTTGTTTTGCAGTCTAAGATGGCATTGAACAGCTGAGGATTTAGCTCAGTGGCATAAGCACCTGCCTTGCAAGCAGGCAGTTGTGAGTTTGATCCCCGGTACTAATAAAAAAAAGATTTAAAAAAATGGAAGATGGCACTGAACTATTAGCTCAGGCTGACTTTGAACGCACTGCAATCTTCCTGTTTTAACCTTCTTTGTGTTAGGATTACAGGTGTGTACCACTGCACCCAGCTCAACATACTATAATTTTTGCTTTAAACAATAAATTATCTTTTAAAGAAATTTTAAAAGTAGGAAAAGGGATTTTTTTCCTTTCCTTTTTTTTTTTTTTTTTTAGTACTGGGATAGAAGTTGGGACACTCTGTCACTGAGCTATATCCCTGGATCTTTTTGAGTTGCAAAGGCTGGATTCATGCTCTGCTATGTTTTTGAGTTGCACAGGCTGGATTTATGCTCTGCTATGCCCAGCTCAGATTGTACATTTAACCTAATAATTCAATTCTGCTATTTCTTCCCATAGATCTGTATTTCTACCTGACGTCATTTTCCACCAGGCTGAAGGATTTCCTTCTACATGTCTTTAGAAGTACTGATTGGCGGAGCTGGGGATTTAGCTCAGCGGCATAAGTGCCTGCCTTGCAAGCAGGCAGTCGTGAGTTCGATCCCTGGTACCGATAAAAAGGAAAAAGACAAAAAAAAAAAAAAAGAAGTACTGATTGGCAAGAGTTTTTTTTTTTAAGCATTTGTACCTAAGAAACTATTGTTATTCAATGTTCATTTTTTAAAAATATCTTTGTGGGGGCTGGGAATTTAGCTCAACAGCATAAGCGCCTGCCTTCCAAGTGTGTGGTCGTGAGTTTGACTCCCGGTACTGATAAAAAAAAAAATATATCTTTGTGGATATAGATGTTGGGCTGAATTTTCCCTCCAGAACTTTTGCTGAGATAGTCCTACTGTCTCTTCTTCTGGCTTGTACACAGTGAGAAGTTAGTGATCACTTCTGTCAGTGTTTCTCTTCTCTAGCTGGTTTTCCTTTTATCTTTCTTTCCTTTTATATTTTTTGAGACAGGGTTTCACTATGTAGTTTAGACTGGTCTTGATTGAACTCAGTATGTAGCCCTGTCTGGCTTCAAACCTGTGGTAATGGTCTTGTCTCACTCAGCCTCCAGAGTGCTTAGATTACAGGCATGTTCCACCATGCCTGGATCACCACTTGTTTTGATGGTTCTTTTTACTCTTGGTTTTCAATTATTTACCTTGCTGGGATTTTCTTTTCTTCTCAGCACCACGGACTTCATACTGCACTACGTAATCAGCTCTTTTTAAAATGTTTTTACTTTTGAGACAAGATCTCACCAAGTCACTAAATTGCCTGGGCTGGGCTTGAATTTGCAATCCTCCTGCCTCAGCCTCCAAATATGCTAGGATTATTGGCATGTGTTATCCCTGGTTGAGGTTTTATGTTACTTTGTTTTAGGTTTGTTGAACTTCTTGGATCTGAAAGGATTCATTTTATTAAAAAATTGCACGTTTCCCTACCATGATTGACTAATACAGTTTATATGCATGTGTATGAATTACTGTGGATTGAACCCACAGCCTTGTAATAAGATACACTCTAGCTCTGTCTGTCTATTTAGAGACAGGGTCTCAACAAATTGCCCAGACTGGTCTCAAACTTATGACTTCCCTGCCTTAGCATCCCAAGTAGCTAGGATTACAGGTGTGTAGCACTGTGCTGGCCTTAGGTTTTTAACTCTACAAGAAAGAAAGTTTCAATTTAAGGCACAACCATCACCAAAAAGGGGCTTGCTAAATAAATAAATAAATTTTAAAAGGTACTTTTTGCACTGGAACAAGGAATTCATAAGTTTTGTTGCTGGACAAAGTGCTTCTGCATCTGACAGTTAAGAATGACAAAGCCTGCCAGGTGTGGTGGCACACACCTGTATTCCCAGCCCTTGGAAGGCTGTGGCAGGATTGCTGTGAATTCAAGGCCATCCTTGGCTACAAAATGAATTCAAGTCCAGCCTAAACTGCATAGTGAGACCCTATCTCAAAAGACAGAGCCTCAATTGGTACAATGGTAATTGCCTATAACCTCAGCTACTCAGGAGCTGAAGCAGTCATGTTGTAAGTTTGAAGCAATTTAGCACGAACTTACCTCAAAATAAAAAAGGAAAAAGGGTTAAGGGGTATATTCACTGAATTGCAAGGCTTTGGTTCAATCCTCAGTACCATGAGAGAGACAAGAGATTCTTTGAAAAATGCTAAAGGAGGACAGGCATGGTGGCACACACATGTAATCCCAGCACTCAGGAGGCTGAGTCAGGAGGTTCACCATGAATTCAAGGTCAGCCTTGGCTACAGTGAGTTCAAGGCTAGCCTGAATACATTATGAGAACCTATCTCCAAAAAAAAAGCCGGGGATTTAGCTCAGCAGCTCAAGCACTTGCCTGCTAAGCACATGGTTGTGAGTTCGATCCCAGGTATGGGGTGGAGTGGGGGATTAGTTAATATATTCTAATAATAAAAAATATATATATTCTAATAATTTAATAATACATTCTAATAATTTTAGGCATGTTTATACAGTTTTTAAAGCATTATCAAAGTGGCCTTTGGCCCCTGAAATAATAAGAAATCTTATTCTATGACATCATCTTCAATGGCTGCATAGTGAGGCTACTCTTGGTGTCTGCAGGGCACTGATCCCAGGCCCCTCATGTATGAACATGCACATCCCTCAGCTGAAACCCCACGCCATCTGCAGATAACCTAGGCACATCCTCCAGTGTACCTAAAACCATTTCTAGACACTTATAACACCTAGAACACAATGGGAATGCCACGTACACAGCTGTTACACTGTAGCATTTAGGGGCTGATGACAAGAAAAAAAGTCTGCACGTGTTCAGTACTGATGTGTTTTTTTTCCCTATCATTTTCAATTCATGGTTGATGGAATCTGAGGCTGTGGAACCCACAGATATGAAGGCCCATAATCTGATGCTGTATGAATGCTCTAGAAGCCAATCAATCTTTATTATGGGACATTTGGTCAGGCTCAAAATTTCATCCCCAATTATAATATCAAAGTCTTTGTACTAAGTCCTTGCATAGAGCCAGTGTGATTTCCTTCCAGTACATTCCTGAAGAGAAACTCCTAGTCACTCAGGCTGTTGCCAAACTGTCCTCTGAGTGACCTGCTAAAGTACACTTCTCTCAGCAGGTCTAGGAGAACCCATTTTCTCACAGTCCTTGACTATACAATCAGGAAACAGCTGCTACATGATGGAGTACCTCTGCTGGCTGAATGTGAACATGGACAAATAGTTCTCT